CCCCCCCCCCCTAGAGAAGCCCAGGCCCAGGCCCCAGTTGCTGGAGATTGAGGACTGATTGAGATTGGAGGTCTTGGAGACCAGATCTCCCTCATAGAGGTGATGACCTGATGTTGTATGATGGGACGTCGTGGACTTGCTGATAGATGATGGTTGATGGACTTCTGTGTGGGAATCAATGAGAACTAGTATGTTTGAATCAGATTGATGAGAAATTTGATAGATTACAAGTCGACATTTTTGCTAGACACGTTCTTCAAAACAACTAACATTTTCAAAAAAACACAGAAAACCACAAATCACAAAAACGCGTAAAAACCACACCCGCATAACGTCGTTTTCTGAATATATATATATATATATAGTCGTATATAGTGAAGAAAGGAACGACCATTCTCATCGCAGTATTCCAGGGGTTAGCTTCTTTTAGATTAAGCTGCCTTTCTTTGTTAAGTGAAGGCAGCATGTTTGCAGCGTTTTTGGCGCCCACATGTGCTCTGGTTGAGGCCCTTTGTTTTTTCCTTTTCATCTTCATCTCCACCACTCCGGCCATGTTTGGCGCAAGTGCTGCGGGGCACCGTCTGACGTGTGCCACCCCAGCCGCCCGCCATAGGGCGTCCACCTAACAGAGCCTAACAGAGCCTTGGATTTTGTTTGTTCTCCATGTCTTTGTCTTAATCCAGACTGTGGGACTTATCAGGAGAAGGCGGAAAAATTGGAGTTCGCCGGCTGGTGGCCTGGGCTTGAGATAGGGAAGGACAACATGCGGAGGAAGGGAGAAGACATATATGTTGAGTTCAGGTTAAGTTTTCAGATCTTCCCAAGTATATACTGAATTGTTTAGTTATTTGATTGCTTGTTGGCTTTCGTAGGTTCCTGCTATGACATCCCCTGATATTATATTTGCCCTACAGGTCTCTCTCTCTCTATATACATATAGTAGTGATTATGATTGGATTATGTACCCCGTCACCCAGCAACAGTCCCTATCTGTGACACTGTCGCCGACTGACTCCTCTTCTCCTATCACGGATCACGGGTTTGGCGCTTGGCCATCTGCCGAGGTACAAGTATATCAAGGCCAAGGGCGAGTTCCATATGAACAACCCCGAGATGTCCCGTGCTTTGCACAAAGCTGTACGCAACAATGAGCCCTTGCAATACGAGGAGTGCCACACATTGCGCCGCGCGCGCTGCACATCGATTGGACACACAGAAAAAACGGACTGCTGCATGAATTGGTCAATTGCTTGAGGACATGGCCATCTCCAAAACTCGAAAACAACATAAACAACAACACTGAAGTTTGCTCAATTTCTTCGCTCCCTTTTGTTTCGCAACAAAGCCGCGGCTTTGCTCGTTGGAGGGGGATGAACGAACCCGGCGACAGAGCGTGCGGCATCCGAGCCCGGGCAACGTCGCTCAAGGAGTATCGGCGTCAGATCATGGACGGGCGACCGATCACGGCCATCCGAGCTTTGGGAAGCAAGAGTGCTGGTCCCTGGTGCTGGGAGTCAGCAACTTGAGATAGGGAAAATATGTATTGAGATGGTCTTCAATTGTCTCACCTGCATACCTCAACGGACACCCAAGACAATTGACAAAGCTGCCCACCTTTGAGCCCTTATCTAGGATCCTCCAGACATCTCCAGACATGGATTGAAAAACCTCTTCAGTCTGTTTTTGTTGGATCAACATCCTACACCAGCACCCTCCAACACCTGCGACTTTATTACGTGTCCAAAGGCCACCATTTCGAAGACCTGTAGAGTTGGGTGCTGGCAGATTCCTCTTTCTTCCTTCCTCTTTGATCATCCAAGTGTGCCGGGGTCAATATACCTCACGCGGCAAGTTGAGTAAACTTCACCTCGAAGCCCTGTGTTTGGTCCGAGGTGGGTGATCCTACCGCTGTGTCTTGTTGGGCCGAAAAGCTGATCCAAGGAGATCTCCTGGAGTTCGCCTCAGACCGGCAACCCGTGCCGCTCTCGGAAGTGGAGGACGCGGTGTCCATTTGCAGCCGCTTCGTCACCGGCGGCATGTCCTTGGGCGCCCTGTCCAGTCACTTGGGTCCAGATGGGACGTTTGGGTCGCGTCGATGTGGGACGTGGATTCGTGTGAAAACATGTCCAGTGGTGGGGGGCGAAACCCTGGAATGTGAAGAAACGGGTGCCAAGTTCAGGGCTCATGATTGTTGGGTGGTCAATGGTGGTCAGGGTTTGGTTACAGAATTGTGGGTCAAGGCTCTGAACATCGGCAGCTCACATCGACCTGGTTCCAAAGCAGTCATGCCACGCCCTGGAAGAACAGTGAACCATAAGTTTGCTGCGGGGCCTCTACTAGGACCCACAAGGGGTGGTTAATGGACACCCCTTAACCTCTAAGGGGCTATCAATAGACACCCTGCAGGTGACTTGGAGTTGATGTTTAAAATTAGGTTCTATGTTTGCATGGATCGAACACATAAACCAAACCACATGGAGGACCCACCGGCGCGGACTGGGTGGTGGCGACAGACTCAGACTCAGACTGAGCTACTCAGTGCACGACCTAAATGACCCAGGTTGACAACGAAATCTGAAAACAGAACAACGAACGCCGCAAAGACAGTGTCGTCTCCTTGAGATCCATCGACGACAACCTCCCAAATCACGGTGTCGCTGATGATTTTCCTCAAGACATGTCGCAGTACAGACATGGTTTGAGAGCTAAGTCAAGAAGCCAAGACATCTCGCCACGCAAAAAAAACAACCTCTGCTCTACGCGAGTTGTTCCGCTGCCACGCGGCGGAAAACATGGCACGCAACCCCATGGCCACTTCCTTGGAATCCAAGCGCGTCGCACCAACGAAGCACCGGAATCTAGCATCGATGAAGGCCACCTGGACCTTACTGTTCCTGAATGTTGTAAACAGGTACTCGAACCCCCCTACTACACGTGGGTCTATTACAACAGGTAGACCCTACTGACCCCTGTGTTTTTTGGATATGATATTGCATTGGACCTACTAGGTCAACAAGATCACCCAGGCCAACAAGGCCAGCATTCTTTTTTCATCCCAATACGTCAAGTGACGGTGCGCCAACACTACAGGAGAAGCCCATGAAGTGATCGCTGTCGGCATGAACCTTGGCGGCACCAGACCTTTTCTTTGCACCGGGTGTTGCCGGGTGGCTGCTGATCCAAAAACATCTCAAGCCGGTCGTTGGTGGCTGAGTGGGCGTTGGGCTACACTCAGGAGAGCTAGAAATGCGTCAGCATTCATGAACATACGACATACATGGACGCACGTGTTCTCATGATGTTTGAGGACTGTTTCGACCCAGGTGGTTTAGTCCCCAGTCCCCTTGTTCGAGCAGCCTGGCGTTTGTGGACAGGTTTTGGCTCCTATAGGGTTGTTTTGTGGGGTTCCTCGGTGTGTTGGTTTTTGAATGCGTTGCGAGAACGCAACGTCAGGAACCGCATTGGAGGGATGAGCAACAGCGGCGAAGGTGGAGAAGATCCTCTTCGTTACCATCCCATCAAGGACCACCACGGTTGCCAAATCTGGTTCACACAATGGTATGGGAACAACGTGGTTTGGTTTGGGACCATCCTGAGTTTGAATTTCGTGTCCTTGCATGTCCTTGCTAACTTTTCATGGGTCTCAGGAAGTTTGACAAAGGTTGAGCCGGTTGAGGAGACCTCCAGGCCCTACCCGGGACTCGTGTTGATTGATCTCCCAGCGCCAACTCCAAGAGTCACCGGTGGGCCGCATGAGCATCGCCAGCCGACCAGGAGCGGTTCATCCGCAAACGAGTGAACAAGCGTCCTCTAAGAGATCTGTGGCTCCAAAGATGGCGTTTGCTCCTTCTGTTTTTCCTTCTTGAGAAATAAGTTTGGGTGGCCATCATATGCCATAATGACACACCCCAAACCTAAAACTGCCGCCATGACTCAGATCGAGTCCCGTTTTTGCACTTCCCCTCCCGTGCTTGGAAGTAGGTGGAACTCGCGGACCTTGTCGCTTCGAAGAAAATACGATCACATCAATATAAGAATATTCCAAGAACTCATGTAAGAGGTGCACAAGTTTATCAAGGACATTCAAGGGGGTGTATACTGTAACTGCAATATAGTACAGTAATTATTCTTGAATGTTCTGGATCAACTTCCTGCTCTACGATGATCTCGAGTCACTGACTTGAGTTGAGCAATACATAGCAATGCAACGTTCCGCTTCAAGGTTTGGAGAATCACCGGACCGAACGGTTTGGCGACGCGGGAGCTCCCGCCCTTCGGAGCGGCCCAGGGAGTTCCCCAAGGTCCGGGAGTTCACGTCTTCCAGCAGTCACAGCTGCTGTTCTATTTCCAACCATGTTCTAAGCAGCTGTGACTGCCCTAGGGTCCAACCATGTTCTTCAGTCCAGCTGCTGTTCTGGTTTTCTTATGTTTTCTTACCCTAGGGCTCCAAGTACCTTCTAAGAAGGTGTTCAGGGTGGGTTTAGAGGGTCCAGTCATACCTTCTGAGGAGGTGCTTGGAGCCCTAGGGTTAGTTCGGTGTGTTCTTTTTTCCGGTTATTTTTGCATCCAGGATGTGGACGAGGAAGGGCACTCGGCATCTTTTCCACACTTGCAGGGTTTGGGCCTGAGATTATGGTGTGTGGGCTGTGACTCTGCTTGGGCATAGAATGGAACATGATCCCGAGAACAGTTTGAGTGTGGGCGGGTGCAGTTCCCGCGAGGTTCTTTTGGAGGTTCTTCCATATTAATTGGTGAAAAAGATTATCGTTCACATTCGTTCACTAATGTTCTAAGAGTTCAGACCACCAAATCGGACAAAGGTGACGAGAGGGTCAGCAAAAACAGAGGATCTCTCTTTCCGTTCCCAAAACAGTCCTCCGAGCCCTTAAGGGCCCTGGACGAAACGGAAGGCTTCCCCGTTTCGGCCAACGAAACGAATGGACCCCTCGAGGCTTGCGCAACGGGGACTCTGCGGCCTCGGCGACCAAGCAGGTGCGGCGATTTTTGGGGTGGGGGACGGGCGGGGTCCCGTCGGCCAGCGCGCAGTTGAGTTGATGCTGAGTTGGAGTCTGAGCACAAGTCTGGTGATCTTCTCCAACACCGGGATGCCCAGACAGGACCCGGTCCACAGGTCCGCAGGTGCCCAGCCGCCCGTGCCCGCAGCATTCCACGTCAGGTGGCCTCGGGACGTTTTGGCGTCACGGCCGCCTACCTCAGAAGTGCCACGGCGGTCACGGCCTGCCGGGCACGGGCCGGGCACGGCCCCAGTCGGTGGGCGTGCAAGATTTGGGTCCGTAAACGTTTGGAGAACAGGATGGGAAAAGGCTTCCCTACAGGTCATTTGGACACATTAGGACTTCATTAAAAACGACTGGAGTGGGTCACACCGAAAAGACCACTTCCAAAAACACTGCTCTTTGGGGGCCACTTGGCCGGATGTTTTGTTTTGACATGCAGATTCCTTGGGACTGGCGTCGTTGGTCGGCGGTTCTTTGTTCGCCGTTCCAAAAGGAGTGTCGGAGCGTCTACGGATCGAACATCGCCTGAGCAGGCTCGGAGAAGTTTTCTCTCCTTGTGAGGCGGCAATGAATTCGACCAACCAACACAGCGGGAAGAGACTAAGACTTTGCTATTGCCTAGCGCTGATCCCATTCCTGCGGGCCTTGCGAGGTGCCAAACAGTTGGAGATCAAGATGCTTGGTGTGTGATGCCATGGGCGGCTGCCTGGTGAGTGCGATCGGCTTTTGATTCACTCCTTAGGCTGATGAACGCTTTTCATATGATGAAACGTGCGTGGGGAGCGGCAATCTCCCGGAAGATGAGCATGACATGGCTCAGTGAAAAGACCGACAAGATTCCCATGCAGGCTGTTAGGGCCATAGGGTAGTGGAAAATGTGGAAAAGGACTTTTCAGACACTTGGTTTGCTGGGATGAATTTGTAGATTCATGCAGTTCCTCCTTCTATTTCTTGTTTGAGTTACCGCGTGTGGGTTTGGAATTGAAAGCCGTCGAATTCAATCCAAGCATCAAGATGATGCAGATCACAGGTAGGTGGTTTCCACTATATATAAATTCAATCTTCACCTGAAATCACCCACCTCAAATGTCACTCAGCTGGGTCAGTCCATTCACCAAGCTCACACGGACATCCCGGATCGACACCGGATCCGCCGCCCATCGGATCCAAGGATTGCGCAAGGTGCTAAGCCTGGCGAGGGTGGGCAATTGCCAGGTGCCAAGGTGCTGCCCAGTTGAAGAAGCACTTCGACACGACTCAACAACGAAACCCCACCAGATCGCATGGATGTTTAAAATAGGAACTTGATGGAACTTGGATATATATATATATATATTATTTGAGACATTTTCCCATTCCACGTTCATGAGCAGGAGTCGAACATGGCTTAAATCACATTTGTCAGTTGGTCCTTCCCACATCCGTTGCAGGTGGATGACTACATTGCCCGTTTGCGCAACAGCGTGCGGGCCTCCCAGCTTCGGTTCGAAAGCTCAGTCTGACGACTGTTTGCGTGGGCCCGGGACGTCTTGGGCTATCCATACTGCAATTGGCCACTGACGCGTTCATGCAGATCGTTCATGAACTTCCTAAGTCAGGCTGGCTGACTGGGACCTTGATGAACCTTGGGATGCTCGTGTTTTCCTGATCGAATCAAAACCCTGATCTTCCGAACGCAAAGACCAGACCGGAAGATTTCACCGGAACTGCCAGTCCCAGTTGGGGAAAGGGTCAGTGACCCGCCGCTCCTTTCTGATTTTCTGGTGGACCCCCAAAACCACGTCGGGTTGGTCTGAAGGAAAATGGTCTTCCACCACGGGGTCAGTTCTCAGGGTCTATGGGAGATCTATTTTTTGGGGGGTTATGATGGGGTATGTATTGGATATTATTGGACTATTGACTTTGTTTGTATTCGATTCTTAGATGTTTGTAATATATAGATGTTGTTTGTCCATGGGATCTTAGTGCCTTTTGACTCACAGCCCTTGGGATCTTGGATTACCACCATCAGACCACCGTCGTCTGGCCGCGATGGCAGGTGCCAGGTGTGGAGCTCATCTCACCACCACCCCATCATGACATCTACTCCATCGAGGACAGAGGTAGTTCCAGGCATGACAGACTTGGCCTGAAGTATCCTGGCAAAAAGAAAAACACGTCACATTATACTATATATTATGTATAATATATATATAAATATGTATGTGTGTTATTTACACAATTCTATACAGCAATTTGATGTACAGTATTTTGGATGAGCCATGCGCTTGGACCCTGACTTGTTCCGTCTTTGTTCTGGCTTTCAATGACTGTAACAGTGGGGAAATTGACCTTGACCTGCAGCCATACAGTTTCCCTTGTGGTGGTCTTCTTCATCGTTGTCCGAAATCATTCAACCCAAAACTCGTTCACATTGTCGTTTGTGCAAGGACCTGGCGCAGCTGATTTTCGACTTGCATCAGGCACAGCGGAAGAAGTGCGATCGATCATCTAATGTTCAGCTTGCTTTGGCTTCCCGTTCGGCAGTGTGAGAGCTCACACCGAATCCAAAGTACTTTTGAGAATGTATATATAGTCCTTAGTTAAAACATACAACTTCATAATTAATTGCTATACATTTGAACACGTTCCATGATCGATCACCAGCACATGCCCTGGAACACCGAACACCATCTGAAGACCCACGTCACAACACCGTTCAACCCACCGTCGCAGTGCTGGTGGCACCGGCCGAGAGCCAAAGGTGAGTCCGGAGGCCAAGGTCTCGGTCAAGCTGGTGGCCAGCGCCGGCATCGGCACCATTGCCGCCGGCGTGGCCAAGGCGGGGAGAGTTCGCCCCGCGGGCGCGAGGAGTGTTTTGACGCGAGGTGCGGAGGGGATGGACATCCATGTCACTGGGAGGCGTGGGAGGCGTGGGATTGGAATGTATTGGAACGTGTTGGATGAACTTGAGAGGCTTGGCGCACGTCCTATATATAGAGATCAGACCTATAGAGATCTTGTGTATCAGCCCTAGAGATCTCGGCGCACGTCCTGCCGCACCTGAGGCGAATGCCGACGTGATTCAAATCTCTGGGCATGATGGTGAGGGGGCCCCAGGACCGCGTCGCTGGGTTCGGTGGAGTGGAGCCCAGATGAGGCAAGTCCATTTAGTGGCTTGAATCCCAACAGTTTGGTTCAAAGCTTACCCACCTTCCATACCCTGAACTCACAACCATGGTCAATGGGCTTCATCCATCAAGTTGGGAGATCATCTTGACATCTCTTCACACCTGTGGTCAGTTCCGGATGCTGGGCGATGTCGCCGGATGCACGAGTGGTGGCACGTCCTGCTCCCCAGTGCTCCCCAGTGCTCCGCAATGCTCCGCAGGTGGCACTGGGGCCTCGCCCTTGAGCATCTCCGAGTGGCACATGAGCGTCACAGGGTTGGACTCAACATCAATCAAATAAAGCATAAAGATCATAAAGAAGGCCTGAATTATCATGAGTTTGTTGATTCATGTGGCCATATGGCCCACATGACCCCTTCGATGTGTTGGTAAATGTTGGTCATACATACGTAGTATATGCAGAGGACTTTGGCTGTCACTTTTGGCCATGTCTAGCCAGCCCCATGCGTTGACTCACTGATGCCACATCATCAGGCAGCCCCATAGACATGTCCATGAACTCACAATGTGAGGGGCCCATCATATACTCACAAAGATCCATATACGCAGTGTTGTTGAACTGCAGGGCGCCAGCTCCTGATCACTGCAAAGCCAATGCCCCACCACATCTTTCATGTGTGGCATTCGTCGAGATCAGATTCAGAGAGCCCCCCTTCTCAGAGAACATGTATACCTAGTAAGGGACAGGCCCGGACAGGTGTTTGCTATGCTTTGGCCTGGGCCAGGGTCCCTGGTTCCGAATCCGCCTGCCTGGGAGCCGATTCCCCAACCGCTCAAAGGCAGCATTATGCATGCTGGTAGCCCCTGGGAACAAGGCCTTTGCGAGGCGCCGTGAGGGGCCTGGCCAAGAGACGAGGTGACCTGTGTGCTTTTCCACTACATGGATCCGGTGTCATTCACATGGTCCCCCCTGGAGGATGGTTTTCCTTCTCACCAACCCAGGTGGTTTTGGGGGTCCATGTCAATGTTAATCTTCAGGGAATGTACATCATCTATATGCCATTGGCTTATCCCGGTAGCCAATGGTCCGAAAGCGGACATGAAGCGACCGAAAGCAGTTCTTAAGAAGCCTTATAAGGTGAAGCTAGGACTTTGGAGATCCATGCCGCGACATGTCGCAACTATATATTTGCACTCATTAGATTCTGCTCGAAAGCGTGGCGCTGAAAGCGTGTCGCAACATCTGTTTTGTTTCAATGTCGTTTCGAACGAGGTGCAGAGTCAAAGCAGCCTTGCAGACTGCCTTGCAGTGCTTGATACGGGAGATGAGTAGAAATCATGAGTCGTCCAACTAATCTCATCAGAAAGTGCAATTGAAAAAAAGAACACAAATTCCAAGTCCAAGCCACCCCTTTGTGAATTTTATCATCCAAAGTTGCGAGTGTACGTCCGCTAAGGCTTCCAACAAGATATTGCGCCTCCCTGTGCGTACTAGACACCTTCCACCATGACCCCAGAAAATGGTGAGATGAAAACTTGTCCTGACCATGTTGCTTTTGGCAAATGTGTAAGCACAATATCCCTGATGTTGTTCTTTAATGACTCCTTTTTTCTGATTTTAAGGGATGGAGCCGTCGTTGGCCCAGTGTTCTTCAGCAGTCAGGTTCAAGAGGTCTTGGTGGAGAACAGCCTTCGAGAGCGGGTCACCTTGAGAGTGGATGGTGGCATCAAGACTGGCTGGGAATCATGGCCGCAGGGTGAGTATACGTAGAAGGGTGACGGAGTGGCACGGAGTGTCGACGACAATGCCTGAAATCATCATGGAGTTTGAATGTAGGGGTCCTGGAAGGCCTGCCAAAAAACAGTTCCTCCTTGCAAACAGAGTGTTTTCCACTTCCATGTTAACGACTCAGAGATTGGCGCAGCAGACGGCCTGGTGTGAGTGGTGGGAGAAAAGGAACCAGACAAGTACAATATTGCTGGTGGCTGGATCAGCGGGCCTTGTTAGTTTGTAGGTGTCATCTTGTTTGGCAGGTGTGGGAAATCTAGCGTCCCTATATGTAGTTTAGTGGTCCTGTGCAGTCTAATGGCCCTGGAATTGGACATCTGTAGGGATTCTGCCAGAAAACAACCCGCCACTGTTTGCAGCAGGCACTAGTTCAGGGCTTCTGCCAATATACGACCCCCGAAGCAGCCTGCAAGCAAGGAACAATGGGAACCGAGAGGGTGTTCAATCCGGCCTAAAAGTTCATAGAGTTAGTCTACAGCCTACAAGGCAAATCAAGACTAGAGGAACTAGACTTTCCTGTAGAAGAATGTTCTGAAATGTTCTGAACAAGTCTATTGACAAAGCTTCTGTCGTTCTCCCAAGAGAGAGTCATGATTCCCCACGATGATGTGCATTTGATTTTTGCCCATGCTCACTCTTCCAAGAAATATTCCAGCAACTCTTTCTTTCGATTTGTGTCACACTTTTGGCTCCTCGTGGTGAGCTGCTAAGACCTGCCGACAGCTGACTGGGTATTGAGGACATCGTGGTAGCAGCCATGATGGGTGCAGAAGAGTACGGCTTTGGCAGCGTGGCCATGATCGCAGAGGGCTGCATCATGGCGAGGGTTTGCCACATGAACCGCTGTCCGGTGGGTGTGGCGACACAGCGGGAGGATCTCAGAGCCTAGGCTCAGGCGGTGGCTGGCGCAGGCCAAAAAGGGGCGGTGGCTGATTCACCATGTAGAGATGGCATAAGCCTGTTGGGATGGAGTTACACGCGTTTGCAATACATAGAATCATCACTAATGTGTATATATGTATATACGCAAATATGTATGACACATGGGTGAGGGGAGACACTGCATTTACTACTGGCATTTCTTGGCCTTCATCCTGTCAGCCAACCCTATCACATTTTTTTTGGTATTTCATGGTGGCAAGCGGAAGTTGGCATTCTTTGCGTTTTGTGATATCTGAGGAAAGAAGTTTCCCGGCACGCCCGACCACATCGCAAACTTCATGCTTTTCGTTGCTGAAGAGGTGCGCACAATCATCGCAGCCCTGGGCAGCTTGGAAGATCAAGGATGCTCGAAATGGGAAACTGAGGAAGGTCAAGAGCTCCCTTCCCTAAACGCACCAACTGCTGGAGAACTAAGGTGTCGGTTTCGGTGTTGATTCTATGATTTGGGGGCTTGCATGGGCTTGCCAAAATGTCCAATTGCAAACACTAAGACTAATTGAACGGAATAATATGAGACCGTGTGTATTCGTGTGTGTAGTTTGCATAGAAAAATCAACAAAAGGTATGCCACCTAATTAGCGTCTATATAATTGCATTCCATACCCACAAGGGTGGCTAGGCGAAGCTACAGCAGCCATCCTCCACCGGAAAAGAGCAATCCCATCTACTAGGTGCATAGAATAACCATACTGACTCACCGACAGTAAAGATCCGCAGATCTGCTCCGAGGCTACCGTTCTCTGGCCAAGATCATCGGCCGCGCCGACCTCTTGCGCCCCCGTGTGGAGGGCTCGGTGCGCACCAGCGTGCCGCAGCCAGCGGTGGCAGCGGTGGCCTCGCAACCGCCTAAGACGCGGAAACCCAAGAAGCTGTCGAAGAGACCCGGCAGGAATCGACCATTTCCAAAGTGGTCAATGGCTGGCAAGACCAGTTTTCAAGGATAAAATAGGATGATTTCCGGTGTTAGTGAGTCAGAGCGTACCTGAACACAGAAATTCATGGTATAGACTATAGACCCGAGCAGACAAACTAAGGTCACTGTTTCCATTTTTATGTTTGATTGGTGGATAGATGGTTGTCGTGCAGTTGGTCTCAGGATTTTGACTTTCGAGGATCAAGGATATTCGACCAAGAAACTCGATCAACTCTGACGAAACACCTTCCATGATGTATTTGTCATGGTACTTCTGTCACCATCAGGTCTGACATAGCTGGCTGTAAGTTCAACAAGAAGGTTTGATCAACAGCAAAAGCTTTACAGTAACGACAGTAAGGATCCTTCCATGCTGAATGTAAAGACTACAAGCTTCTTGAATAGAGCTTGTTTGTGAAAGACCCGTGAAAAGACTTGCGAACAGCGGCAGCACAGGTTTCAGATACAGGCCGCTGTTCGGTTCAGCGCCGAGCTTCGCATGGTAGCGGAGGTGATCCCAGGACCGGACTGAGCCTCCAGCTGTGCTCATGGCGGGCGCTGCGGGCTCTCCCACGCTGAGTCCTTTTGTTTGAGTGGAGCAGGAGGGCCCAAGAAAAGACAAGAGGAGCTTAGTCAGTGGCGTGGCTTTGCTAGGTCATTTGAACAGCAGTTGGCTTCTTTGGATTCAGAGTGCGTAGCGGGTTGTGTGGGCGCGGAGGTTCTCCAACAACAGAAGTCGATCTGTCTTTGATGGGGAGCACAGAGTGGTCTCGGAGATCGTTTCTTTACAACTTTTGAGCTGGATTCCTGAGAGCAGGTCATTTTTGAATTCTTCGGCAAGCCGTGTTTGAAGCGTACAGGCAATTGCTAAGCTGTTTGGAACCCGTTACCAGACACCGGCCACTTGCGACTTGAATTTGATCCTTGGCTGGCAATCTTTCGGCATGCAGAAGAACACGCCTGTCTGCTTAGAAGAGACATTTCAAAAAAGATTGAGCGAACAGGTTCAGCTCTGGCAGATGAACACAATTGTGCAGTTCTGATGGTGCCCTTGAGGGAATCCCAAAACATGGTTTCTCCAATGCCGCGCAATGGTTGAAGATGGCAATGGTTGAAGATGGAAATCGGGTTGGTGAGAAGGAGAAAACGTGGAAGAGAGAGTGATGATGAAAGCAAAGGTCCAGAGGTTAGCGAAAGCTTTGGAGAAGATCATGTTTGTCAGTGGCCTTGGGACAGTGGCGGCGGACAGAATCGCTTTTTCAGTTCCAGGAAAGTTTGCGCAGTATTTCTTGCAATCGGATTTCAGCTGAGCTTCCAGAAGGTTGGGGTCAAGCAGAGAAAGCCCGTGGGATTAAGATTGGCATCACGCCCAAAGTATTCTTCCTCAGACCAAGGGCAATGGGATGACATGGTGCATGGCTATGGTCAAAGGTTTCACAGAGCAACGTATATATATAGTCAAACCAAATTGATATGTAGAAAGGACTTGATGGGAGAAGAATGACGCTCTTGGAGAAGACAGACAGAAGATGTGGACACAAGAGGGTTGCAGATTGCAATGCTCAACGGCTTTGCAGTAATAATGGGAATATGAGTTTGAGAGGTCGAGCAGAGAAGGGAGGAGCTGAGGCCAGCTGCAAGAGGAGTAGCGAGTTCAGGAGCATCAGGAGAGTGGAGAATACCACTTTTGCGCTTCTGGATAATGGAGGCAGTCAAGGAGAGGCGCAATCTCAGTTGAGCATGCAGCCTCAACCAATAGATAGGAACCCAAGGGACCCTTGCACCTCGGGAGCAATGAGGGGATTGAACCGCTTGATGAGAGTTTGAGAGAAAGGAACTCAAATGAAAATGGGGTCGTGACGTACGAAACGTCCCATCCAGATTTCACAGATGGGCCTGGGCGGCAAAAACTGTGTATGCAGATGAAGTATGATGTTTGACACGTTGGCTTCAAACTCGAAAAGAACTGTTGAAACTTGAGCATGCAAGCGACCTATATGCTAGCTGCTAGACTTGGAAATCAATCCTACCGCATGGAACCCTACCAACAGTCAAATTTCATACACCGTGGCTCTCCTTTACTTAGCGGAGTGCGAAGGACACATAACAGTTCATGACAAGACAGCACAGGCTTCACATACAGGCCGCTGTTTGGTTCAAAAAACTTTGCACTTTCAAACTTTGACCGTCTGGTTCAGTAAGAGAAGCATGCTTGTAAAAAAACCTCTTTGGTAGCAAAAGTATTCAAAAGTAACGAGTAGTAACAATATTTTACAACTATATACTATATGATACGATATATGTTGTTTTAGACATGTCTAGGCAGCGGTTTTGGCCCTGAGTCCCTGAGTAAGTTTACTTAGCACGTACTTTCAAGTTAAAGGGCGGGTCAAAGATTGTCACGGAATGTGCATGCAGGTCATAGATCATTCCTGCAGCATCCAGTGCCTGTACATCGTTTGCGGTGGGTTTGGCCAACCACAGCCGGCCCTACAGGGTGACAATGCCCCCTCAACAGAGTTCCATCCGGATCACTGTCAACTGTAAACGCTGCAAGTCCCTGGTTGTTTTTGCCCCCTCAGGACCGCAGCCGTGGATCTCTCGAGTTTCTACGCGGAGGAAAGGCCCAATGAAGAGCACCGGCTCAGCTGGGTCGACGTGAAGAGAAGCAGCGCAGCACATAGCAACTTGAAAGATTTGGGGGGATCCAAGAGACGTGTTTGATCCAGGAGTCACCGGGGTTATGTAAGTTGGGTTTGGAGGCGGGTCAAAAACAACCTTTCGTGTGATCATTGGTTGTTTTGGGTTGCGTTTTCATCGAACATCCTGTAGTAGAAATTCTCCGTTTGACAAACCCAGAAACGGAAATTGTTTTGGGCCGTGCTGCGACAACTTCATACACCACCTGGAAAACACTAGCCCCCAGTAATACTTTCAAAATCATCCACGTGGTTTGGAGTGCAGGATTTGTGCGTCGTCATTTTTTTCTGAAGGCAATGGGCCAGTGCTGGACGATGACATTCTGGAAGTTTCCAAAGTGGCCAAGGTCATTGAAGAGAACAGTGGCAAAGTGGAGAGACTTGGAGAGTTCACTCAGATGTATATCCAGGAAAATGGGATCTCACAACTACGTGGCCTCTTTCCAAGAGCTGCTGAGGTGACCGGGTTTGGATCGGTTGAACACGGTGGCATGCGCAGGGCATGCGCAGTTGAAACTACCAGAGTCCGGTTGTTGAAAGGATAGAAAAGACATCGGAAGATATCAGAAGATGCTTTCCTTCCATTAGAAGGGCAACGCTACAGGCTTGAACATGCATGGCGCGCCTGGGAAACCCCGGCTGTGGCATTTTGCATTGGGTTCAGCATTGCTCAGCTATGCATTGCCGAAACGATGTCGAAACCAAGGATGTCGATGGACATCCAGAACACTAACAGAGCCTTAGGCGGACGCATAGCAGGTGGGGGCGGACGGAGACTTGACGGAGACTTGGTGCCATAGCGGGTGGAAGAGCTGCAGTCGTAGATGTTACCTGTTTTCTTTTGTTTTTTTTTTCGGATTTTTCGGGGGGGGGGCTGTGCAGACAATTGGCATCTATTTGCAGTTTTTCTAAGGTGGTTTGCATATGTAGAGCTTTTGCTTTGGTGTCGATGATGTAGTGCACCCACCATGGAGGGTCCATGTCGTTCTCCGGCAGGCACGATCGCGTCCAAGTATGGTGACCACGGGTTTAAGGCGCGTGTCTTGGTGGCCAGGCGGCGGGTTGGTGGCCCAAGAGTGTTGGACAGGGTGACCTCGAAAATAATGTTTTTTTTGAGTCGGTTTCTTGGGAGCTACTTGAAACAGTATGGTCGATGGTGAGCTTTTCAGAATGTATAGAGGCAAAGGAAGTGAATAGTGTACTAGCTTTTCCTAGAGCGTAGCCCCCTCCACTCTAGGGACTCCCTGTTGGCCGGTGTATTGGCACGGAAAGATTCAGACTGAAGCCGTGGTCGTCGTGGTTGAACTGAGTGGACTGCACTTGCAGTAGGTTTCTTGTCCCACTGCATCACTTGCCCTCGGCCAGCCTATGCCATTGCGTTTGTCAGACATCGAACTCGATTTTTGGTCAGACGCCCCGCGTAGTGTCTCTGCAAAACATCCAGCCCACCCTTCTCCTGGGCCATCCGAGTCACCTTGCAGCTGCCTTGAATTCCCCCCATGCGGACGGCACAGGGGTCGCACGACGGCACTTTGGGGTGCTTCTCACTGTTCCAAAAGAGAGCGACCTCGCCACTTGATCCTTGGGTTCACTCGGCTTCTTCTTGGAACCCACCGGCTTGCGTCGAACTTCACCGCAGCGAACACCGTCCGAGCAGTGCAGCCGTCGGCGGCGGCAGGGTGAGATCCACTTGAACTTCACCGGCTCGGCCGGTCAGTCCTTCGGCGCTTGGAACACCAGTGGTGTGCTCCTTCAGGCGGAGACGGAGGGAGGGGCCCGGTCCACGAGGCAACCCGCTCGTGGAGGTCGGGTTCACCAGAACCCACTGGTGCGGTCAGACCAAGAGGTCGACTCAAGCAAGCAAGGTCGACTCAATGTATAGCTTGGTTGTTTCTATAGAAGGCGTGGCAGGGCTGCCAAAAAGGACACAGTCATGCAGTGAAGATGTTTCTAAGATCCAGGGATTGTAGTTTGCGGTGGGGCTAGCAAATTCACCCGAGGACCCTTTGTAGGCGCTGCTGGGCGGGGGAGAAATCAATCAATCAATCAATCAAGCAATCATTTCCCAGTTTGATTTGGGAACCTCCAATCCACTCTCAGCTCACGTTATCATACGTTATCACATGACAGATCGGAAGAGAGGCACCGCCGAAGAAACCCTCGCGTGGTCAGGTCACAGGGGACTGCAACGACTATGTGGGGAAGGGCATGAATGGCGGGACCATCGTGGCCATTGCGCCACCCGAGAGCTCCTTCCCCTCACAGGAGAGCACGGAGCACGGACTTCCAGCCGGGTGTGGTGGTGGTGGTGGGACTGCCGAGTTGTTGGTGGTCATTGGTGGCTAAAGCGGGATCAGCACTGGAACGTTTCAGAAAGGTTCCTTGAAGTGGTATTTTGGAGCGTCCGCCCCCACCAAGTTGCCCACCTTGTTCCCAAAACACCCCGCAATGGAACAGATGGAACTTAAGCATTTGGCTTCAAGGACTCCTATTATTATGTATTTATTAGAGTTAGAGGTTAGTGGTGATGCATGAGCCAAAGAAGGTTTGTCTTCTATTTTCCAATACCTCACGACATCTCACAACCAACCACGGAAGGTTCCGTTCCTGTGGGTCGTTTGACCACAGGAGAACGTCATCGCTGGCAACACATGCCTCTACGGCGCTACCGGGGGTGAGGCACGAGGTTCTTGACAGTGGGCCATCAGACGTAAGGTAGACTCTTGATGAGCACCCCCCATTTGAATATAGGACATCCTCCTCATATGGGGGGTGAAACACATATCAAGAGTCTACATTAGATGGCACAGAGATTAAGCTGTTCTGAATAGATGGGGGATCATGTAAACCACCAACATTGGGGTTCTGGTGCCATCTATATACTCTCAATCCACTCTACCGAGAGTGTTTGCTCGTGCTGGGCTCTCATAGCCATGAAAGACCATGTGTTATGTGAACATGTAGAACTCCACATCAGCAGGGTTTGCCCCAGACACCTGCCTGTTAGGATCCTTTTGGAGAGGTTTTGCTGCAGTTGATCTGGTTGGACGTTTTAAGAGCCGAGCTGCTTTGCTGCTCTGAGCAGTTTGGTTTCCCATATGTTCTGCGAAGTGCTAATTACACAAAGTTCCAGTTCTTGTGAAATACTTGGGATGAACCCAAGCCTTTAAGAAGACCATTCAATGTGTCCTGAATAAGCCATTCTGACCATTCATGGTTGTCACGATTGTGTTATTTGACATTTGTTGGTGATTTGGCCAAGGTTCGCCAGTCATTGGGAAGGCTTTACCTTGAAAGGTGTCGTCGTGTGAGAACCAACCAACCTGAGATTCCAAGCAACAGCCGGGATCCCCAATCCGGCGTGGTCAACTGCTGCCCTGGAGATCGGGTTTCGGTCACCACCGACCACGATCCGTTGGGTCAAACCCGACCGCATGGTCATGCCAAGAGAGGTTGAGAGACCTGGACGTTCGGACCCTGTAGTGGTACATAATGCGCATAATGGGATGGGCGAAAAAGGGCTGTTCAACCTTTCTCTTGTCAGGTCTTCTTCAACGGCCGCGTGGGGGAGCGCTTCGGAGTGCGCAACGCTGGATGCCGCGCCGTGATCGAAGGCGCTGGAGATCATTTGGGAGAGCGGCTTGGGCGACCGTCCGTGAAACGGGGTGGAAAACGGCCTGTCGCGGAGGCTGGATGCATCGGGACAGGTGAGGAGACCGGTGTGACAAGATGTTTCAAGAATGCGACCGCTGACGAAGGGAAGAAGGACCGTCAGACCCAGTGGTCCAGATTCTGCCAATGGCGGCCAGATCTGGTTTTGCGTCCAAGGTATATGACCAATGGTGTCATTGTGGCCTTGGGCCGTGTTGGCCGGAACGTCGCAGCGGGCATGAGCGGTGGGCTGCTCTACATCTACGAGGAGCGCATGGGAGGAAGAGAAGGTAGAAACCTCTCAATGCTTCATGCAATGTGGACTCTTGATCAACAACCCCCCATATGTTTCCAATTCCAATGGGTGGATTATTAATCAAGAGTCTGCATGTATGGAGCTTGTCATAGCTTCTCGCATTGCAGAGGGGGTGGATGGGGATGGAGTTGCTTTCAAGTGGCAGTTGTTGGATGGGTTTTTGTCTCCATGGAAGTGCCGATGCCATCGTGGAAGTGCTTCAGTTTGGAGCAAAGGTGCGGCATCGAGACCGCGTGCTAAGGGATTGGGAGCCAACTCATTTTGTGTTGATCAAAGGGATGCTCAGACATAGCTATTTAGGTAACCAAACCTCAAACTTAGGGAGAACCCCAGCTGCCGGGATTTTTTGGTCGGCCGTCGGCTGCAGGGCATTCCATTTCCGGCCCTTTTCGGGCCAAACTGTCCGCCTGCGCGGCGCTCGAGCCAGGGGGAGCGGATGGACCTGAACGCGGACAACGCGCGGAACGTCTTTCGTGTCACCTCCGAAGCTGGAGAGAAGCAGCTCAAGGAGCTCGTCGAGCTGCTCGGTGGTGCAAATGGGTGACATGTGAATTTGAATGGTGGGGAACCCTGATCAACAGGGACCTAGGTCCTGTCATCATAGATCAAAGGTCCCCGGTCGCCTTTCTGGAAGGTCATCAAGACGGGCAGAGCATCATTGGGGCAATAAGTCATCAAGACGGTCAATAGGGTGTTGAAAGGTTTGTGATGTCAGCGCGTTGGTCTCCTGAAGTCAGGTCTTTCGCCCATTTGGGGTCCGAGAATCCACTTTTCAAGCTGCAGCCAAGTAGATGGATGATCTATATACTGTAGATCTAGTAATCTTGTGTCCCCTTCTTGTGTAGTAATCTAGGGTCCCCTTCTTGTGCATTTTTTGGATTTTTGTGCGCCATCTGAACCGATGGGCTTGGGAAAGAAGCGAGCATGTTCACTTCCTGTCAGAGATGTTTTCTTTGAAATTTGGTTGGCCTGAAGCTGAACCGAACTGAACAATCCCTGCACCAGATCATCAGCCCGGCCTGGCCCAACGACTGTTTCAGCTTTCAGCGAGTCGCCTCGAGCTTCGCGTTTTTGTTTCCGCCGCGCAGATGAGGAAACATCATGAACTGACTGGCAGTAAGCGAGCGGCTGAGATCTTGGAGGACGCCGGCCCGCGGCCGGAGACACGAGCTCCTTCAGGTCTGAGGCTTCTAATCCTTGGGGTTCAGACCACTTGTGGTCATCTACTCGCTGTGCTTGATCACCTACTTGTCTTGTTAGGTCCCTGCAGAGTCAGAGATGTTTATGATGTTTTCTCTTTTGTGAAGACTGTGAAGCAATCGCTGAGCTAGCAGGGGTGATGTTAAGGGTCATAGCACTTTGGGGGGAAGATGGGGGAAGTCTTGAGAATGCATGGAACATGATGGAAGACTCCACAATTCCGAGGTGACACATTGTGAGACACTTTTACACTTCTACCGCCTCTACCTTGGGGGACTATATAAAATCATATAAAATCGATGCTGAACACATACCCCTTTGGGATTTGGTAGGCTTCATGTTCAGAGGCTCGTGAACCTCCACAGTCTCCGTGCGTCACCGGAGCTGAACAGCACAAAGCTTGCTCAAGATCATGAAGAACAAGGGGCACGTAACACCCATGTCCGTCCAGTGAAGAAACTGTCCACTTGCCAGGTAGCTTTGGGACATTCACTGGTAGCTGGTAGCCCATACGTGAGCAACTTGATCAGTCCTCACAGCTTCAGGGCATAGGCTATAACTTTGTGACATAGACTGCCTCAAACCGTTGCAACAGCAGATCGGCCCCAATAAGTTTGGGTGTCCCCTCACTTGTGATAGGGTCAACGCTTACGCCCCCAGGCAACTGAGAATTCAGCCAATCAAATCCAAGTCATTCTATGAATTTCACCTCCACGATCCCTCTGTCATACTTGGGCCACCTGCTTCTCAGACTCAAACGAAGGGTGAACTCAGACCAATCAGACGAAGTCCCGGTGCCCTTCGGTCCCCGGCCATGTCGAGCCGCAGCCGCTCGCCCAAGAGGGGGACGATTGAGGAGGACGGACCGCGTGAGTACCGGCCGCTCTTGGTGTGCACGGCTTGGGATGCGCAAGAGATGCACGAAAAGAGTATACCTCAAGTGAGAGTAGTGTTTGATATAGGCTTAGGTCTTGCCAGCCGTCGGGGTCGTGTGGCAGGAAGTGGGTCGTGTGTTCATCTTGAGATAGGATGCTGGTTGAGACAGGTCGTGCCAAGACTGGGTCAAGAGCCACAGACTTGGTTTACAGGTTGTTGCGCCCAACTGTCGGTGGGGCCAAGATTCTAGCAGAACGAACTGAGAGTAAACTGTAAACATGGGTGATTTCTCACAAAAAAAACGAACATTTGGTGTCAAAACGTCTTGAGCAGTGGAATTGCTCAACATGGGCACTCCAATGGTGCCCTCGGTGCCCGGTGGCGTGTGCAGGATGTGAAGGCGGCACATCGACTCCGAGAAAGCTTTTCGGCAGCCACTGCGGTGGTGAAAGCAGAACCGCCCGTCAAGCGAAACCGAAAGCGATCGTGTCACCACGTGGATGTTTGAGCAAAGGATGGTCAAACCCACCAGGAGTCACAAAGGGGTGGTGTTTAGTCTCCAAGTGAGTGGATAATGGGCACTCCTAACCTCCATTAAGCACCCCTTTGTGACTGCTGGCAGTCTTAACTTAACTTGTTTATGTATGCTTTCCAAGAGTCTGAAGGGAACAGAATGGGTAAGTTCTCATACCACTCATCTCCATTCCACCGTCAAGGAATGCCAGCCAATTCTGGCTCATTTGGGGGTGTTTGATGCCTCCCCCACGCGTTAATGTGGCAACAGTTGCATCACCCTGACTTCACCTATCTTCACCTGCGCTGGCTCCAGGCTACGCGCCGCCGCGGCAATCCAACTTCCGCGTCAGCGCGGTGTTGCGCTTCACGCGCGCCGACGGCAGCGGGGGGACCCTGGAGGCGGGGGCACCGAGCCGGTACATCGCTCGGACAGTCGGAGAGGGTGGTCAAGAGACCGTCCGGATTGAGTGGTCTATTGTATCGCTTCATATCGCTTCATCAGGCGAAAAGTAACAGTACGTAACAGTTATAGATATAGTCATATGGTTATATTAAAATGATGTTCAAAGCAATCATCACGATCTGTTCGTGATAGGGGTGATAGTGGTGGGTGTCTGACAGCCTTCGACTATCGACCGGTCGACTAGAGCTGGGTTCAATCGTGGCATCATGCGGGGCCAGACACGGGCCACCAACCATCGAGCGTGCAAGGCTGTGAACGCCGAACCTCACGATGCCAACATCCGTGGTGCGATTTGCGCCGATCCGCCGGCAGCACGAGAAGAGCGGGCAGGTTGGCACTGACAGAATCATTCAAGCAAGTGGATCACCACCCTGTTTCTGGTGGAAAAATGGTCATCCAAGGGACCATGTTCATCCGTTTTCCATCCAGGTATAGTGCGTATAGTGATTCTTAGCACTGCTGGGGGGCTCCACCTGCCGCCGGGACCGGCGCGTTGCGCCCCGAGGAACGCGCGGCCATGTGCCTCTTTCAGAAGACCGAGGGCAACGGCGCGGAGATCCGTCGCGTCGTGTGCGCGACGGACTGCAAGGCCGGGCGGAGCAGAACGGCAAACGGAGCGACGTCGGTGTGCGGTTTGCCGTTTGAAAAACCGGTCCATGGAAAGTGTCATGTGTGGGAGGAAAGAACGACCTGAGATGGGTGGAAGTGCAGTGGCAAATTGATGCTCCAGTGATTCCTGGGTGAATCTGTTGGAAAACGAATCAAATTGATGAGAGTTAATATACAGTGGTTCCAGAGTAGATGGCTCAAACCCCTCCATGTCTTTCAGATGGAGGTCCAAAAAATCACCTTTTGGGGATTGTGCCATCTACTCTGAAACCACTGCATTGCTGAGGAGTGACCAGTTTGCTGATCTGGGGCTGCTGAAAGTCTCATTGACGCTCTGAGCTGCCAGGGTTTGGGGTCAGTGATGATGCCAGGATGTTCACAGACAAGTCGAGTTGTGTTTGGGCTGTGTTGTCATGTTCAGCAGCCCAAATATATCATGGTTCAATGTGCATTTTCTTTTTTGGGGGGGTTCCCGCGCATCCAAGGTTCACACTTCTTAGAGCATTGCCGAACACCCATCCGAACCAACCCACTCCCCTTCGTCGTCAAGATGGGCCAGGTCCCCAGGTCCCTGGCCCATCTCCAGGATCCCATCTACCCGGGCCCTCTTTGCCGGGAATTCTTGACCTCCAGCTGCGGACCAGAGGCGCAGGGCCGGGGTGGCACCGGCCACCAGGATGGCCAGACTTGATTCGCTAAGAACTTGGTTTAGACTTGATCACGAGGGAATCGGATGGAATAGGGTCCCTATAATATCCTATAATTACTTGATCCAGTGCTTGGTCCATGTTGAATTATTTTGCTAAATGTTGATCCTTCATGTTTATTTTTTCCTCCCCCGATGCTGTATAAGTCATTTTGTTCTTGCTGGATCATTTCAAAGAACGGCCCAACTTGGGCACTGGAGGACTTACTGTATTTTGTTGCCCAGGTTCTGTTTTTGAACCTGGTGGAACTTGTTTTGATGGGAATCACGCTATACCGCTATATATATATATGTGTGTGTGCGTATTTCTCTCTCTCTATATATACTATACACCCCCTTCCGGGAGAAGGCTGGGGGAGAACATCGTGTGCCAGTCTGACGAGTTAATACAGCATCTCTGATACCACCCTGAAGTACGAGCTTCTTCTCAAGTGAGTGTTTGTGTGTGTTTGTGCGGGTATCGGTATATAATATATGTTTGCATATATATATATATTATATCTATGTGTGTGTTTGTGCGATGGCCTCCACCTAGTAGCGTCCTTGCTACTAGCAATGCCCTTGTTACTAGTAGCTTCTTGTTACTAGTAGTAAGGCCAGGAGCTACGTTCGTCGGATCCTTGCTCCTAGTTTCTTAAGCAAATCCAAGATGTCGACAGGACTGGAACGCCCCTCGCAAGGTTGAGATCGTGGCCACCGGCTCCGACGGAAATTGGGTCGTGCAACCCTTGAGGCGCGTGAGTCGCGAGTGCGCGCGCCATTGATGCAGGAAAAGGGGTCAAGTGAGCGTAGGAAACGGAGGCACGCATGGAATTGTATCAGATTATGTGTGTATTTATTGGGTTTGCCTCAGTCATTACCTGCAACAGTCGGTAAACAGTGACAGTTATCACTCTTTTTTGTTGGAGAAAGGCCTTTACTAACCATCATCATCCACTGTTACTGGCGATGGGATATACCATGATATACCCAATGTATTAAATAGGTTGATGTGAACGAGCGGCGCGAACGTTGTCTTTAAAAGCAAGGAGCACGGGCCTTACAACGGGTAAAGTTATGCAAACAGTGCCAGCATCATAACAAGATTCTTAAGATTCAAGCGGCTGTTAGGCCAACTGTTGGGAAGGGGAAGGAGTCATGGTTTCAACAAGGCGTGGCCAGTGCCAGTGCGTTGCCATCTCATTTTTCTACTCGGCGTGTGAGGTTTGTGAACGCTTCTTGAGCCCTTCGCCCTTCGCCCTTCCCGCCTGACAGGGAGCTCTTCCGGATGCCATCGCCGTACCGCGGCCTGGCACAGCAGGAGGCCAAAGCCAAGGCCTCGGCCTTGGGTGGCCAGGTGAAGCCGCCGGAGGACGCGCTGGCCGCAAAGGTCTACCAGGCGGAGTGGCACAACTTTGGGGATGTATGGGGAGGGGCAAGGGAGGTCGAACGCTGGGGAAAGGATGGTTTGAGAAGAATGCTTGGGTATGTTTGGGTTGAGTTTGATCAAAAAAAGGCGTGAAGTCGAGGTATCAAAGACGGTGGAGTCGAAGGAGATGTTCATTAAAGATTTGTAGAAATAGCTTTGTACAGTCCTGGCTGGATGGCTTGCCAAAAGGGTGCTCATATACGAGAGAATGATCGGCTGGGGAACCCTTCAGCACCACTGAATCGCGAGAATGATTCAAATGCCGTAGGGAAAGTCAACACCCTCAACCTCATCAAGAAACACATTCGACATTGGCACACTTTGTGATCATTGGTGATTGGGTGATTCTATTCTTAGAGGAAGTCACTCGAACCAATCGCACAGGGGAAAGCAAAAGTCAGCACAGCGTCCCACTGCCTGCTGCTCGTGTTTGATGCCCAATCCGATCAGGCCCCCTACTCTGAACCACCCCAACTGGCTGTGGGTAATGGCATGATGCATCAGGAGACCAACCGGTTCACTTACCGACGACATGTGCGCATGTCCTACCACGAGTCCCTATATACAGGCCCTTCAGCATATATACCTTCCTAGTAGCTTATTGTTTCTAATAGTTTCATATCGCTTCTTGTTACTACTAGTAAGGCACTTGTTACGAGCGAAGCGATGCACTTGTTCCGTTCGTAGCGAACATTGTTTCTTCATCACTGGGATTCTCAGGGGTTCCCTCCACTTGGTCAATATCCCACCCCCTGAGCGGTGGGTCCAGCGATGGGATTCATGCACCTCACGGAACCGGTTTTCGATGTTTTTCGGTTTGGCATGTTTGACACTGGTCGCATGTCCGTGTGAGTTGGGAAAACAGCAAAAATGTCAAGGTGATTGTACTTACACTCTGAGTCACTAACGTGGAAGTGGAAGACCAGCTTTTTGTAGAGGAACATGGCCATCCAAGTTGGCCATTGTCCACTTCCATTATCTTCCATGACTATTTCAGGGGGTGTACTTAGTTACTTGGCAGGCCAGCAAGACTTGCCGAACCAACTGAAAGCCATAGATAAAGATGCTGGGGGACTCCCCTACACCCCCACTATCAGCAACTGTTTCATTAAGCTTTCATGTCAAGGAACTTTGCTCAAGAATTTGAAGGCCATAGTGACAGCACCCGCCATCCATTTCCTTGGATTCTTTGGATTTGGATGCTGATCTTATCACGTGACCCCCCCTGGTGAAGGCAGCTTTCGCTTTGGCACGAAAGCAAGAGCCTCAGAGCCTCGGCATTCGGCCGTAAGCGCCCGAGATCGAGCCATCGCAGGAGGAGGTGCTTATAGTAATCAAATCACCCTCCCACTCACTAACATGGAAGTGGACATCCACCTGTTTGTAAAGGAAAATGGTCTTGCAAGGGCCCAGTTTGGGAAGCCTGAGTGAGTCAGAGTGTACATCTAGGAATTCAGGAAGGTTGTTCACCTTCGTGCATGAACATGATCAACCAAGACAGGGTTGAATGCTTCCTTTAGTCTGTGGCGGGGGATGTGAAGAATCTCTGATGTATTGGTCGCATACGGCGTCAGTGACATGACATGTGAGCACGTCGGGCGCCCTCAGATCGGCATTGTTGATGTGAAAAACGCCGGATTACTCGGCACCCTCATTCCTGTGCATTGTTACAATGTTCGATATAATATTCAAGACAACGCAGATTGATCTTACTTGGCAGGTTAGTTTTAATATGTTTTAATGAATCTTGCATTGTGTTATTGTTCTTTTTTTTGTGAAGCATCCCCCGTGTCATAGTATCGTCACCCCACAGCAACCCACCGCAACTGCCGGCCAGGGTCAAGCGACTTTGTTGATGGCGATGTGAGGCTTTCCGCCAGTGCGAAGAATCGACATTCACAGATCATGGGACCATATGGGGCCTATGGAGTCATCAAATCCTGTTCAGTATCCTATGGATTTGATCCTATTCCGGATGCTGCGAGTCCAAATCCTGTTCAGAGGCCCATTGGACTCATTGGACCCTTCATCCGCCAGCGTGAAAAGACCAGTGGAATCGGATGCAATGACCTGCCCCAGGACGGTAGTTTATCCCATCACCTTCGCTGCCGCCGTGGGCTTCGAGGACGGCGAGGTCGCCTTTGCCGCGGTGGCTTCGGTAGAGAAGCAGTGGGTTGGAGTTCAAAGGGGAGGGGGCACAGAGGTCCTGGAATGGCAACACAAGCAGTCAATCTTGATAACTTTCATCCCCTGCCTTTAGTGAGTGAGATTGTTGATGTGCAGGGGATTTCATGGGTAGATGGCTTGGTGGAGCCTGCACCTCTGCGTAGAGGATTTGGATTGTTGATTGCTGCTAGGCCCTTATAGGATATCATATATAGGCTGTTTTCCACTGCCGATGTAGCATGTGGGGTGTGTGGAACTTCCGAAGAATCCGTGAAAGAGATATATACTGATATATATATATATAGATCTCTCTCTCTCTCTATATATATATGAATGAAGTTGTCAGGAACAAACTTGGCAGGTATTGAGATGCTTTCACATGTGATCTTGACATGTTTGAAGGTGTTCTTGTTCCTTTTGGTGCTTAACGCGGGGTCAAAATTCCCTATTGGAAGGAGCGTCTACAGTATGGGTTCTTCACTCCGGTCATCAAGGAGAAGGGGATTGAAGACCGAGTAGCTGGATAGCTGGCTTGCGCCCATGTCATAGAGGTTCGCTAAGCAGACATCACATATTTACACAGACTCACTATGGTCTTGCAAGCTAGTAAGAAAGGAATCATGCTCAAGCTATGTGTTTTTCCCACTGCCTTGTTGGCTTTGGCAAGATTAGAGATGAGATACCAACCTCAACTTCTCTAACTGATATTTATCATTTGACTTGAAGCTGTTTTGATACCATGATGGTTGAAAGGGACCTTCCAGCTTTTTCACACTAGAGTCTAACTCAACAATTCACTGAGGAGCTGAAGGGCATCGAGTACGGCTGCACTGTGGATGCAGCCTCCCTTCTCATCCCCGAGCTTCAGCGGCGTCGTGGACACTCTGACACCTCGCGGGCGAGGGTGCTCATGCAGGTGGACAACTTTGGAGTGGCACACGTGACTTGGAGGGCCGTCGTCGGGTTAGAGATTCAGGTGGAGCGATGGAGGATCTCGATAAATTCAGACCAAGCAGTGCCCATGACCCGAAGGGCGATGTTTGGTGTGTGTATTGGTTTCTTTTTAAATTCTGTTTTGGTTCGAGATGTGTTCAGCCTTTTTGTGCTGGACTTGGGCCTCAGAGCAGCGTGTGTAGGCCATTATAGGCCGAGGATGGGGAGTGAGGCTCTGAGAGTGGAAGGAGTTTGGAAACAGGGCCGGACATGGGACACGGTGTGCATTTTAATAAGGAGACCACGTGGTTGTAGCGTAGGCCACCCAGCAGTGTATATGTATACAGTACGTAGAGTAGGCACTTGACATCACTTGGAATTGTTTTGAACTTTAGACATGTTTCATTACGCTTCAACAAAAGCACGACTCAGATATACTCAGATAGACTCAGGATCGAGGACGGTTCATTTCCTCTGCACAAAAAAAGTCAGAGTGGTTCGTTGAAAAACCTTGAACAAATCAAGCGCCATTCTATTCTTTTTAGTAATACATATAGCCACTCGAATTCTCACTAGTACGGACCAGCCCGCTCCATAGGAAGCCCTCCACAAAAAGGAAGCCTAGCTCGCCGAGTTGCCTCAAAGGCACCTTTTTCTGGAGCGCGGAGTTTGCTCGTCGAGCACGGCTTTGGCGACGTGCTCGTGACGGCGCATGGCCACTGGAGCTCGGAGGGAATGTGGCGGGAGGGTGGCGGGGTGCCGAAGGTGCCGGGGTGCCGAAGGTAACCACCCATATAGATCCATATAGATCCGAAGGTTTTGTGTTGTTCTTTTTTAGTTTGGGGGGTCATGGGTTTGAGAAGGTTTGAGACATGCCCCAAGACTAGATATCTTCATGAGGAGAGATCCAGGTCCCTCAGACGAACTCTCAAATGGCAAAGAGAAGAAGATTGTCGCGACTTGTTGGGTGCTGGGTGTCCGTGTCAGGATCTTTTTGGGGGGATGGGGTGGGCACCAAGACGTTTTTGGGGGTGGAATTGTATAGATCTTGTGGCTTGTCAAGACTGTCAAGACCCATCTCTTCATGTGGGGGGGTGTACTTCCACTTACCCTGCCCCCCAACACCACTGGGTTGTAGAGGAAAATGGTCTTCCACGATCTTCCATGGGTGCACTCTCAGGGTCCATGTTAGTCTGCCGGGGTGTAGTTCAAGTCGATGAAAAGGGTTGAGCACAGCAGCCGCATGTCCACTTCATGCTTGCCGTCGAGGTCCACGTCGATGTCGAAGACGTCCGACTCGAGGTGATGATGGGCAATGGCTGGAGCCCATCAAGGTGAAAGAGTCCCTGCCACATGCTGACTTCCTCTCCATCTTTTGATTGGAAAGCTCTATGATGCTCTGGACGTACACGTCGATTCGACTTCTGACATGATGCACTTGGGAACGATAATAGGTCCCTCTGCCGTGTTCCGCAAGCTCCCATCAAGAAGGATCACAGTTGTTTTAAACAAAGCAGCTTGAACCGGACATCAGGGACAACCAAGAAGTTGTGCATGAAAGGAGCTTTGGAAACCGTGCACGGCAGCCTGCAGGTCAGCCTGAGGGTGGAGAAAAGGAGCGGTGCAACTTGAGTTGGGACCAGCTATTGTAGAAAATGGTTGCAACTAGATTCCAGAGATTCAGCTAACCAGCAGCTTTTGGGTCATCCTCTTGGTTTATGCCTTGGTCACCCCAGCTTCCCACAGCGGACAGGTGCCTTCCAAGTAAGCCACGCAAAAACGGCCAACAAACAAATAGACAGACACCCTCAGCATGTTTGCTCAATGAACATCTTTCTGTTACAAGAGCTAGTATATAATGGTATTAATTGATTCAAGAGGTTCTTTGGTTCGATTGGCCATATAGAATTCACTATTCGCTATACCAATTTTGTCGATTTTGACCGCTGACCGTGTGCAACTAGCTGGTTTGGTCACTCCGAAACCCGTGTTTCCCCAGTCCGTTGGTGAGGACTGGGACGACGCGAAGGCGCGCTTCTGGCAGGTGGCTCCCGTGGCTTGGTTTGCGACCCTGAGTTAGTGACTGCATCCATCGGGTGTGGCCCAGTACCCAGTGGGAGTCCCAGTGGGTCAATCACCCTCATCCACTGGGGCCCTGGGAGTTTGGGATATACAGCATCACCTCTCATCCCCATCCATCCGAAAGCGAAGACCCTGGGATTTGCACCATTCTGCATCATTCTGCACCGCTCATCGCTGCTCCATCGGCGTCTCAGGTGTCGATGCAAGGCAGCGAGTTGGTGGCAGTGCCTGAGGCCGCGAGTGGGAGGATCGATTGGGGAAAACCTCCTTCCAAACAGTGGTTGAAGAACATTGAAGAACCCTATAAATAAACTATCTCATGATTAGGTACCCCAATAGGGTCCTATAGGGTCACTTAACCTCTCTTGGTTCCCCCACGGAACATGGGCGCTAGAGGAAGTTCCAAATTTCTATGGCCGCCAGAGCCTGCTTTGTTGGAACGTTTTTTTTGTGGTTTGGTTGTCAGAGCCACGCCAGTGGTGTTGGAGAAAGAGACCGGCGAGGATCGGCGAGGTATTCCTAGTCCCCTTAGGACATCATTAGGACTGGTATGGACTGGTGGACAGCAAGCCGGCGACCTATAGGGATTCCTTTTTGTCAAGTCCCTCAACCATCATTGGACCCCACTCCCAAGAGCCTTGACCCTATCATAGTGCCAAACCTTCCCTTAACTCACGTTCGCCATTTGAGGCTCCAAACGACTTCGATCCAAGGAAAAACCACACGGTTTCGAAGACTCGAAAGACTCAGGACATCTCACCCAGAACTATCCAGAACATGCCAGAACCCTCCGAAACCCTTCGACCCCCGAGCCTTCAGAAGAAGACCCATCCTGCCGGTGCCCGACCCCTTCGACCCGGCCCGTTCGGTCGACGCTTCCAGGCCTCGGTGGATCAAACGACCGCCGCCGTGGCCATGGCCGCGGGGAGGCCCGCGCGGCGCCGGGCCGTGCCCGGGCGTGGGCCGCCGCGGGCCGGGGAGCCCGGAACAGGGCGAGTCGAAGAGATGGAGCAAGAGATGGAGCAAGACACGGAAGCTACAGCATGCAATGGTGATAATTAGTGCAATTCAGACATATTCAGACATATTCATTAATAACACTCATGTGAGTAATCATGTGGCTTGTTCTTTGTAAGGAGCATGGAAAGAGCGGATGTTTGAAGGTAGAGAATTGGACATGACAGAGTCTGATTCAAGAGGGGAAGTGTTTGGGTCTAGAGCACATCTCGGACAAGTTTGTGTTCACCAAAACCGGTCCACTCTGCCATGCCCCCAACAGGGGGGCAGCTTTCATTCACATGTGCGCATTGAGTGCATCATTCGTTGTGTTTGTTTTGTTTGACCATTTAGGATCATCTTAAGTGACTTGGCACTCGCTTCGAGTCCGTCTTGGACTCCGCCGTCCGTGGGGTGATCATCGGAAGGGGTGGCTGTTGCAAGAGGTAGGGATATACACCCTCAACCACTCACTGTGCTCAAGGGTCCGGATTCTTTGGGTATCAACCATGAGGGATACAAGGGCCAATGATAAAAAACGATCAACGTATTTATGCTAAGCGATGCAGTTGGGGATTGCTGGGGAAAGTCTGCATGTGTCAGGGGAACAATGCAGCCAGCAGGTGTGCAGTTTCAGTGGGCCGGCTGGAGTGTTGTTAGATTGAATCTTGGAAATCACTAGACCAGACCATTATGAAGTGGAGCATCGATCAGCAACAGGTATTCTGAAGAGGGCCGCTCTTCCATTCCAATTTGTACATGCACTTCGGATAGGACTCAGGCGCCCGAATGGCGCCTTCCGAAACGCATAAAAAAGCTGTGACCACTTCTGACCCTCTCCGAGGGTTCAGGGCCTTCCCTTCCCCTCAAAAGAATCACTTGGAGCCTCGGACGCTGAGATCGCCTCCACAGCTTGCTGAGGCCGGACCCGGCTCCACTGGTCCCAGTCGATGAGGCGATGAGCCGGCGACGGCTCAGGCAGTGTTTTCGGCGAGCTGGAGCTCCGTCGTTCCGGGCGAGCGGTGGCCAGCGGCATACCGCACTGAGCAGGGCTCCCTGGGAATTTCCCTGGTGATGTAGTAAGGATGCTCCTAGTAGTACGCCCAGGAGCCCCTAGTAGCGTCCTTGCATGTCCTTGCTCCTAGTAGCGATGCCAGGAGCCCCTGTAGCTTCTTGCTCCTAGTTTCTTGTCTTCTACATTCAGGGAATTGGGAATCATGGCGATTTGCAACAGAAGATCTGGTATCAGGACAAGTTTGAGTGTGATTACATCCAACCTGCCATCATACTAGGATCCTTGAGGCCCAGGGTGGCAGATATGATGGAACTGACTAATCTCCTAAAGTGGGCGTGGCAAGATTTACAGGTCCATAGGTGTTTGTGGCCGAAGATCCTTCAAATGTTGCTATGACTAAGGCAAGTGTGGAGATCCGTGAGGAATTCCCAACAATATTGAAATCTAGGGAACCTTGCTCAAGGCCGTCCTGTTTGTTCCGCTTCTTGCGCTGCTTAGATCGTGGAGCGATCCAAGTAGCGATGTAGCTCGATCGAACAATCGTCTCACCGAGTCTCGTCATAGAGCTCGTCATAGATTTCTTGAGAAATAGCGATGCCGCGCGTGTAGATTGGTGGGACGGGCAAGATGGGGCGAATCAGGAAAACAATCTTCAAACTCACTGGGCTTGTCAACGAGCTTGACTGCAGCTGTCCACATGATTTGAGAGGGCATTTGTCACATTTTGTCACAACATATTATACAACAACCTTGAAGAGGTTTTACAATCCCCAAATGGATCATCCAAATGGGGAGGTTCTACAGTCAAGAGTCGATCGCACATGGCCAACCCAAAAATTGGTCTCCAACCCAAACACTGAGCTCATGTCGGTCTGTTCTGCTTGGCTTGAGGTCTGACTTCGAATACAAGCAGAACATCTCCTTTAGCGAGTTGCTGGGCAGAACTCGGAACGGTGGCGAGTTGGGGCGGCCGGTGGCGTTCTCGGTGTTTCAGGGAGTTTCCGGTGCCAAGTTGAATGAGAAGGCCATAGAAGGCCATAGGTGGCTGAGAGTTGAGACTGTTTCGGATGGTTTAGTGGGACACTTCTGTGACTGTAGCTATGTTTTCGTCTCATAAAGGTCATGCCTTCGCTTTCAGAATGGCATTGGTTTTTTCATTGATTTATTGTTCCGGCGGGCCGCCGTTGGCCAGGTGGAGGGGGAGGTGATGGGAGGTGCGGTGCATGGAAGAGGTGATGGGCCGTGCTCTTTTGGAAATCACTGACTGCGACTGAGTTGACTGACTCGTGAGGAAAAAATGAGGACATGATCCCCCGCCAATCCCCACCAGAGGTACCCAACAGGATCCAGCCACCCAAAACCACTCCCGAAAACGAACCCATGGAGCCTGTGGTGGAATGGCAACCCTGAGTCAGATGGGCTTTCCTCAGGCCAAACCAGGGGGTTTTTCAGGGTCCCTATGGGGTCCATGGGATCGTTACATCGGGCCGCTTCCTTCCTGCGGCCGCAAGCGGCTCGTTGGGCGTCCACCCGAGTCCATTGGGGTAGGTGCCACCTGAAAACGACGGTGAAGTCTTCAAGTCAGTGACCAGAACGGCCAGAAAAGACCATCAACGGAATGCGGTCAGTGTGAACGGTGATGGAATCTAACGGTCAGTGTTGACGAAGCTAACGGTGATTGTAGAATTGGACCGTTAAGCTTCGTTCGCGTTGATCATTTGTACCACACGACGTGTCGCTTTGCGCCATGGGTACTCACACTGGGTGGAAGTCAGTGGCCATGCTGGGAGCAGCGAGCGTCACCACTTTGCTGGTGGTGCGAGCCATTCGGCGGCGCCGGTCTCCAGTGATTGTCTCCAAGCTCTCATGCCGCTGTGGGAAGATTCAGGGCGAACTCTCAGCCATCCGCCAGGATTCCATACGCATTCACTGCTACTGCGGCGATTGCCGGCAGTATGCCAACTTCATCGCTTCCTTGGGCAATCAAAAGGACACGACCGTTGGAGAATTCGGAGACACTCGAGTGGTACAAGTCTGCAAGAGCGCAGTCAAGATCACGCAAGGCAACGGACTCATTAAGTTGGCCAGAAAAGCAAAGAATTCCAGCAAGGGGCAGATCTTTATGCATCGATTTTATGCCAGTTGCTGCAACGTACCTCTCTATAACACAGTGGACTTTTTGGGGTTTGTGGGGGTTTTCACCGATTTCCTGGATGAGCACTACAAGGAGTTCGAGGGCCCCGTACGCATGTTTGCAGAGGAGGCTTTGAAGACCAGAAGTGATCCGGAAGCGGAGATTTCCGTGCCCGACTTCTTGTGGAAGTTGCTTCGTTATTATCCATGGCGCAAGTGCGGTCCTTTCGACTACAAGCAGGAACCAGTGTACTGGGGTGCTTGACATTAAGGATTTCAATTTGAGGACGCGCGGATGGCTGGTTGAACCAGTGACGTCATGAGAGACTCAGAGAGCACAACAGTTTGGACCTATTTGGATTCATTGTTCATCTTTGTTTCACAAAGCTTGCCGAGTCAGATGATGTAGCTGGGCCTTTCCTTTCAAGGCATGTGGAATTCGCAAGCCACGAATTCAAGGCAGTTTGTTGGCCCATGTCAGTCTAAGCTTACTGCTCAGATGCCGATTGATTGGAAATTGAATTGGGCACTGCTTGGACAGGGCTGTGCTGCAATATGATTTGGAAGATGTCATTGTTCTGGCAGCACGGATGAACTGGTATGTTTGAGCTGCTTGATCAGTAAATCAGGCATGTCAAACTGCACTCTAAAGGCAAACCCAAACATGTTGTAAGCTTGCATATGCAGCTATGCACATATAATTGCATCAAATTCTTTTGGGTCCTCATGGAACAAACTACCAGCCGGGCCTATAACAAGGATGCGCAGGGGTTGTCCCAGCCCTCATGCCGAGGTCAATGATCTACGGATCCAAAGCCAGTTGCCCGGAAGCAGTCGGCAGCAGTGGGCATTGCGGCATTCCATGCGCGCGACGTCCACGGGGATTACCTGACCCAGACAACCCGTGATGTTCCAGCTTGGGGTGGTGTCAGGGATGAGTGTGGCAAACATTTGGACAGTCACCAATGTACTGGGGCTGGGCTTGCGTTGAATCAAACGTAGAGAATCAACTATCTTGCAACCTCCCCTTTGAGTGTCGATCTCTTTTGTTGCTTGTCGGGTCAATGGGTTGGCACCGACATTTGGACCAAACGCCAAAGGTTATATCATCTATCGTGTTTTGTGATCCTCGCCGGAAAGTGGACTCAAGAGCTAGGGCTACACCTTTTGGGGCTCGTAGAATCTACTCCAACATCATTAATAACTGATCTAGTTCGAGTAGCCATAGGGCCATAGGGCTGTCCTCATTTTGAACAGGGCAGTTTAAATGCTTGACCAAGCCACCAACGGTTTGTTAGGCCCCTTCTTTGCCCTGTTGCCTTGACCAAGTACAGCGCAGGGCGCAAGAAATGTCTCCGAGGCATGCCTCCCACAGCGACGTTAGGCCCGGATGTGTTTGGGGTTGATTTGGGTGTATATTTTAGTAGGGGGACCTCCCTGGCCTTGGCTAGGTAGACTGGTCTATGATGTCTATGTTCCTTCCTTTTCTTGGGCGGGTGGGAACTCCTGGGAGGTCGAGACCTATGATCAAACTACGCACCTCCGATCATCCGGGTCATCCGGTCATCCGATCACGCTGTGAAGTCATGTGCGGGATCGGTATCGGATAGCAGCAACGTGTCCAACTGCACTGTGAATTGTGGACTGCTCCGGACTCTCTTCTTGGAGCAAGGGGGCAGACTGTGTGGGATGCCTTGGGTAGTTGGAGCTTGGACTCTTCCATCAGGGCCGCGCTGACCACACTCAGAAGTACAGACACACCTCCCACCAAACACCACCCCACGGGCAAGGGCCGGCTTTCGGAAAAGACTCTTTATGTCTAGTCGCCCAAGAAAAAAGCAATTCTATCATTGGCCATATGTTTGGTTTGGGAGGTCGTTTGGGTGACCCACCCCATACTGTAGTGTATATATGATTACAGTATATATGCGTTTCCAACTTGCAGTGGAACAGGCCCATTCCTCTCACGTGACCCACACTCTTCAGGTCACAACGAGCGAGATCCGGCGAGCGCCCCATCCTGGTACCTCGTCCTGGCCGTGTCTGACCGTGTGGTTTGGCCGTCCTGGGCGATAGCAGAAGAAACATCCGTATTGGTCCATTCATTTCACTCACCGCCTTGCGTTCACATCAAGATATAATTATCAAGAACACTGCGTAGCACAGTACCGCTATTGGATACTGAACAGAAGGATTTCTTCACCAAGCTTGTGATGAAGAACTGGGTGCTCCATATGTGTACATGGTTGGGAACCACTGGCAAAAAAGAAGGACATCGACTACTGAACTCAACGATTGCTGAACAGTTTCACAATCCACCCGTCTGAAGCTTTGCTTCTCCAACTCATGTGGTGGAAGTCTACTAACTATGCAGCTCGAACTTTTGGAGGGCACCACCTCCCCTTGCGTCACCATAATTTCTTCTCCAAGTGACATGGTAAACTTACTGACCCCGAACGGAAGATGGATGAACATAAGGGCCTTCCAAGGAACAAACATGGGGTGAACTCTGCCAAAGCATAGTTCTGATTTTGATTGATTCTGGGCGAAAGTGGATTTTCACTGGGAAACCTGGGAATCAACTGCATTCACTTCACCCTTTGCCTGGCTTGCCATCGCATGCCATAGCCGCCATAGCCCTTTTGGCTCGTGGAACTCGACCGTGGGGTGGCGGCCGTTGCGGACATGAGCTGTTGCGGGGGTTTGTTTACTTCGAGGGTGTTCATTTTGTTGCTTTTATTTCCGGGCTGCAGCCCCCCACCTTTGACAGCTGAGATGCATGGGTGGGACCCTGGGTGAAAGCAGTTGAAGGCTTCTCAAACCGAAACCGACCTTGTTGTGGAACCCAATTGGCTTCAGGAACGCTTTTCCACTGACCCCGGGTCTGAACAGGAATCCCGTCCAGGATGCTTTTCGACGCTTCGCAGCGACGCGGCGCTTAGACGGCACCACGGAGACCGGAGTCCGGCCATGTACCCGGTGCCTGCCGCCAGATGTTCAGGTGGGCCATGGCACCAAGAGGATCACAGTCAGGGAAGACTTAGATGTCCAGAAGGTGTTGTAGTCCCGGTTTGTCCTGGTATATGTGGTGTGGCGAGCATCAATGAAAAGAACGGCAAGCCATTGATGCACAGATTCATGCCTATTAGCCTATTAGATCCTAATTAGCATTTGCATGGGGTAAAACTTCTCCTTGAGCCACCTCGATTTGGGATTTGCAGATGGTTCGATGCTGACAGCCACAAGAATAAAGTGTGGGTTGGAAGCTTCAAGGGGTTGACATGCCCCTCAGGATTCCTAGCCCCTTCTATTCTTGGTGACCCACTGACAAGCACCAAGGGCACCCCAAACAATGAAAACCGATGAAAAGCGCAAGCGTTGGCCGGGCGCCGCTGCAAACATGGTCACTGGTGCACGAAAAGCCATGGAGCAAATTGAGGGAGGCCACTATCCGATAGAGAAACACAAATGAAGCACCCGTTGTAGAAGTGCCAGAGCGCCAGTTTGCACTGACAAGGTTCAATAGCCCATGGGCCCATGAATGAACCCAGTGGGCCCATACAATGCCGGCCTTCTTCTACGAAACAGCATGGTGGCCACACGATTCATCATGTTTGCTTCAACACACGAAGACACACAAAGATGCATTAGACAAATAGATCGTTCATTTTAGCAAGATGTTGCCAGGGTCGTTCTTCAGCATCTCTCCACGAAAAAGGGCCACTCCTTCATGGCGCCATGTGGCTCTTTCATGGCGCTCGTTTGTGGCTCCTCTTCTTGCAGCCCTCCTGGGCCGCCGGTCCGCGCTGCCACGCGGACCTGGACGATGATCTGGATCCGGCGGAGATCTTCGGGTGGAAAGGCGGCGGGATCCAACGGCTGCGCTTCTTCAAGGCCGAGAATCGGATGGATCGAACGGGTGGATGGATGGCCCGAGGATGTATGGCTTCTTAGTCTTAGCCTGAGTGGCTGAAAAAAAGGACCAAGACAGGGTCCCCAATGAAAGACTTTGGTCTCCCAAAAAGAATTGGAACATGCCATTGCTGAGATGCACTCAAATAGGTTTAAATAGGCGATCCATGAAGTGGTATAGGTTTGGTCATCCAATCTCAGGGTTTCAAGATGTTTCAACTTGAAGAAGCACAGTTAAACCTTGTTGCTGGCCTCCAATAGAGGGAGTGGCAGCGGAATAATATCAGTTTCCCTCCGCATATAGCTGGTACAAACCCATACGAACCCATGGTGCTGCTTGTAATCAAAGCATCCCAACAACATGTTGATCAATTTGTACCTTCATGTTCCTTATATTTCCTTATCCATCGGATTGGAAAAACAGGTAGATCTCCTGCCACACCTTGCAAGCTTGTTGGATTGACATTCCTTTACAACCTGGGGTGTCCTAGTCCTATAATCACGAAAGCTAGCATGCTAGCTGAGTTCTTCTTTGCTTTAGCAATGTTGTGGTGGGAGGGGCTGCGTGCCTTAAAGATTGATATATCAAGCTAACCCCCCCCCCGCGGTTCAACTCCCAGCTGCGCCGCTTCGCTTATTGTTGTGGTGCATACCACCATTCCACTGAATGAATTGCGTGATAGCTCTGCTGGTGTTCAGACAGCGGCAAGGTGTGCATATGTTTGTGCAATTGTTTGCATCGACAATCCTTGGTCAAGGCATGTCCTACGGTGAGCACGCTCCATTTCACCTCCATGCTACGTCGTTCCTTCAGCCTCCGTCCAGGGTTGGCGTCGTTTTGCTGGTTCGAGTGGCTCATTCAATGCAGAAGTTAACAAACTGATAGGTATAATGATAATGAGTTGCGTGTATATTTGAGATCGTTTGAGGTAGTTCATGCTTTGCTACTTGTTGCGGCTTGGTGCTGCTGCTGCTGTTGCTGACGACGCCGCTGCTGCTGCTGCTTGCTGCTTGCTGCTTGCTGCCGGTGGTGCTGCTGCTGCTGCTGCGGCTTGGTGCTGCGCTGCTGCTGCGTGGTGCTGCTGGCTGGCTGCTTGGCGGTTGCTGCTGGCTGCTGGCTGCAGGCGGCTGCTTCTGCTGCTGGCTGCTGCTTGCTGCATAGGACTTGTACTTCACCCTTACAAGTTGTTTACCCTATTTCATAAGAAGCGGGTGGTAAATTTACTCCCAAGGCTTGCTATAACCATACACAGGCTATTTCCTCAAGACACTCTATGCCTGATACTTTTTACATCCTTTTTACCAGTGCTTATCCTACACTACGGACGCCCTAGTGTTTGCACAGTCCTTGTGATGCCAGAAATGCTTACTCCTCTTTCCGGCACAAGGCATACATAAGCGGGTGGTAAATTTACCCCCCAGATTTGCAATAACCATAAGCCGGCTATTTCCTCAAGACACTCTATTCCATATACCTTTTACCCGTGCTTCTCCTACACTACGGACGCCCTAGTGTATGTACAGTCCGTATGATGTCAGAAATGCTTACCCCTCAAGGCATACAAAAGCGGAGGGTAAATTTACCCCCCAGATTTGCCGATCACGCATCTTCGTGCCTGCCAACGAGTGCACCCGGGTTGTTCCAATGTACCCTTCCCAGTCCCAGTCAGCGATGTCACATTTACATTCTTTAGCGCAAAGTATGTACATAGCAACCTTCCTCCCAGAACATGTACTCACTACATGCTTTGCCGACTATGTGACTAGTACATCCGGTGCGATTCGGCTAGCTTTCGACCTCCTCCCCCTGGCCTCAAGTTAGGATTCAATTTCCAACATGCTAGCTTTTCGGCACATCCCACCAACACCTTCCCGCCAGCGTCTTGGTCAAAAGCGGCGAAGCTCCAGGAGCGCCTGGGCTTTGAAGCTCGACACGTCCTCGACATCGGTGCGCACGTGGGGAACTGGACCACCGATGCGCTGGAGGCACGCCGAACGGCAAACGTCCGGCACGGCAATGCGTCTGGACCATCCGGAGGTTGCGGTGACTTTTGGGGGTCATTTTAATTGTTCCGTGCATGGCATGAATCTCCAACTTCTGATGTATATAGGGTCAGGTGATGCAGGGGATGGGGGGTTGGAAGAGAAACAAACTTCCGTGTTACGTTATACAAATAGGGCTGGAAAGAACAGAAGAGCAGAGGACTGCAGAGTAGAGTTAGACATTCAAAGACCAGAAGGGAATTAGTAAAGATATTATGTAAAGATCAGGCTCGATAATCATATTATTAATAAAGTTAAGTTGAACAATATGTTAAAAAAATCAGCCCCCGGCTTGCCCGGCACCACTTGTAATTGCTGTCCTGCGAAGAAGACAGGATTGCCCAAAGGATCCAAAGTATTTTTGGAAACGGGTTTAGTTATGATGATGCGGAATCAAAGTGCATCTACGACATGGGGCCTGAATGGAATTACAGAGAATGCTATTCCTCTGAGTCCAGACTGACTAAGTAATGGTGAAACCAACACCACAATGGCAATCCAGCAGCCAGTTCCTTGGTTTTGTTGGTTTGCAACTGCCCGTGGGGTCGTATGAGTTGCTTGCCCGGGCATATACTCCTTGTTTACGCTGCTGTGTCACCAGCTGTACTCCTTGTCAACGCCCGCCGTTGTCCAGGTTTTCCCATCCGCGCGGTTCTTGATGATCGAGGCCAACCCGCTTCACCGGCCGCAGCTGGAAGCCATTGGTCAGCCCTTCGTCATCGCGCTGCTGGCGGCGAAAGGCGCGGAAGCCGTGGTCCGGGAATGTTGTGGGGCGTGAGAGGTGGGCAAACAAAATCAAGAAATCAAGAGGCTTACATTAATGCAGGGAAAATGCAGACCGCTGCGGTTTTGACTGGCTGTTTTTGACAATCTAGGTCAAGCTGATTCAAGAGATTCAAGCATTTCAGCAATGTCCTGCAAAATGACCATCCAAACACACTTATACATGCAACTCGCCGAACTTCATGGTCTTCTATCTGCGCCCCCAGTGGAAACTTTGGTGAGCCCTGACCTGCGCCTTTGTTGCTGCGGGGTGCCCATCCAACAAATATCATGTGCACATGGACCAAGCAAAGGACCCGTACAGCAATCATTACCCCACAAAACTTGGATGGCCATGGTAATGGCAAGATGATATGATGTGGGTGAAGATGTGTTCAGGCAACGAACGACTCGTTGCCTGAACACATCTTCAAGTACCAGGCCACATGTTCATCGTTGCCAGATGAAGATGTGTTCAGGCAACGAGTCGCGGCAGTTCCACAGCACCCGCTACCAAATCACCACGGGTGCCTCCATGTTCCGCGAGCGCAGCGACCTCTTTGTAGACCCGCGCTTCGCGGAAACGTTGGTCTTAAGGACACGAAGCTTGGATGAGGCATGGAGGGAAGTAGTTACAGGGGAGACCTGCAAGTTTGCAGAAACTGAACCACCAGGGTCATCCTGTTTGGGTGTCCAATAGACTACCGCTACCCTACGTAAACCGGTCTCCAAACAGGGCACCCATTGGAAGTGCTAGGCATGTTCAAAGCATTGTTTCTCACATGATCGATCTGCTACCTGAGCTATCTTAAATCGGTCCATTGAGGCGGACTTCTGGGACTTCTGGGTGGAACATGGGGACCTGAGAAGAATCGAAGTTGGATGCGATCCTCCCAGCACCGGGAGGTTTGCATCACATCATGTTCCGTCATCGGTGACACCCCTACTAGGTCCAAGACAATGAGCAAAATGCAATAAAAGCCAGTCCTTAACCTCATGGAGTTGTCATATTGAATGAGCAACTCCAGTGAAAATGAGCTCTTTGACAAGTAGGGTAGATGATCATACCTTTGTTGATCGTGTGTTTTGGGAAGCTTCATCGGTCGATTCGGCCCCGTCTCCACGCCGTTCCGCTTCGGGAAGCTTCAACGGCCCCTGCCAGGTGGTTTCAGAAGTCTTTCGGGGCGAACGATGTTGCGACTTGCTGAAAGCTGATGTGCAGGGCGCAGAGCTCACAGTTCTCCTGGGTGGCTTAAAGACCTTATCTCAGGCAGGGATGATGAACATTTGTCACTTATGTGGACTAAAATGGCTTCTATTTGCCCCAATAAATTGAAAGGGTTGAATGGTCTTATGTTCATGTCGCCGCTGCACCACGACACCACCGCAGCCATATTGTATGCCATAACTGTTGTATGTACGGATTGCGGAACCTCATTCTTTAGCCTCCACTGTTCCACCACCTTCCGACTGCCCTTCCCCAAATCAAAGCTGCCTTTTCCCGAGGCGCAGCTGGTGCTCTTGGAGGCCCCAGTCTTGCCTTACAACGAGGGTGCGCCATCCTTCAGCGAAGTCATTGCCTTCATGGCGGCCCATCACTTCGAGCTGGTCGATGTGGCGGATGCCACCTACTCGGAGGCACCGGGCGGGGTGGCTTGGAGGAGGCTCCCAAGCTCGCGTGGATCGTGGGAACTGGAGATGGAGTTCTTCAATTCTTGGCTTCAGCCGAGAGATGCTTAATTGTTGCACGCCTAACTATTAAGATAACAACTGCCAGACAGGTCCACGCACACGATGCTGATAATGCTGATATGATTTGTTATTTTTCTTTATGTGTATACAATTGCAGTAAGTCTTGAATCACTACCACTCCTTTCACTGCATCTCACCAGCGTTTTGGCCTTTCCCTTTCCTGCGCTTCTTCCACCACCGAGCAGGGCGTCTTCCGTGTGCTGCACCTGGACCTGCTCTTCGCGCCTCGCAGCTCTCGACTCCGACGGCTGCCGCTGCCCGGGGGCATACGGCCACGACCGACCCATCCACACGGCGGAAGTGTCAAAAAGGAGACTCTTTGAGCCCTCAGGGGGGAAGGGGGAGAGGGTTTGGTTTAGCATGGTTTAGCCCGCAGCCCTCCCTGGGTTCACCGGTTTGGTACTGTACATGGAAACATATGGCAACCAGATTCTACGATGGTGCGTGGGAGATGTTCGTATAAGGAGGTGGACGATGACTTGGTTTCTGGGTTTTTGACCCGATTTGGTCCGGGAGCTTTGGAGCACCCGCACAAATGAGGAAAACGGTAGATGACATTGGATGACTCACCAGCTGAGCGCTTCAAGTAGTAAGTAGTACTTATAGTAGTCGAAGTAGTCATCATTCATTGATCACCCCACAACATTAGATGCGGATTTGCGACTCGACCCACCTCAAGTTGTTGCAACCTGGTCCAATTCAGTTTACACTCCCTGGCAGTGGAAAATGACCCAGGGGTGTTCGATGACCATTTTCCTCTAAACAGGTGGTATATAATATACGAGCTTCCAATTTAATTCCTTCCTTGGCACTCCGGCAGGCTTCAGTTCCGCTGACGCCCGCGCTTGTAAGCGCGGCACCATCAACTGCGCGAACGGCACCATTCGCTCGATGTGGATTCTCTGCTCTCCGATGCTGGAAGCACTGGCTCTACGAAGGAGCCAGTGGTGGATGCAAAGACATCGAAGTCCTGTCCGAAGTGGTGTTTTGGAGCCTGTTTTCGCTGGACATCTAGTTTCGTTTCTTTCTCACCCTGAAAGACGGGCACCCTGGTGCTCTGGATGATTGGAAGGGGCCATGCGGTTTAGATCATCCGCTGAACCAGTGTGCCACACACAAGAGTTGTTGCATGCCAGTTCCTCTGTTGGGGCCGTGTTGATGACAGGGGACAAGTCATTCGACCATGGCTTGAGGGTGAAATGGTTGGAAGAATTTGGTTTGAAGTCAGTGGTCGCAGACTTTCAGGCGGCTTTTATTCAATACATTCTACCCTTGCCACGTGCAGACAACTCATTTTCAGCGGATGTGAATTCGCTGTTTTCGTCTTAGCACCGTTGTCGCTTGGTTGGCCAGGGTCGAAAAAGAGCCGCATTTCGGGTTTTGGATGGGAAGACCGTCCATGTCAGTCGGATTGTTGATCCATGGTGCTGATCAACCCCCCTATGAAGAGTTGCAAAATCATCAAGAGCCTGCCATCGACGAACTTCTGCAGCTAGGAATGTCGAAACATGGAAGAGATGGGATATTCGCTTGGTGGTGGCGGGCTTCCACCATCAAGGGGAAGCATGTTTGTTGGCACCTTGTGGACACCAGCTTTCACTCCACAGCAGCTCAGGACTGGCGAAAGCTTTGGCCAGGGTGGCCCAGTGCTCTTTGGAACGAGAGCACGGGGGTTACATCTTGCACGGGGTGAAGAAAGCAGCCAGGACGGTGTTCATTCTGCCTGGACCACTTGCTGCATTTTTGGAGGGGAAGGGAGGGGCTGCCCCAACCCCTGTGGGGGAGATGTTCTTTTGTATCTTTTGTGTCACTGTGCCAGACTACACAAAACGAGGTGGTTGGAAGCAGATGTTCCTCCACTCGGGGTGGTTGGCCCGTTTTGACACTGTTTTCACTACCCAGGGCAAGCCTCATTCATTGATCAATCAAACGCAACTCTTTGGAACTACACCATATTCTGTCGGTTTCTTGAGCATGTTCCATGCATGTTCATGCCTTTTCTCCAACACCGCGGTCTCCCCCAAAACCTGAGAAACCTGACGGCTGAACCAACCCGCGGTGAACGCGCCACGGTCACCTAGTATGGCCTTTGCGCCGGTGTGTTGCGGCTCCAGGCCTGCAGCGCTTGCCGCCGGAGGTGCGCGGCCGAGGGGCGAACGAAGGAACAGCGCCGGTTGAATGAGGCATACCATGCCCGTTTGGGTTCCAGTTGGTACCTCCCCAGAAGGTAATTTGGACTTCTTAGAAGGTACTTGGAACCCTAGGGATGGTATACCTTGTTACCTTGTTGATCCTTGTTGCTACCATTTCCGGAACCACATGGACCCGGAAAACATCCTCAAAACTCGAGCATACTCGAGTGGTTTCGAGCGTCCAAACCTCGAAAAAGGTTTGGAGAGTCCATGTGGCCCTTGATGTATCATTAAAGAGCATCATACCAGGAGTTGCAGGGTAGACGGGGTGCAGTTCACGAACCGAGGGTACACGGGTGCCTTGAGCATCGCATCGAATCCACTCCCTCTTTTGGGCACCTTCCGGGGCATTCCTTGGGAACAACTGGTGGCTAGACGACCAGCTGCTTCCCCAGACGGCCGGCGAAGGTTTATCGCGACCCGAAGAGATTTCGGGGTTTGATGGGGATCAAGTCAAGTGGTTTGTTCTGGGCTCCATGGGTGCACTGCATGGGGAAGGATTGCGACAGAGTGCAGGACAAACAAACGTGGGTGTCACTGCACGTCATGCACTGACAAGGTGACATGTATGCATGAAACACGACAAAGTATCGCAAACGCTACTGTAGCAGAGCCAAGAAGTTGTTTTTTTCTTTCATGCTCTTGCTCATCGAGTTGGAACAGGCCTGTCCGAGTACACCTACCCAGCATGCTCATTGGATGTGAAGAGCCTAGGACTGCAGTTGGGGTTTGCTTAATTCTGCAAACTCATCAATCATGACATGCATGATCACTTGAATACAGGACTCAAGCTCACACTATATGGAAGGAGATGCTTAAACGAGCTTCAGCTCCAAATACATCATATACATCCAAATACAATGGTGGCACTGGCACCCCCCAACTGGGGATTGTCCAATCTACTCTCAATCCACCATCGTTCCAATGTTTTCTTGCCAAGCAACTTAAGCAACCATTCTTTTACTACAAGGATTTGACATGACCAAACCAGGTCACCTTTTTAATGTTCAACCAGGTCAACCATTCTTTGAAGGTCAACCAGGTCAACCAAACCAGGTCAACCATGTTGTTAAAGTTCTTTGAAGGCTAGGGTAAAAAGGCTCCACATCGGTGATCTGCCGTCAGGCTGGATCCGTGGAGCTCAGCTCGCCGTCGCATTCGCGCCACTGGGGCGGCAGCAGGTACAGCACAGCAAAGCGAGGTCGAAAGGCACGGCAGTGGCATTGAGGGGTAAAAACAAGGTACAATCTAGATCAATCTGGAATCTGGAATCTGGATGAATTGATCAATCTGGAATCTGGAATAAAACCCCCTCCAGACATGGATTGTAAAGCCTTCTCAGCTGGTGCCTGTTTAAAGATGTTTAAAGCATGAATTCCAGGTCAGGTGATATGCTTCAGGACGTCATGTTCAACATCCAAGCGGCTTTCGGACACGCAGATATACAGGGCCGCAGGCTGGTACGGCTAAGTGACCAAAACCATCCAAAAAACCAAGTAGATATGAGTGGAATCACTTGCTTAGCTGCATAGCTGAGACTATATCCAATTGCTTCAGTCCAGTTTGGGAAATGCACAACGCTACTGGATCGTTCGGAACGCGTCGTTCGCCGGTGGGACACGTCCGAGGACCCAATAGCGGTCTGGGTGCCGGGCTCAGTGCCCGGTGGGGACGAAGGGCGGGACGAAGGGCGACCAGGACGAAAGGGGCGGGACGAAGGTGGCCAACGTTGGGAACTTCAATTAGAGTGGTTTTCAGAGTTGATGGCACAATCCCCAAGTTCGGTGGTTTATATGGACCCCTATGTAAAGGACATCTTGGGGGTTGTGCCATTTGTTCTGAAATCACTATACTTGGTTTTATAACTTCCTTGGCAACGGTTTGAACTGGCCAACTTTGGCGGTTGCCTGTGATTTCAGACCTGTGCTGTACCTCTTGACCAGCATGCAGCAGCAAAAAAGAGCAGAGGCATGTCGCAATGTCTCATGAGCAGAGGCGGGCCCAACCACCAGCTCGGTGTAAAGGACGGAGGATTGGGTGGTGGTTTCAATTTGTTTTGCCTTGATTGAACCTACCCACACCAATGAGTTGAAGCCACCAACCAGTTGTTCAATTAGATTTGGCACTGGTGTTGGGACAGTTGAAGCCACCAATGGAAACCACCTGTTCACCATTCGACCCAGCTACTGACCTGGGAACAAAATCATCAAAGACCAGGGCCCCACACCACCGTAGCCGACAGTCACCATCAGCTCGTGTCCCCCCAAAAAGTCAACCATCCCCTAGGGATCCACATACCTTCTCAGGTACGGTGAAGAAGGAGACACTGTGATGTAGGTGCCAGGAGGGTCCAGTCGTATCTTCTGATAAGGTACTTACTTGGATCCCGTAGGGCCCGTTTTGGTCCGATCAGGGGCCGCCCATTGATGCCCGGCCGCGTCTTCGCTCACGTGGGCTCACAGCGAAGCTGGCCGCTTTTGCCATGCCAACTCCTCCAAGTCCTCCCACGGATGCCGCTGGGCTTGGTGAAATGCTTGGGGCGGCGTTGGTTGGTTCTTTTTGTGTTTGGGGCTGCTTTGATGTTTGGTTGGTTTTGAGCTGGGTGTGTTTGATGATATCATTGTCCCAGCTGAATGGGTGTGAAACGTGTTGAGATGCAGTTTCCGGCCGCGTTCGGCTTTAGGGTATCTTTTTCCGTGCCATGGAATCATGGAGAGCGTGTTCAATAATTATAGTCTTATGTATTATGCATTGTGCTCTTAATTAAATTTAATTACACGCTGGAAAGCACAGTGGTTTTCAGCTCAGCAGTTGCCCCTAGAAGCCGTGGGACGTTTCTGGCCGTCTTCGCGGCGCGAGGCCACTGGGGGTGGCGCCACTGACACTGCGGACGTGGCTGGGAGCGATCGGAGCGATCCAGGTGTCATCCCCATTGACGGCTTAGACCCACAGAGAGTCTGATAGCATGATGAGAAAACTCGTTTTTCCCAAGAAAGTGTGGTGGCCGTCCACTTGAAAGGATACGCCCCACCCAAAAAAAAGTGGAAAACCATTTAGTTTGATATGCGGAACATGGTCGTCCAAGGGGCTGTGCCATCCACGTAACCATGATGTATTCAGTCCCCCACATCCCGGGTCCATTGTTGTGCCATGCAGCCTTTTGGCGTTGTCGGGCTCTTTTCAGCCAGGCTCTCACGGCACTGCAAAATGGGTTGTATAGACAGTTGGGATGAGGAGTCACTTTCCGATGGATTGACAGATCAGGCCTGCTCGATGGTTCAATTCTGGACACCGACAAACTCGTTGCCCTTCCCTACACCTCCAGTCGTGCCTGTTCGGTTCGGTATGACTGGACTCGAACATGGCACCCGGGCCCCCAGTCCCACCGACCCACCACGAAACGGTTCGGTACGACTGGAGCGTCTACTAATTGGTTGCCCCCTCCCGTCCCGGGGCCGAACTCATCCTGGCTTCACGGGGCCGTGGTTGGGCCTGTTCCGAAGTCCGAAGGCTGTGGGTTTGGGGTGCCTTGGGAGAAGGCGCTGCTCTTCATGAAGACTTTTTCCGACTTCTCCTACACTCCTACACCAGATGCACCAGATGCACCTGACAAGCACCAAGCTACAGCTACGTGTAGCTGTCCACGGTATGCCTCATTCTCAATAGGAACTCGCCCCCAAAGCACTTCGGTTCGTCTCTCTCTCTCCCGGCCCCCGACCAGGTCACCACTTCGGACTCCTTCTTGGGCTTCGTCTGCGGCGACACCGTGGTGGCCGCACGGGACCTACGGGTCCGGGGCAAGGTCGTGGTCCGCCAGGCGCACACCGAGCCGCACGCCGCAGGAGCGACACATGTTCGGTGTCCAGTTGATGGAAGAGTGAGCAAACAAGAAGAGTATATACTAGGCTGAAATGACTTGTGAAAACCAAGCCTAAGTCATCTCACCCTAGTATACAGCAGAGAGAGAGAGAGAGAGAGAAGTGATTGGAGACCGAAGCTGTTCCCACATGCGACGTCTTTTCAGCTCGACGTCTCTCCGACTCGGTCGAGTCGAATGGCTCGGCTCGCGTCCGCCGACCCGTGACCCGTCGGTCCGGTGATCCACGGTTTGAGAATCCATTTATAGGTTTGAGAAATCGTAAGTAATGTAATACATATTCACCCTAAGAACCCTTGGGCTGTCCATGGCAGGGGTTGGACCCTCATATGGAGGGGTTGTTTGAGGGCCCGGATTCTTAGGGCAATTAAATTCAGGGCACGGAGAGAGCATGGCTTGGAGTTTTCATGTCCAAAAGGGTCTGGAACCCAAAAGGCGGCCTCGTTTGCTTTCTTCTTGTACGGATTTCTCATTTCTATGAAGGATGGTATACTGCTTGGATTCCTGTTCCTCCAGTGATTCCATGCTTCTCTCCTGGTGTCAACCAGTTGTATGGGGAAAGAATCATGAAGTGGCCACTCCAAGAGCGTTGCGCCCTCGACAGGCTCACATGGATCCCCACCATAGACTATACTATATGTAGAAGTCAAGTTTCCTCACACAACAGTGTTAGGTCATTATTCAGGGTCTTTATACGGAGCCTTCCGCGTTCAGCCTGGCTGCGGGGCGCGGCGCGGGGCCAGGGCGGCAGTGGCTATGTCATCGGCCCTGCAGCTTCATCGGGGCGCATCTGCGTGCAGTTCGAGCAACGGGAGGATCAGAGCGAGAAGCCTGGTCCAGGGGGTCAAGGGATGGAGTCAATCAGTCTGGAGGGTCCAGGATCAGTCTGGAGGGTCCAGGATCAGTCTGGAGGGTCCAGGATGGTGGACTCTTGAATACGTTTGAGTCAGTTTTTGAGTCATTATCATATGGGCCATGTAGCTCCAGGCCCCCGGGAAACCTCCCAGGCGTTCCGACCTTTTACCACAAGGTTTGAGGAAAAGAGAGGCTTTTTGTCTACCCACAGCGAGCCAGGGGGGTCGCACTACTAGAATACACACCCACATCCTCTAGTGGCTGCAGCCAGGCTTTCGGGGGTTGCATTGATCGACAGTCAACGTTGTTCATGCGGGGCCAACACTCAGGAACTGAGCAACGTGGGGGGAGGGGCAGAAGATAGTGCAGAAGATGTCGTTCTTTGTTGACTTCTTGCCAGATGCTGCATTTATGTAACAACCCATACCCAAAGCACCAGGTAATTTTCAGACCCAAATATATAGTAGCGTGCACTTGGCCCATGCATACCTCGGTGAGTCCAAAGAACTTGCATCACCCCCGCATCCTCCCCCCGCAACTTGCACACGAAAATAATTTGCTCCTTGTATTGCTGGCCGAGTGCTGTCTTGGAAGTTCCCGAACCCGTTGTCACCATTGTCCACCGTTAAACTAACCTCAGTGGATGCATGGGAAATGCTACGATGCTCTCAGTACAGGTGTTCTTGCTGAATCATCTTGCAGGACCCAAGGTGTTGCTTGCCTTGTTGATCTTCAAAGTCCCCGCTGAGCAACTTCCTAAGGAATCGCTTGAACTGCCTTCCCGATGAGCTCAGGCGGATGGAGGGATCAGCCAGATGAGGGTCAGATCCAGTGGCACTGGAACTTGTGTATGTCTCGTACATGTTTGCCCAAAATATCATCAAATTCACTGCACCCCTTGAAATATCCAGAAATATGTGATTGAAGTGGATGGCATGGCCCCGATTACCCGGGAAGAGACCCACATGGAACCTGATGGCATGGACCTGGACGGAAGGCTACTTTCCTCTACAACCCAGTGGTTTTCAGGTTCTATGTTAATCTTCCAGGGTGCAATCATTTTTCTGACTCGGTCCCGTTGCTTGTCCACTTCCATGTTTATGTCAGGGCTGTCAGGGAATGTAGCTCTGATGGTTCGAAATGCTCGGATGCTCCGCTTTCTTACCGAGACGGACATGTCTGAACTGATCCTGCCAGGGGTGTAGCTTCTTCATCGAACACATATTGCACCGTAGCTTCCATGTATCATCATGTAGATTGTTGATGCACAAAGCCCTCCCAAGCTAGGAGGTGTGAGACCATTCTAGCTAGGGAGGGGTTTTACAAATCAATACTCGATCACTCGATCATTGTATTTGTGTTTGAATCAACTGGCGGGGCCCTCGAATGATTGGGACATCTTGGGACGCTCATCGGACGACTTCGTCTCTAGGTCGGACTCTGGAGGGAGGAGGAGCACCCCTTAGCCGAAGTGGACACCAGGACATCCACAAGACGGAGATCAACAGGTTTTGGTTCAAAAAAACAATCCGAACCATTTCCTGTAAATCCTTTTCTTCCCTCAAACCCCTTTTTCCAATGGCAACCCGAAACGCGTGCGCTGTCAGCGGTCACCCCATTGTCAGGCACACCTTGGCGGGCGGCTACTTAGCCGGCACCCGCGTGCGTAGCCACCGGACCTTAGAGTCTCCTGCAGGGACCTCCATCCCAGCTGGCTGCTCTGGTGCCGCTCGGAGCTCGACTGGCCGCCCTTCAGGGGACCCCCGATCCCCTTGGGTCGTGTACCACCACGTTCAATGAGAAGTAGAAAGGGTTCCTGGCACCAACCCTCTCTTCCCAAAAAGGACATCGGTGAAGGCAGGTCGGATTCTGGGACAATCCGGACTCGATACACCTGACCCGACTCAACCAGATTTGCACCCGATCAGGTGCTAATTGCACACCCCCTCCTAGACCGAAGTACTGTCACGCCGCATAAGGCGGACCTGGGCAGCTCACGACTTGAATCCAGTGCTTGGCCACACGTCCCGTGAACTCGTAGGCATTCTACCCCACTTGGCACCACCCAAATCTACCAAACCGTTGTAAAGATTTGCTGCAGAATTTCTGGCTCCAGTAATTAGCACATGGTACCACGGTACCACTGCCAATCACCGTCTCTCTCTCTCTCTCTCATTCAACTGAGGTGGTGATTGGCCCTGCCCGGGATCCCTTGTTCCAGCGACTCCTCGTCCGCTTCGCGCTGAACGGTCAGGATCATGTAGCAGCTTGGAGTGAGTCCTGTTTCGGACGTGTGGTGTGTTGGAGCTGGATGATTGGATGATGCTTTTGACGAATGGACGTGTAGGAGGAATCGATTTCTCACGCTCTTTCTTAGGGGCAGGAACGGGGACTCACAGGTGTTGCGATCAGAGATGCTTATCACCAACTTCTTAAGATCCTTTGAGTCCGCAGTTCTGTGGTTGGCACCTCGACCAGTGGCACTGTGCATGCTTGGGAAAAGGATGGAAAAGGGCAACTGGACCATATGAGATGTCTTTCTTGGCCCCACGATGCCTCATGTTGGTGAGCAGAGCTCGTAGTTTCTGCAGAGCCATGCACTTCAGTAGGATAGCCAAAGTCATTATATAGAGATATATAGAGTAAATATTTGGGCCTTCTCTGTGTAGGTGTCAAACCTTGACAGAAATGTGATTCCACAGAAAGGTGGAAGAGTCGTGATTGGTAGCCAATTGGACTCATGCCTCTGCATGGATCCTGACGGATATCCTATTTGCGGCGGAACTAACAACAATTTAAACATAGCCATGATGGTGGCCCCCCACTGGCCCCAGTGGTTGAATGAACCTGGTTGTATTATGTATATTGTATGATTTAGATTGATATACTGTAGTGTTGTTTCATAGGATTTTGTTCCCTTGTGCTTGGGGTTGGCAACCCCTGCTGTAGCTTTGAAGAGTCTGAGAACAAAAAATCTTGCCAAACACCACGCAGACATCCGCTTCGGGGCAGGTCCACAACTTACTACATGCTTCATTCCTTGACCTACATCCCCCCAGGTCTAGGCTGAACACCGGGACCACTCCCTCCAAAACAAGGCCCCGACCGACACTTCCGCGTTGGTCCATCGCCCCGAGGAAGAGTTGGTGTGCGACCCACAGGACGTGGAGAGCAGCATCCCGGGGAACTTCCGACGGGGTAACGCGGTGATCGCCACCCGAGACCTCCGAGTGAATGGTCAGGTGGGACCCGGCACTTGACTTGGAGTAAGTCTTGGAGTGGAACCGGAGTGGTTTGGGAGATGTAATGAGTGGGTTTGGTTTCATTTGCTTTCAAATGCTTCCACTCTAAACGGGCCCGCGCGTCGTCCAGGTCGTGGTCCGGGAGGGCGTGCTGGGCACCGTGGTGGGCCCCAGTCACTCGGTGACCTGGCAGAACCACCCGACCGAGGGACGACCGACCGGTGACCGGACCGGACCCGCGTGGTGTGACCGGGTCACCGGGTGGAAGCCGAACCGCTGGTGGACTGCCATAGGTTTTTTCCATGTGACCCATGACTGCCATAGTCATCATAGTCAATCATATTCAGAATCACACCATACGGCCGCCTAAAATGGGCCGTCTGAGATGTTTGAAGGTGGGAGGTTGAAATAGAATCAACATGCATTTTAGCCGTCTAGATTAGATGGTTGGCTGATGTTGGCTGGCTTCGATTCGCTTCCTTACATTATTCACCCGGGAGGTTGGGGATGTTCCTGAGTCAGGGCCGTTCGACTTGGTGAGGCAGCTGAAGTCTCCAACTTGGTGAGGCTGGGGCTCTTCTTCTCCCAGGCCATCCATGTATGGAGATCCATGGAGTAGATACCTACGGTGACCTATAGGTCTAGTTACCGAAGATCACACCGTTGGCTTACCAAATAACACCTTAAGACTCGTACCTACCCACTGAGTTTTTCTCAGTTTTCATGAGGTATATCAATCCGATCTACAGTAAATTTATCCAATCCCCGTGGGATGCTCCTGGTCTCTTCCATTTCTTTCGCCCCACCACCCCGCCACCCCGCGCGTTTCTCACGGCCGAGGATTCCCAGCACAGAGTCACGGTGAGCTTCAGCCATCGGGAGGAGACTTGGCAGTCGAAGCATTCTCCAGGAGAAAAACTGCATCGATTTCACCGGAAACCGTTTTTGAAAAAATAGAAAAACCATCAGGAAAGATGTGTCTTCTCTTGGGAAGATGTGAGATTAAAGTTTTGAAAGGGGTTCTCCTTGGGGTTCAAGCACCCAAGGATAGCAGCCGAAACCGCTTGAATTGCGTGGTCAATGAGATCAAGCTGCCACCTGGAGAACAGCGGAGAGGGCAGAGGTGTGAGCAGAGGTGTGTCAATGAATAGGTGGCGGGGGCTGCTTCAATTTGTTGGTTCGCCATGGCCGTGCAGTCGAAGGCTCTACCTAGGAGCTGATGGTAATGATTCATTAGTATTCATTGCAAGTGATTTAGCATAATCTAGACTTTTGATTAATAAAGCACTCCATGTGAACAGGCTTGGCAATCCAAATGTTTGCTTTTCAGTCCTTAAGACTCTACATTACATTCATTTACATTCTGTTATCCACAACGCCTGACATGCTCCTTGTCTTCACATGCCTGGGTCAACTCTGCGTCACTTCCCTCAGGCCTGTTGTGTTGTGTTGGGTGAATGTGTCCAGCTGGGGGTCGATCCAGCCATGGGTTTCACTACTAGGTTGAGGGATAGGATCCTACACCGGAACGCCATGTTTAGATGTGTTTCGCAATGTGTTGAATTCGTAAAGCAGCACCCCCCGCTTCCCTCCAAAATCAACAAAGATACATAATTAGATAGTAGTCTATAGGTAAACTTACGTACAGGTACTTGTGGACCACTGATGCGTATTCTGTTTTCATGTGTTTCCATGCGTGTTCCTGTTTTTGTCGCCTGCGCGCGCGCGCTCGCTCTCTCTCTCTCTCTCGCTCTCTCTCTCTCCCTCTCTCTCTCTTGTGTCCAGCAAGGGCAGCCCGAGCTGCGGCCCGCTGCCCGTCAGGTATTTGGCTGGGAATTTAGAAGTGGGTGCTCGTGTCCAGGCGGCGCGGCCCATTAGCTGCTCGGTGGAGGTGTGGAGCTCCGTGTCGCTCGGGGGGGGCCCCCTGGGCCCCCCAGAACCTCGCGGATCGAGGTTCAAGTTTTCCGAACTATTCACATCAAAGCAAGCAGCAAGAGTGTGTTGGTTTCCGGCTCCGGGAGGCAAAAAAACCTTCTAGTTTGGGGTTTAGTTCCAATTTCTGACAATTCCATTGGATGTGAAGGCACGGGTCAGTTACTTCCGTGGGCCCGGCGGCCGAGGTTACGACCGCCTGGCGCCGGTGCCTACCGGCTCCATCGGCACGGTGCTGGGCCCCGCGCAGGATGAGCCCTTGGCGCGGATTTTGGTGCGCTGGGACTCCGCCCCACCAGCAGGAGCGCCCCCAGAGGCTCGGTGAAAGGTGAGAGGTGAAGATACCTGGAGCATCCCCATGAAACTGGAGGATGACCTGTTTTTCTGTGGTAGATCATAAACCCAGGTACATGGTACCTGTAGATATAGTGGATGAAACTGGAAGAGTTGCCAGAGATGTACTCCATTCGTATGACCCATCCATGCACCAGTTCCATCCAGTGGTTTCTTAGGGGCACCCCGCACCCTCCATGGAGTCCTCAGCCTGGCCTCCATGGAACTGTGGGTAGGTCACCCGCAAGCAACTCCATGGAGTTTGGGTTTGTCATGGGCATAGTCCAAATGCCGGCCTATAGCCTATAGTAACAGTCAGTCTCCGTCCACGTTCAGAACATGACGGCCTGTTTAGAGGATGGACAGGCCTGCTTGCCCAAACGGCCCAGTGGGTGACATGGAAGCTCCATGGATGTGGACTCAGGACCGGACCGCCGGTACACCGTGGCCTCGGTCCGACCGACGTACCGGTCGGGCCGTTGTGAGATGCGTCGTCGGCTGCGACGATCGGAGGATCCATCTTGGGGTGAAAGCGTTTCGGTCGAAGACATGAAGCTATAGTTCATCAGTGCCAGATCAAAATCAAACGATCGATATGGGATATTTGCATGATTTGGGGTGTGTATTCGAATAGGGAGACCCCTGGCGCTGGGCAGACTGGTCTATTTTTTGAACCTTCCAGAGAGACGGAACGCCTGAGGGGTTTGCATATGTTTGCCACCTCACTGGTCACAAGATGTGGTCTTGATAGCTGTTGCTGGGCGATGGTGTAGGGATCGCACAGAAACCAAATAAGCAACACATATAAGCCACTGCGATCGACGTCACAACCCTCCCAAAGGCCCAGAACACAAGCGCCCCAGCCGAGAACCAGAAAGCGCCCCCTCTCACTGGGGCGACGGGGCGAGTCGAAGCGTACGAAGCGTATCGTACGCTGAGGAGCGCGAGGCCCACTCAGATGATTTGAGGCTTATGAGCCTCGGGAGCGATTGGGGGGAGAGAGAGAGAGGGAGAGTGGGTTACCGGTTGGGATCAAGAATCAGCACCTCTTGCAGATGCGAATTGGAGATGCTGTCGCCAGTTGCTGAACATGCTGAAGAAAAAACCCAATAAGACTCCCGGCGTCGTCCATCATGTCCCCCACCTGATCTTTTGTCCATCGTCGGGTCATGCGGATTGGCTGCGGATTGTGCGGCGTTCGCCACTGTGATCACTGTTTAACTGTTCTTTTTTTGACGTGTTGGCAATGGGCTTTCCTATATACAAGGCAAACCACTTTATGTTGGAGTGGCCGATGCTGGACAAACAATGTTCGATATATAGAGCGTGTACCCATTACCCAGGTTTCCAGACCCCTATAGTTGCAGTCGCCTTAATTTTTTGAGGGGTTCTTCTTCTTGGAACCTGTGTTGAAACACTGCCCATTTGAAGCCAAGAGAAGCATGTTCCGAAATCACATCCGAGTGCATTCTTCAGCACATGCGATGCAATATCAATTGAACCCACGCATGTCATATTCTTTCTACTCCTGTGGTTAGAGGTACAATCAGATCTAAGAAGTATGATTCCTTGGTCTTGGTACTTGACATGTGCATGAACGGACTGCCATTTGTTCTGCCGTTAAGCCAACCCCCACCGCTGTTTCTCCGCGCCTCGAATCTCGCACGGTGGACCGAGGATCGCGGGCGGCTTCCGCCGGGGCGAGACGGTCTTAGCGGCGAAGGATCTGAGAGTGAAAGGTCTGGTGGTCGTGAAGCAGAAGCTGAGCAGAGCAGAGCTGGCTTGAAGGGCTTCAGTGGGCCTTAGGGCCTTGAAGGGCTGCGGGGGGGGGGGGCAGAGCAGAGCTGGCTGCCTTAGGGCACCCCCCGCCGCCTTAGGGCCTGTACCAGAAGGTGGGGGTCGGCATGGGCATGTACCAGAAGGAGGTGAGCTCTTTTGAGAAACGACATGCACTTGTGGACCTGTGGATGTGTTCTTTTGAGATGTGCTTGGAAAGGGGGTTCATGAGCATGTGCTGGGCAGTAGAGGTAAACAAGTTTCAACAATCCCATAAATTTTCCATGGCTGTTTCAGGCAGAGGATGCTGCGGATGTGCGTTTGACTCATGGAATCTCATTGCTTTTGCTCAAAAAATATGAATTACGTTCCTTCCACTACTAAGTCCATATGAAAAGACAGATTCATTTGGCTTGCTGGTGGTCCCACTCAAAAAACCCAAAACAGTCCTTTTGGGATTCTTTTGCTGTGGACGTGTCCACCTATGCACTTGGAACCTTCTTGAACCATGTACATGCAAAACATTACTACTGAATATCCCACCGGTGCCGCGCATGGCTTTCCGCCCATGCCGGTGTTTTGGGCTTCGGCTGCGCCCAGGAACGTGCTGGGCACCGTGGTGGGTCAAAGTGCCACCGACCCCGGAGGCCGCGTCACGGTGTGCTTCACTCGTCGAGAAGACGGCCGTAGCAACAACCTGCCGCTGGGGCCGACGGGAGCGGATGGAGGAGGATGGAAAGAGGTCCGTACCGCCAGTGGTAGTACTACCAGTGGTACTACCAGCCGTGGTACTACCAGTGGCAAGAGGTCCGTCCATGGTACCGCCAATGGTAGTATATACCTTTGCACTAGCCGCACTAGTCTTCTCGTGAAGATTGAAGCACGGATATGTTTGGAGGCGACATGGAGCAATCTACCAGTTTGGGCATTTGGTGATAGGGGCTGCCGATTTGTCACGTTTTGGCAATATTCTGTGCATGATGGGGTCAGAGGGTACTTTTTGCTTTTTGAAATTGCCTGCATGTTCCAAACAGATGGTGTTATGTATTTCTATGCGGTAGGCGCTAAGACCCTTTGGGACAGAAGCGTCATATGAAGCGCTGAAGCATGCTGAAGCGGCTATGTTTGCAAAATAACATAGCAGTAAATAACTGTACCCAGACACTCCATGTATGCCATATATGCCTACATTGGGGTGGTTTGGGGGGTCAATGTAGGCATATATTGGATACATGGAGCGTCTGGGGTATATAGTGTATGGATTGATGTCCCGTTTGAATGAGACTGCCATCTGACTGCTTCATTTGATTTGGACAGATGGAACCTGCCTGGATGTAGCCCCAGCTATTAGACAGAGAGAGAGTCATAGCTTTTTGGGAAGGCGCACAACATGTTCAACGGTTTGCATCCTAATATATCCTAATCCTTACCTCGACTCTAGTCAAAGCGTTTGTTTGGAAGGATCGCCTTCTTCACAGTAGGGGGAACCACGCCCCACCAGCTGCACGTCTTCGGCCACGTCTCAGGAATGTGGTCCCGGCCGAAATCCAGCACCTGCATCTGTAAAAATGAGGGAATTCTCTCGTTTGTGGGGGGCCGGGTGTTTTAAGTGGCGGGAATTGATGTTATTGATATCACTCGGTTATTGATAACAACAAATCAGAGGTTTGAATGTGCTTGAGCAGATTCATGTACGTGATGGCAAACCGGAAAACGGGTTGTTCAATTTGCTTTGAACCTGCTGCAGCGGCTGTCGTATGTGAACCTTGAACGGACTGCGCTTCACTGTGTTAGATTTGCCCAATAGCAATGAATCAGGAGGATGGAAAAGACAATATCCAAACACCAGGATACCGTGATACCATTGTTTAAATTACCAAGGGCGTAGCCAATTGTTTGCTGCCTGGATTGCTCCCAGAATTTGCAGCCCAAGCAAGAACTACCCCATGACAAGACACCCCTGCAAAGGACACATGCAGCACGCAGCACGTGCACAACTACAGGCAAACCATTGCCACAATGTGTTCCAAGCAGAAGCCTGAGAAATACCCTCAAACCCCCCATATTATGAAATCAAGACCATTCACTCATCCTCTCACCAATGGGCATATCAAACAACTTCGCGGCAGCCTTTACATCATCAAAATGGACCATGCAAAAAACTCATCCTGACAGTGACAGTAATGGAAAGTAGATCTTCTAGCCACCCAAGCGTAGGCCCTGTAAGCAGTGTCCAGTCATGTCCCTGCCAAATATCAAGTCGATAGAAGGCTTTGACCCACCAACCTGTGCAAAACACAACAAAAACATACAAAAACACACACACCCTCCAAGTCACTTCTCCAGTCAAGTTGTCAAACCCCCTTTCACCTGTTCCTCCAAAATCCTCAGCACAAAGTTCCGAAGCCCCAAAAAGCGCTTCAAAGAGCCTCGCTCTTTCAATTGCGCGCCACGGTTTCCCTTCTTCGCGCCCACCCGAAAAAGACCACCGCGAACGCCGAAGAGACGACGAAACGGCGGAGGGCGTTCCGACGCACGACGCACGACGTCCGCCGCCCCTCGGAGGCACATGCCCTGCACGGGCGGCCTAGTCCCGGGCGATCGGGTCGCCGCCCTGCGACAGCTCCTGGTGGTGCCCAAAGGCATCGGGTCCCGCCGGGAGCGGGCTGGTCATGGAGACGGAAGACTTAAGACTTTAGCATGGTGGGATGACTTAAATGTAGACGGTTCATGAATGAAACACTCAAGTTGGGATTGTAGGGAGTCTCCTAATATGTAGGTGGTTTTAATTCAGCAACAAAGTCTACATTCTACATTATATATACCGAGAGCCCTTTTGACCTTTGTTTTGATAGGAAAGGACATGAAAGGACCATATAATAATCTTGGGTGGTTGGTGGTCCAAAATAGGGCCCACTCAGGTTCTAGATTCTTGGAAGGAGACGGACTAGACCCCCCCCCACATGAGTATGTGAAGATGATTGGAAGTCTATGTCCAGATGGATTTGAAGAGTGGCCGGATAAATGAGAGTGGCCGCGTCTCAGACTCAAGGATTCTCCAAACTTGATTTGCTTTGGAGGAAGAGTTCCCCTGCGTTCTAGGGGTAGGAAGATCGTTTCAGGGATCCATTTTCTTGGTCTACGTCTACGTCTTCCAATTCGGCGAAGGAGTTGAATGCGTTGAATGTGTCAGGGTGTGAAGATGTTCCCCTGGTGTCCGTGTTTCTTGCTTATTTTGAGTCCTGGGCAGCTCACAGGAAATTTGGAATGCACAGAAGCTCCTATCCCACACGTTTCACCCCAAAACTCGTGGAATCCACAAAGTCGTGTGCCTTCCCAAGGAAAAAATCCCGTGAGCCACGCGACTTCCAGGCGCTCAAGGCATGGTGGTGGGCCCCTCATGCTCGCAGTCCAGCCGTGTGGCGGTGCGCTTCCATTCCTCCTCCGCCGAGAGCAGCGGCGAGTGCGCCGACTCCTCCGAAGAAGTGGCGGCTTGGCCCGGAAAGCCGCGGCCCGAAGGAGTGTGTTTTTGGCCAACGCATCGCAGCAGGTCGATGCACCGGTCTCAACATGCAAGGCGTCTCGGCTCCCAGCACCCAAGGGTCAGAACTCAACGTCTTTCCAAGAGTCACATGTCAGGGTGGCTAATGGTCACCCCATCCAGTGAGAGGAAATATGGGCACTCCTATCCGCCAAGTTCGGCACCTCGTCTTTGTGGCTCCTATACGTCTGCTTCTTCATACTTCGTTCCTTCCTTCGTCGCACGGACACAGCAGTGGCCTGGTGCCGGTGGTCGTCGCCCGGACCGAGGTGCTGCATGTGGAGCCGGAGGACCTGAAAGTCCTCCATGCCGTGGCGGAGGACGTGGACGATGCCCTGCAGCCGCTCGGCGGACGATGCCGGTCGGACCGTGCGTGGCTCCACGAGGCGGAGGGAGGCTCGGAGGCTCGGAGGCTCCGTTTCAAAGGCCACCCGGTGGGCTGCATCGGTTTGGTGACATTGAGGGATTGCTCCTGTGGGTGAATTCTGAAGTGGGTGTGTGACTGGGTGGGAGGATGTGGGAGGGGGCTCTTTGTGTTGAGATGATGGGAACGTGCTCAGACCACAGGGTTCACTGATGTTCACTGCGTCAAATCACATTGTCGATTCAATGAAAGACGTGCTGGCACACACACAGGCACTATACAACTTAAGGGATACATGGGAAACATCGCACAGGTATGCAGCAACAAAGTTCCGGGCAAACTTGTAACTGTAACTGTTACTGTCACTTATCTGACTTGAATGATCTTTAATGTTTTGATTTGTTGCTGAATGTATTGAAATGTCCCATTCCTTGGAAGGTTTAGTTTAGCAGCTGTAAAGTGGCACTTTGAGTAGGCACGTGTAGTCCAGAACCTGATGCACTGGCCTGAGGCCTGAAAGAGAGGATGACACTGAAGATTCGGGGCCTGCGCTCGCAGGCGCAAGGGGCACGAGAGTAAGACCCTACTGAGTATACACAACGTAGACTTGACAAGTTCTAAAAACACATTAATTACTGTACATCATTTTTACAAAAACTGATTTATAATACAAGTATGTTAGCCGACTGAATATAGTACAAATACTAGGACCGTGGCTGCCTTCCAGCCAACAGATGCCAACAGTTGAAACTTGCATTGACACCAATAGGGCGCAGTATGCATTCGACCCACGGATTGGAGTCATGCTACATCACTTCTCCCTGGGAGGAGGCTACAATCGCGGAGATGCAGTGGCAGCCACGCGCGATTTGCGCTCTTTGGCAGCAAAGCCTGCAGCAAAGCCTGCAAGGATCTGCAAGGTCTAAGGATGTCCAATTTGGTTGGTTAGTTGGTTGGTTTACCAGCACAACCCTTAGTATCTCAAGAAAAGGGGTAAGACATGGTATAGATGGGGCTTGGGAGTGGGCTGGTTGACCCTTCACCTGAATTCTCCCTTACAACATCTTACTACCTCTCGCACATCGGTCCGTCGGTCGATGTCGGACACTCTGGTCCCTTACGACTTCAGGACCTCCGGTGATTTGGCGGTTTCGTCCGAGCTCGGCACAGGAGCACCCTCCCTTTCGGCCCACCGGATCGTCCGCCTTGGGCGATGCTATCTTCGCGACCCACGGGCCTACAGGCGTGGGTGGCAAAGTGGTGGTCCGGGCGAACATTTTGGGCACCGTGGTGGGCCCCTCTGGCCAGGAGAGCGGCTGACGGTCTGTCTGCGACTGCGACTTTTGCGCTCGTATGTTGGGTGCGTGGCTGGCGTGGTGGTTCAAGCCGGTGAAGCGGATGACATACCAGGGAAAACACCGGGTCCGGCATCCTACACCCCGTATTGGCACCTACTGGAATCTCTTTGGGCCGTTGAGGTCCTGATTTCATATGTTTGTGGATCAGCAGTGGGTCAGCAGGGCCTTCGCCGAGGTCCTGAAGGGGCCGGCTGCAAGACCAGAAATGCAACGCCCAAAAAAAACAAAACATTGACATGACCATTTTGGACCATGATGCAAGCCCGTTTCTGCTCTTCCCTCAAAAGGTATCGTCTAGCTGCTTACCAGCGGGAGCAATCCAGAGGTGGGGGGATATCTAGAGGGCCCATAGGGGCCCATTACAAGTACCAGTAACTGCCGATTAACGGTCAGTATACAAGATGATTCACATTGATTCACTATTTTAGAGATGTGTTCAGGCCTGCTTGCCCAGGCCGCATCATCATCCATGGAGCTCTAGGAGGTTGGGATATACATGGATATTTAGGGTCTGTCCGTTCTTACCAGTAACAGCCAGTAAACCATTATCATAATGTTGGAACTAGGCCCGCAACCTAACCATCATCATCCACTGTTACAGGTAAGAACGGATGTAATAGGATAGACCCAATGGATATTGCCCTGGCCTGGATATACCTAAGGGATCTCCCTCTTCCCCAGGACCGGACCTCGGTCGACCTCTCGACCGGACGTGGGACCGATGGCAGGACCCCACGAGCCGCATCACGGTGGCCTTCGCATGGCGGGAGGATGGAAAAAGTAACAACCTGAACGTCATCGCCAGCAGCTCGGGGGGACATGTAGCAACGACTTTGGTTGGTTAGTTGGTTGTGGATGTTTGAGGATTTTAAAGTGCAGTGAAGCTTATGGTAATAGTGACCTGCCAAAAATGATTTCAGATTGTTTTAAGCCATAGTATAATTAGTGACACTTGTAGATGCTTCTTAACTCTTGAAATCTATGTGGTGGACCGTTTTATCGCCAAGAGCTTACTTAAACAGGTCTTGGCAACATATAGGCACCTAACCGCCGCTTACGACCGACCTCACAAGGTGAGATTCGGCGCGTGGACACCCAGACGCGGCCGGAGAAGGGCGAGATCTGTGCCATCTGCCTGGCCGAGCTGGGTTCACAGAGCGAGGAGGCGGGTGAGCGGTATGCGGTATGAGAAGCGGTATGGTGACGCCGTGCGACAACGGGCGTTGAATCAAGCAGAGTGGAGCCAGATGAGGCGGAAATGCAGGGTGTTCCCTTGGGACTTCGCAGAACTAGTGATGAGGTATGATTGATATCATATGAGTGGGACTCCCATTTGATTTAGGCGGGGTGATTCCTTTGAGTGACACTTGCCTGAAACAAAACCGGCCCATCAGCCCATCCCCAAAACAATTGGGTTCGCTTGTGAATCGAAGCCTCCCCACACCGATTAGCACATGACTGTTGTGAAGGGACCCTTATGGAGTACTGAGGGGTCCCAGATACTGAGCTCATTGGCTCAGCAGAAGCGGCTCAGTAGATCATACTTGGAGTGAGTCACAGCATTTTGGAAACATGTTCCATGAGCATTCCACCAAAGCATGAGTCCCACTGATGTTCCTCCCCGCAGACGTCTTGAGCTCCGACCTTGCGTGTTGAAACCGCGTGCGAGCGCGGTGCGTTTTTCATGTGCGAACTACACCTTTGTTCTTGAGGAATCCACGGATTCCAGGTCTGTCACTGTGCAACAGTGGCAGCGGAGCCACGTGAGTTCCGTTGCAGATGCCCCAGGACCCTTGGTTGAGGACCGATCCCTGGCTGCATTACGCTGGAGCTGCGAGGACCCCTACCTCACCATGTGCTGGTGATGCTTCAACCCGGATGTCGTGTTTCCCAGGACAGGGTTCTGGTGCTGGACCTGCAACACAGCCTGAGGGGCCAGGAGCTACTTCCTCAGGAATGCCTGGGTCACCCTCTCATGCTGTTGGGAATTTCGCTACCACATCAACTCCGGTAGCAGCACCTTGGATGAGCCCGAACCTCACTCCGCAAAGCGCTCAGATGACAGGCCATCCTGGACTGTTTAGTCAGCCTTGTAGTTTTTATCCAACTCCCCAAGGGAATCAGTCGGGCATGCATAGTGGTGGAACCCCTTCTCCCCCTTCAAGAGGGTTCGGGAACTTGGCTCCACCTGCACCGAGCAACGGTGCCTGTGCTTCAGCGCCTGGACCTTGCAGCGCGGCTAGCTGGTGTCAGCAACTGGATGCGTCAGCACTGCCTCCTGCCGCCGCGCCGGTGCAGAGCGCCTTTGAGATGCTTGGCAAACCGGTGCAATCAGTGCCTGCGAGTTCTGCAGATCCTCAGGAGGTCATGCTCAAGGCCCTCACTGCTGCCCTCTCAGGTGATCGCAGGAGTCTGCCAAGCTGGAACGGTGATGTTTCGACCCTCCGACCATGGCTTCGCCAGTTGACGCTTTGGGAGATGGACAACAACCTCCCGAAGCAGAAATGGGGGTTGAAGCTCCTTCAGGCCTTCTCGGACCAGTCACCTCCGAGAAGGATTGCAGAGACGGTGGACCTTCCCACACTGACTTCCGAAGCTGGATACTCGGCCATCCTAACGGCCATCATGACCAAGTACGGTCCCTACCTGGAAGCTGCTGGACCGGCCGCCATCGAGACCTTTTTCTATGGGACCGAACGCAGTCGGTCAGAGAATCTCTCAAGCTATGTGGCTGCCAAGGAGGTCGCTCTACAGGAGATGGAGGCGCACCTTGGAGAGAAGCTGCCTGGGCGGATCGCAGGGCGTATCCTTTTGCGCCACGCGAATCTGTCTGACGCCCAACGTGAGGCTATGGCTGTGAAGTACAATGCCCTCTTGACCTTCGAGCAAGCAGCAGCCGCCTTGAGGCCGTTGGATCGGCCGGATGCCTTAGTTCAGAAAGTTGCCAAGACCTTCGCGACTTCGAGTGGCCACCATGACTATGAGGAGGATGAGGACGACGAGCTTGTGCCTGATGAGGTGCAGGCTGAAGAGGATGATGAAGAAGGCCCTGAAAGCGATGGTCAAGGCAACCTCACCTTTCTGTGTTTCGACCCGGCCGAGGAGTACACGGAGGAGGAAGCCACCTACATATGGGCCTACAACAGTGCCTACAAAGATGTCCGACGAGAACTGCAAGCTAGGCGGAAAGGCCGCCAGTTCTTCAAGAAGGGCAATGGACCACCAGTTCAAAAGAAAGGCAAAACCAAGGGCCTACAGCGTAAAGGCCATGGAGGCAAAGGTCGTGGCCATAGCAGTTTTGGTCGTGGACGTGGTCACGGCCGTGGAACACCGGACGATCTTCTGGCTCGCACGAAGTGCTTTTCATGTGGTGGCCTTGGACATATGTCAAAGGATTGCCCTCAGCAAGAGCCACCCAGTCATTTTTTTGTGAGCCATGGAGGTCATGAGCAGCAGCGCATCTACGCCGTGAGCGTGAAGCCCTCTGTGCAAAAGCAGCTGGAAGTCTTTGCAGGTGTTCGCACCGAGAGCTTCGAAGGAGTTGTGGACACCGCAGCAGAGGAGGCGGTGATTGGCTCGACAGCAATGGACCGTTTGCGTGCTGCACTTGGCCAATTTGGCCTTAGGCCGGTTGAGGCCAGTGGAACCACGGCGACCTGCGCCGGCATCGGAGGCATGACATCCCCATTGGAGTTGCCAAGACCAATGGGCTGCTCCGGGTGACGGAGATAGAGGATGTTGGGGCTTTTCAGACCCCATTCTTGCTTCCCATCTCTTTCATTGAGCTGGTGGGAGGCGTCATCGACACCGGCAAGAACATGTTCATGTTGAAGGGTGGCAAGAAGACCACCATGCGGCGATTACCCTCTGGACATCGCACAATTTCTGTGCTGGAGTTCAATGGACGATGGAAACTTCCAGAGGGACTCGCCAAGGAGCTCACAATCTCTTCAGATGGAAATCCAATCCATTTTTGCTGCCACGGACTTCAGTTGGAGACAAGCTTCAGCAACGACCCGGAGTGGCAGTATGGTTGAAAAAGGACAGTGAGCTGATCTTTATGGGCTCCATGGATGCTCGCGCAACCCTGGTCCATCCTTCTGAGATTCTCCCCAAGCACATGCTTTCGAATTTGGATCGGTCCCGGGTGACAAGTGCATACTTTTTGGACGACACCTCCATCAGCATCCATGATACATGGCATTTGCCCTCTTCCCGCCAACTCCCTTTTTGGTCGGGTGACGTGTTTTTCGAGCTTTTGGACCCTTTTTCGCCCTCGACCTCACCCTCGACGGTGTCTTCGGCTTGTGTCGTGCCCCGGCCTCAGGCTGCCTTTGCACCTTCGGCGGCCGCCAACCAGGTCAAGGACTCAAAGGGCAAAGCTTTGGCGTTGAAGAGTGCTTTGAAACCAGTTTGCAAGCAGAGTCAAGCGTCATGTGCACCTCCGACCATGTCCAAAGAGCCGCAGAGTGTTTCTTTTTCTCCGTCAGCTTTGGCTCCTGGTTCAAGTACGCCTCATCGTGCGCACCTCCCTGAGCATGCAGAGCAAGATCACCCAATGGTTGGTGCAAGCCGACAAGGAAGCACCACCAGCTTCCAAGAAGAGGACGCCCACAGCGAAGTTGCTCGCTGCCTGGAGGCGCATGGCTCAGCTGACGATCAACATGATCCTGACGACGATTCGCCAGTCGGCCACGGATTACCTGCTCAACAGGCATCGCTACGAGTTGGCCGAGCCAGTCAAGGAGAGTGCACAGAAGGCACCAAAGCAGATCGGGGACGGGCGCATCCGCCGCGGCATTGGTCAGCCGCTGCGACGCTCCACACCCTGCAAGACATGGCATTGCGAGCCATCGGACTGTGCCCATCCAGAAGACAAGCTACGCCAACGAGGCTCAAAGAATTTCTACTGGTGGACATGCCTCGACTGCGGCAGCAGATGGGCTCGAGTGGAATGGGCAGCAGATGCAGCCGTCAACTCGGGGGCACAATCCTCAACAGATCCTCCAACGGCAGTGGAGTTGGTGACCAAGTCGCTGATGAGCTATCCGGCCAAGTTGCCACCTCCCAAGCATCGCTCGGACCTGCCGACGCTCACCATCACCGAGCTCTCGCCGGAAGAGATGACACCGAGCACGGAGCCAATGGCAATCCAGGATGTCTCCAACCGGACCTCAGCACCGGTGACCCCCTCATGGTTGGCATCGCCCAGCGAAATGCCGGAGACTCCACCCGCAGCACCGCTGAAGACGAGTGGGCGCATGTCAAGCCGATCTCAGAGCGCCGACCGTCGTCGCCGCATGGCTTCAGGAGTTCGACCAGCCCAACACCGAGTGAAGCCAAGGGCCCACTTTCAGAACTCGACGGAGCAGTTCGAGATCCACTCATCGGGCGGAGAGTCGGTGCCAAGCGATCTTCAGATCGTCAGCCCATGAGGGAGCAAGCGAATGGCGCTCGGAGCACCACGACCACCACGAGCACTACGAGCGATGGCAAGTTCTTGCACGCATCGCCCACGTCATGCCCTACTCGATCCTCTTCACTGAGAACTTGCTCCAAGAGCGCTACGACTACTTGCTCAAAGAGCCCTATGGCAATGACCGCATTCCTGACGGTCTCAATCCTTTGCATGGTGCCTGAAGCCTCAGCCAAACTATCTTGGTTGGGTTCCCGACTGGAGGTCGGTGATCCTTCAGGAGATCCTTTTGCGAATTCATCTTCATCTTTGCCCTCATCGAAGATGGCATCTTTTCCCTTGAACGCCAGCCTTACTGAGCTTGGCCGAACTGATTTTGACATTGTCGGAGCGAAGATTTTGGGACGCCAGGAACGAAGTCAGGTGATCTTCCATGCCACCAAGTTCCTGGACCACGTTGGAGAGATATACAGTCCTCCTCGGGTGACGCCAGAAGCCCGTCGTCAAGGTCTTCGAGCTCGCTTGGCCTTGGATCTCACTACCGGTTGGAACTTTTCCCTGCCGGAGCACCGGAAGAAAGCCAAGGAGCTGATAAAGAAGTGGAGGCCAGCCGTCCTCATTCTGAGTCCACCATGCACTACCTACTCGCCTCTCCGCCGCCTTTCGAACTTCAAGCGCGACTACCAGACAGTCATGGCGGAAGAGAAGGAAGGCGATGTGCACATGGATTTCTCAGTTGAGCTGGCTGAGGACCAAATAGCTGAGGGACGAGGTTTTGTCATGGAACAACCTCTTCCAGCCACTTCATGGTCCCGACCTTCAGTGAAGCGGTTGATGGAACACCCTGACGTCCATCGCCTGGAGCTGGACCAATGCCGTTTTGGCCTTCGTGCATCCAAGGGCCCCTTCAAAGACATGCCGGTGAGAAAACCGACCGCCCTGGCCACCAATCTGGAAGGCCTGGCTGAGTTCGTGGAAAAGAAATGCTTGAAGCAGCATCAACATGGTATGCTCCTGGGTGGCTCAGCCAAAGAAGCAGCGGTCTACACTCCGTCCTTCGTGAAAGCATTGGTGGCGGGCATCAAAGCCGCACTTGGCATTGCTCCCACAAAGAAGACAACGGCAGAAACCCTTCAGTGGTTTCAGTGGGGACAGGCTATGGGCCATTTGGTCTATGACTATGCGCGGGAAACCGCGGCCCTTGACGACGAGGTTTCAGAGCTCCATGGCACGATCGACTATGTCCATGATGTCGAGACTGAAGAGACCTACGGCAAGTTCGTTGGTTCACCTGGGCAACCCCCTCGCGGAGACCAATTTCCTGAGGGTTGCCCAGGTAAGAAAGTGACCGCCTGGGCACTGCAGAACGCTCAGGAGGCAAATCGACTGGGTTCGACACTACCGGAGGAGGAAGACAATTTCGATGCAGTTCAAGAGCTTCGTCAAAACATGCGACAACTCGATGACCAACCTCGCATTGCCGAAGCCCTGAAAAACGTTGAGACATTCCAAAGCATGGATGACGGCAACTTCTCCCTACCTCCACATCTTCGACGAGAGGTACACAAGATCCACAGAAACTTGGGTCATCCCGCACTGGAAATCTTCGTGCGTGCTCTTCGCAACTCGGGCGCAAAGCAAGAAGTTCTGAGCTGGACAAAGCATCACTTTCGGTGTCCCACCTGTGATGCTCGACCACGGGTGTCACCACAGCGCCCGGGACATTTGCACCGAGCAATGGAGTTCAATTCAGTCATTGGGCTCGACCTTGTCTTCTTGGAGGCCTTTGGACAGCTCCACGTGATTCTCAACATGATTTGTTGGGGCACCAACTACCAGCAGGCTGCCCTGTGCCGCGACAAGTCGGCTGATGAGGTTCTCAATGTGTTCATGAATGAGTGGATCAAACACTACGGAGTGCCTTCACTCATCATAGTGGACAGAGGAAAGGAGTTCGAGAACCATCAATTCCAGGAGACGATCGGTGGACTTGGGGCAGCCATCCATTACACCGACGTGGAAAGTCCATGGCAAAACACTCGTACAGAAAAAGCCGGAGGAGTTCTAAAGGAGAAGATCATGGCCACCATCCACCAGACCACAGCGACCATTGATGAACTTCCACTCGTGCTGGCTGAAGTGGTGAGCAGTCGAAATCGCTACATGGACCGGTTTGGGTTCTCACCAATGCAAAGAGTCTTCGGCCGCTCACTACGGCTTCCGGCTTCCATCATGGCTACGGATGCCCTCGATCGAGAGCTTGTGGAAGCAGCTGCACCAGAACCGGTTCGCCGGTCATGGGAGATCCGGGAAGCCGCATCCCGTGAGTGGTTGAGAAGGCAGGATCAGGCTGCCATCCGGAGAGCCTCTCGAGCACAGAGCCGCACGGCAGATCGCAAACCACTTCCTCCTGGCACATGGGTCTATGTCTTCAGAGACTCACCTAGCTACCATGGCTGGGTAGGACCTGGCGTGTTGATTGCACCTGATCTCAATGATCGAGCGGCCTGGGTGAGCATGCGCGGCCGGCTTTGGAAGACTTCTCGAGAACAGCTGAGGCCAGCAACTCCAGAAGAAGAGCTGGGCGCAGAACTCGTAGTGGAGCTCACCAAGGACATGCTCGACAAACTCCATCAAAAACCAGGTCATAATCAGATTGCCTACCAGGACATCACCCATGAGACCTTCCCGGAAGATGCCGATCTGGAGGACGTTCATCGTGTCCTGCGTGTGGAAGAGGAACGACGTGAAGTGGAAGACACTCCCATGGAACGAGAAACCACTGACAGCACTCATCAACCTATGGCTGAGGAGGAGGAGTTTGACTTGCTGTCGAATGACACCACCATGACTCCAGATGCTTCTCAAACACAGAGCAGGAGGGCAAGCATTCAGACCGACACTGCTGAAGAGAAAGAGGCACTCCCGCCAATTGAGGAGGAGAACGCCATGCAGACAGAGGATCTCGGTCTCAGCTCCAACCTTCCTGAACGACGACAAATCCAAGTTGATGAGGGCTCCCATGGTTCAATGCATGTTGGACCACCTGCTCCAGTACCAGATCGCTCGAGGTCACCCCCGTTGACACGACCTCGGCCAAACTCAATTGCAGAAGTTCCTGAGACACCACCACTGGGCTATGTGCCGCCTTCAAGAGCAGCTTCATCAACGGCACCAGCTATGCCGTATCCTTTTCAGCAGCAGGTTCCACCATTGCCGACACCGCCAGGCAATTCCTTCTACCTGGAGGTCATTGACTTTGATGGCGACGACATGCTTCGCCAGATGGGTTCGAAGTCTCCATTCATCGGAGCCACTTGGCGCCGAGAACGAGGCCAACCTGAACCAGTCCTACAAGCACGGGCTCCCCGACAGAGCAAATCATTTGCTGCTTGGGAAGCCGAGGCAAGCTACTGTGACCAAGACCGCTGTATGTATGTGGTCAAGAAGGCAAGGTCAAGTTTCGGCCAGGTGGAATTCTCCAAGCTAGCTGAGAGTGAGAAGAAGAAGTTCAGGCAAAGCCGCTTGAAGGAGGTCAACAGCCTGATTCAAAACAAGGCAGTGAAGGTCCTCTCCCTGGAGGAAAGTTTGGCCTTTGAAGAGCAATTCCCTGAGCAGGTGATCAACTCCCGCTTTGTGGACCGCTACAAGCCGAAAGACGTTGGCCCTGACAAGATTGAGCTCTACAAGAAAAAGGCCATTGACGAAGGCATGTTGGAAGCAATTGCATTGGAGGAGGACCAGACAAACCCGAAGTCACGACTCTGCGTGATCGGTTGGGAGGACCCTCAGATCCACGAGGTGGAACGTTCTTCACCGACTCCTTTGTCGACCTCCCTGCATTGCTGCTTACAGCTAGCCGCCTCTCGCAAATGGCAGACAAGAGTTCGAGACGTCAAAACCGCTTTCCTTCAAGCCCTGCCAACAACTCGGAAGCGCAAGCTTGCAATTCGGCAACCACGTGACGAATCTCTGGAAGGATATGATCCTCGCCAACTGCTACTCCTGTGCACCGAGGTCTATGGCTTGGTGAGCGGACCATCATGGTGGCGGCGAAGTTTGCTTAAGTTGGCCACTGAGGACTTAGGCTTTGAGGTGAACCCCTACGACAAGTGCGTGCTCACTTTGCCTTCTGCCGATCCGAGCAAGAAGCTGACTGAAGGCTTCCTCGTCATTGAGGTCGACGACATCGCTGAAGCTGGATCTGCGAGGCACCGAGAGCTGATGACTAAGATGGAAAGCATGCTCACGTTCGGGAAGGTGGACAACCTCCAAAGCAGCACTGGGTCGAATTATGCTGGACGACGACTCCGGCAAAGGCCCGACTTTTCCTTTGAGGCCGACATGGATGAGTTCATTTACACTCGCCTGCAGCCAATCGCCCTAGCTCGGCGCGTTCTGAAGAAGGACTCTGCGAAGGTCAAGCTGTCCGAGAACGAGAAAACGCAGCTGAGGGGATTGATTGCGAGTTTGAACTGGCTAGCTCGTGAGGGAAGACCTGATGTGGCAGCTGCAGCTTCGATACTGGCTTCAGCATTTCCAGAGCCTGCAGTGTCCCACATCCTGGCAGCAAATGCCATGGTCCGCCATGTGAAAACAAGCCCCATCAAGATGGTCATCCACAGCATCGAAGAGAAAGACTTGCGCAACATCCTTGTGGCTGACAGCAGCTTTGACACGAGCGGACGTGAACGCTCGCAGCATGGCTGGTTGCTTGGATTCACAAATCCTTGGTTGAACCAAGGACGAGAAGCTCCAGTGTCGCTCATGCAGTGGCGCTCCAAGCGACTGAGGAGGAAGGCCGCTTCAAGCCTGCTTTGCGAGGCAATCTCGCTCTCGGCTGCGACAGCCGCCCTTGAGCGGCAGGACGTGTTCATGGAGAGCATCCGCATGTCGCACTTCAAGCCAAGGGTGCGCCAGAAGTCAGAGGATGAAAAGCTGGCGGCAATGGGCAAAAGCACTGTCATTGCCAGCGAGTCAGCTTCGTTCTGCGACCCCAACTCCATAGTGGTCGTAGACGCAAAGTCCCTGTACGATGCCCTTTGCTCGGACCAGTGCTCCGGAGATGATGAGCGGTCAGCCTTGGAGATCGCAATCATCAAAGAGAGTTTGTCGATTGTGGGCGGGCGACCAAGATGGATCCCGCACAATTTCAATCCAGCTGACGCCCTGACCAAATTGGAAGGAGCGCATACTGGCCCTTTGATCGACCTCCTGAGAACTTCATCCATGAGGATTGAACAGGAGACCGAAGTCCTTCAGAGGGGAAAGCAAAGTGAGCATCGGATGAAGACTAGCTTTGGTGGACTTGAGTTTGGGGGGCTGAGTCACAGCATTTTGGAAACCGCATGTTCCATGAGCATTCCACCAAAGCATGAGTCCCACTGATGTTCCTCCCCGCAGACGTCTTGAGCTCCGACCTTGCGTGTTGAAACCGCGTGCGAGCGCGGTGCGTTTTTCATGTGCGAACTACACCTTTGTTCTTGAGGAATCCACGGATTCCAGGTCTGTCACTGTGCAACAGGAGGATCTTTCCGAGTTCTTCTCCCGAACAAGAACAGCCAGGGGTATGGCAGAAACATCCAGGAACATATACGTATGTTGAAGACCCTCCGTGGACATCCTTTGACTTCAAGCCACAGCCCAGGGTATTTGCCGCATGCCTTGTGGCCATATGCTCCACAAGACCTGTGTGACGGCCTACTTGAACCATCAAACTACGCAGACGAGCAGTCCCACGTCCCCTTGGCAGCATTTGCCCTGTCCAAGTGTGACACGCCGGGGGGGAGGTCAGAAGAGTCGACGAAGGTATGGCTTGACATTCATCACATACTCATCACATACTCATCCAAAAACCATGGCAAGTGAAGACTTGATGCCCTGAACTATGGCAGGTCCAGTGGACCACTTGGACCATTCTGGCCCTTTGATAGCACCTTTCAAAGCCAAGATGGAGGGTCTTTTACTCAAGGGCAGGTGGGCCCCACATCCCTAACACTACACAGGATTTCATGGGCTGAAGCCGGGCTGAAGCCAAAATAATTGGATGATATTGGATGGAACATTGGATCATGCGAGCCCTAAATATATAAATATTATATCCATATACATATACCTAGATCTTTGAAACCGGTAGACACCAAAAAAAAATGTCGTTTTTTAAAACGGTTAATTTTTTGATTACGGTGCCTTTTCACTGAAAAAATGTATGCGGCGGCAAAAATTAGTGCCGTTTGAAGATCCAGGTATACCACAATATAATAATATATTTGCTTATACTTGATCTCTCTCTATCTCTCACATGGATTTATGCAATACACCTGTCATTTGTGCGGAGGCCCCCAATTCCCTGCAGAAGCCTGAGCGTCCATTGATAGGTTCGAAAGCCACGGTTCCGTGTGGTGGCTGGTGTTTTTCTTGGACTGTTGAGTGACGGGTGGGAATGGGGAACATCTACTAGATAAGGGGCAGGGTGTTTTCCGTCACCCCATGGCCCCACACAATGATATGCGTGTGGGGTCTGTGTGACTGCGCAGAAGCCACACTTGGTGAAGACCCGCCAGATGGTGCCTGATGAGGAGTCATCTATTCATGAGAGTGTTCCATGGAACCCTTTGAAACCAGGCTCACTCTCCCCAGTGGATCAAAGAAGAATCGATGCTCCTACCGGTGGATGTACTTGGGGTTGATGGAGTTGGCTCAGGCTGGGTACTGGCAAAACAAACAAAAACAGATACAACTCCACCAAAACAGAAACAGGCTCAGGTATTGGAGTTACCAATCGGACGCAAAAACCCAACCAACCAAGCCATCGGACTGATCGGCCTTTTCTGCCAGCCACCTCAGGACTCGGCCATCCACTTTAGGTGGGGGGGAACCGGGTGAAACCGTGTGAAAGCGAGACCTTGGCGAGGTCTTCTTTGGAGGTTCTTTTTGGACCTTTGAAGGTCGTTTTTACCGCCCAGGATGGCCCAAGGACATGTGTTTTGATGTGTTTTACCTTCCGAAGTTGTTTCAATGTGTTCTTGTCTTGTCGAGGCCTTCGATGCGAGGAAGTTTTGCATGCTATATCAATGATGCAACGACCAAACTGACTGATGCGGATTAGTGCAACACTTGAAAAAGAACATAGCTGTCCAATGCACAGATCACTCCCTACTGGTCATTCCAGTGAAGTCCCAAACTTCAAAACCTAATTTTGATGGAATGACCATTGCTCCAGTTTGCGCCAAATTCAATGACATCAATCCAATTCCAATTCTGAACCAAAAATGACAGATCATTATTCCAATCCATTCCCTACTTGGGCCTTTGTGGCTCACCCCACGCCACAGATACCCTGGGGCGAGCATCGACGCAGGTGTGCCAGCTCCCTTAAAGCCAGCTCAGTGGGGCCCCCAGCAACCTCCGCTGAGGGGCAAAAGGACGTCCTTCCAACCGGGTCAGAGGCGATGACGGTGGGGCGCATGACCGGCGTAAACGAAGTGACTGACCAGATTTGACCAGTTTGGAGCATGTTGAGCAATGTGTTTGCATTAGAATTCTGCATGCTGTGTTGTAGAGTGTGGATTTCATCCATTAAGCGTTCTCAGCAAAGCCAAACATCCATATTAATATATTGAGTTGGACGTCTCCATGTGTCACTTTGTCACAATTACTGAGGTGTCCGGTTTGTCGGAAGGAAGTGCTACCCTGAGGAAGTGCTGATTTCGGCGTGAGAAAAGCGAGGCGAAAGGCTTAGCAGCTTAAGCTGCACGTTAAAAACGTTGGACTCATGACATGAACCATCATGAACCACCATACGCAGCTTGGAGGGGAACCGCTTCGATATAGAGGTTCCAAGTCTTAGCCTTAGGCTTCATAAGAGTTTGAAGTTTGGAGGGTATTTTGCAAGTTTGTTGAAACTAGCATGTAGAAGGTCACAAAAGCAGATGTATAGATCATTCCGGCTTCCCCAAAGCAAAGGCTATGGTGTGAACATCCAAGTGTTTCATGAACTGAAGGCTCGACTTGGATAACTGACAAGGTATAGTAATAAATGTTAATGCCGCATGGTGCAACACAAGAGTCTTGCTATAGATTCCTTTGGGTGGAGGGTTCTGAACTCCGCTCAGTGGTTCTAGATTCTAGATGGTTCTAGTTCCAGGTACAGCTCTCCCTGTAACTGCAAACACATTTTGTTAAGAACAGCCCTGAACGATGTGGGCCGGCACGCTCTCAGCATTTGAGTCTCTAGAGCTTTAGAGCTTCCCACCCTGGGAAGCGTCGTTGGTTGGCAGCGCGACCGTAATTTCGCACAGCGCCGGTGAATTGCTAAGCGCAGTGCGGGTTCGCGTGGCGCAGTCGAATGCGCCGATAGAGTGTCACTTTCACGCTGCTCTGAACCACATGTGAGTTGCGTAACAGGTGGTTCAGGGCCGGGTCCATGTCCTCGAGATTGGATCGGACAGACCCGACTCGATGTTCGATGAACCCTTGGAGATGGCTGGAAGTGACGTCCGTGGCCAAGGGATTGCCACACTGCTAATCCCTTGGAAAGACCGGAGCTAATCTGAGCAGGGAAATACTGTAGATGATAGATTTACATCATATCCTTCCAGAGGCCAAGGAACTATGGCTACATTCATTCGCGCGGCGTTTGAAACTAGTTCATGGGCGCACGGATCACTCTGCAAGTTTACAGGATATAGAATGATATAGAAATGCCAATCACTGTGATGAGACTATGAACTGCTCTTGCCACACCCGAGGGCTTACCTGTTGCTCAAAATTTACAAAGTGCTGATCGTGTATAGTAGATGGACTAGCTTCCAGACATCTCCAGCTGTGCGAGTCAGCACCACGCCTGAGACTTGAGTTTCTACCCCGAAAACTGCCCAAATAGATAGCCTCACAGCTTCTGATACTCTTTTTGAGGTGGTTCACTTGTGTTGGTTTCTTTGGGGGTGTTTCTATGCACACGTTTTACAATGCATTGCTTTGGGGTGGGAAGTCGCCTCTCAGGATGTACAATCGCTAGCACGGTTGTGGCCATCTTACTAACGCTTACCGCTAGCGCTTGAGTTTCAAGCGACGTGCGGAATGCACATGTCCAGGAAAAGACACAGCATCGCTCGAGATCTGGAGCGATGGAGCCCCCTTTTTTTCTACAAACCGAGGTCTATAAACTGTTCGGAATTGTTGCGTTGCCGTTTTGGATGTGAGTCAACACCGTGGCACAGGTAAACATCTCCAGCTAGATTGCTCACGTTTGGGATGCTCGAGTGCAGTGTGCCATGACCCACTGCTTATTTGGGATTTCTGCCAAGTCACTTGAAGGACTTCCATCCTGTTGCTACTCGCCTCCAAACCTCCAAAGATCTCCCATGTGACTCTGTGGATCGCGGCATCCACAACATGCCCCGATGTCAAGCACCCCCCGAACTGACATCCTTTTTTGGTTCTGCAGGTGTGGGAAGTTGCTATAACTTGATTGAAATTTAGGGACACCCAAGGTTTTGGGTTGGAAACCCGTTTTTTTTTTTGTGCAGATGGTCTGTAAACACGAGGTTTCAATCTGGACATGACATATTTTTGTTTTTCAGGGTTTGGAAGCTAAGGGTCCATATAATCACATATATATATAAGATATTTATGTATGTCTGTATAATATAATATATATATATACATTAGATAGATATAGAATACACAATATATAATGTATATGGATGAAACGTGATGCAATCGAGCCACAAACGTCACACAGTTCGGTCGGATCTACTCGCCAAAGGCGGCGGGTCGTCCTTGCCGCCCACCTCCGGAATGTCAGGCGGTGCGGGGAGAGGGAGTGGGTTTGACAACATCGGGAAGGCTTAGGTTGTTTTGGGGGGACGACGGGTTTAGGGTGTTTAGGTTGTTTTCAGGAAGTCTGAGAGGTAGATCAAGGTGAGTAAACAGACTTCGAGATAGATCATGGGATACATAGCTGAAGCCTACTTGGATGAGTTGGCGTGTGCTATGACATCAGTGGACTGCTGGTGCGTCAGCTCAACAAAACCTAGACGAACCAGCACAGAAGCACTGGCAAGTGAGAGAGAACCCAGAGAGTGGAAAGCATTTTCCACCATCGCGTTGTTGTTGGAGCCTACTTCAAGACATAATGAGACCCTTCAAGGTCACACCAATCTCTCAGCTGGCATGCGGAAAACCGGCCATGTCGGCCCATGTTCAACGATCTTCCCATGATCGCCACCCCCGTTTTCACCAACCCAACCTGTTCCATGTTTCTTGAAACAAACGTATTTGTAGAGCCATCAGGTTTCACAAGCTGTTCACTGTTTTTGAACAAGGCCTGCAACCAAAACATCATCATCCACTGGGCCCTGGATGACAAGGATAGACCCAAGCCAGATTGATAGAGAATGGCCCAAAGACAAAAGGCGTTCCCTTAACACCTCAATGGACAAATGCAAGCTTCCTCTCCGAGTTTTTGCAGGTGATTCATAAAGGTGTCAAGAGTGGTTGGTCACACTTTCTTGCACTATAATTTTTTTTGGGGGGTGCATGGTAGAACTGTAGTAGAATGTTGATGGATCAAACCCTCGTTAAACCCCTTCCTGATATCGGTGCAAGAAGAGCCTCGGAGCCACCACGTGGCTCCGTCGAATCACACTCGCGACATCGGTGGCTCCAATGCTTGGGAGTTGAGTCCGACCAATGCCGGCATTCGCTCGGAGGCTTTAAATGGTACCAGGTACCATTCTTTAAGGAATTAAGAATGGAGAAGCATTGCGAACCCAGAATTTGGACATCTTTTGTTTTGCCTTCCATGTCATTTTCAGAAACAACTCGGCATTGGAGAGGGTTTCGACCCACAGTGCATCTTTCAGGAGGTCCTGCTTTGCCACCAACTTCAGGCATGTCAGGCTGCTCCAATGCAGTTTGGAGGGAGCTGGGCGGACGTCTTTGCCAGTGTTTCTACTGGATCTTGCTTATTGCCAAATAGATGCAGCCAAGATATTATATAAATTATATATATATATATTTAATTTATTGTTTTTGAACCTAAATGATCTCTATATTGAACCACCAACCCACCAAAATATGTTTGTTTCTTTCAAAACAGGGGTCAAATGGGTTCTAGGTATATAGTTCGATCAGATCGATGGATTTTTGGGGTCTATCAGCCACATACGGGCCGCTCCGTCCCCGGTGAGCAAATCCCAGTCAGTACATACGAAGTGAACACTGAACTAAATGCTCCACCTGTGCCTGGAGATGTGCCTGGAGATGGGAGGTTCTGGTCAAGCAGTTGCTGTGGGGGGGGCGCTGCAACAGCTACTCCCACTTGGATCTCCACCGGTTCAAACGTGGCGACTTCGCCAGGTTTGGCCGGGTGCCAGGTCGCCAGCAGCGTGGGATCGCCACTCGGAGGGGGTGGATCGCAAACGAGCCGATGAGACTGGCGGGTGGATCTCCGGTGATGGTCGCTGAGAGATCTGAGAGTGAATAGCTTCCCAACCTGAAGTTCCAAAATTCCCAAGTTGAGATTCCATGCCCTAGCGCTCCAAGTACCTCCTTAGAAGGTATGACTGGACCCTCTAAGCCCACCCCAAACACCTTCTAAGAAGCTCCTTGGAGCCCTAGGGATGTGTGTCTTCTATGTTATCTTGGCTTTTAAATGTTGGGTTGCGCGGGATGGTTGCCCCATAACAGCCCAGAAGGTCATATGGCACATGCGAGTGGTGCGACTCTCCGTGCTTGATGAAGGGTGCCCGGGTGCCCCAACGACTTCCACTCTGGAAGTAAAAAGAGCCTCTGAAGCGCGGTTACGCGGTTCATTCCTTTTTTTCGCGTTTGGGACGCAACTCCACATCAGCTTAACGCTCCAGCCCAACGGAGCATTTTCAGCCGAACCACAAAAAGGGGAGAACGGATTCCGGCATCGATGTAGGCATATGTGCCAGTCCCAGACAGGTGGTGTTTTTGGAAAAGTTGTGCTCCAAACAAACAATCCCTAGGGATCCAAGTACCTTCTCAGGTACGGTGATTGGAGGCACTGTTATGTAGGTTTGGAGGGTCCAGTCCTACCTTCTGCGGTTCGGTACGACTGGATTTTTAGGGAATCAGCGTCCCCTTTCAGCCTCAGCCTCAGGTTTCTTCCCCACCCCGGCCTGCCGAAGAGTGGTTACACCACACTGGAGGCCGCAGCACCCCGGGTGCGGCGGGCTGGAGCCGGGGTTGGAGCGGTGCGGTGTGCGGCGTGCAGGTGATGGAGAAGGGAACCCAGGATGGTTGCGCAGATGATGTTTCTGGTACCTGGCTCCATGGATTGGTTTAAGGGAACGTCTACAGGAAACCATCGGTTTTCATCCCTGTAACGATAGCTTTCCTAAGAACCTTTTTGGGACCTCAGTGAGAGAACAGGTCGCAGCCTGCGGGGATGGGCATTTGGGGCGGAGCTAAGGGCTCTCTTATCACAGTTGTCCGAAATGGCTCTTGAACCTCAAATGTTTCCGATGTTTAGCATGGAGTTTGGGGTATCTACAGCATCCCCTAGAAAAGGAAACTACACTTCAGCGGGTACAGCTGGACAAGGTGCTGGGCGTTCATGCTGGATAAAAATTGCATGAATGAAATTGGTGTTTTAGTCCGAATGCCCAACTTGCCAGTTTGGCTGGCCTGCTGCAACATCGGCAAGCCCTCTTGATGCCAAGACTTGACACAAGCGGCTTAACATATGATTAACATTGTATAACATGGTGCTTTTGTTTAAAGGTGTGGTTCCTCAACTGTGACGCCGCTTATGGAACCTAACCTCAGATCGTCTTCCTCAGACCTTCGACCTCCACCTGGCCCCGTGCAGGAGAGCTTCGTGCCATCCCCCAGTCGGATGGGAAGCACCGTCCACAGCACGATGGGCAGCGCTATGGCGAACACTTTCGGCATGCCGAACACGGCAAAAGGCGTGGCAATGAGATGAGCTCTAGTGGTTGAAACCCAATCCAGCTTATACAACTTTCAAGTTCAGTTCAGGTGATCGGTTTTTCCAAGTTGCTCTTTTTGGCGTCCTACTTTGAGGTCTTAATCGATTCTATATAATAATCCGGGTCACTTTGAAGAAGCTGGTGGCAGTTAGAGCTGACTTGGAAGAGTCTTGGGCACGCGACTGCTACGGAGTGCCACAGACCAAACCCGTGTCAGAACAAGAGGTACTACAATTACAACTAAGACATCCTCAGACCAAGGTGCTTGTGTTCATCCATCTCGCCTGCGATTTGCACACATTGCCTGGAAGAACATTTATCTAATTACAAGCCATAAATGCATTGTCAGGCAACCTTGGTGCTTTGCCGGAAGAACAGGCATGATGAGTGCAGAGTGCGTTTTGTGTTCCTCAGTTGGAACCTGCATCAACTAAAGCGGATGGTACTGTAGGGACAAACTAGGGCTGCAGGGGTTACCAGACCTTCTATCAGGTGGTGAGGACAAATAAGCCTTGTTCCACAAAAAATTGTTTGGCTTAGCAGCATTGAGAAGGACATTTTCAAGGTGAGTCTAGTACCAATAGTCGCAGGTGTGAAGTACAGCACTTGGAATCGAACCACCATGTTATCGACCTATGACCGGTCCATGAGGCCTTGCCAGCTGTGGGCACGCTGGGTCACATTGATGCGCCCAAGCCGGGGATGACCGGTACGAGCGGTCCACCGCGTGGCGCGATGGGAGGGATGGGATGTGCAGCAAAGCGGCAGCTGGGATGGGATGGTGCCGTATCCCCCCCAAAAGATGTCTCAAGCATGACCTTCCCTGGGTCATCCTGTCTGGGTGGTCCTATAGACTACCCTACACTACCCTTCACTGCTTACGGACCTCCATTGGACACCCAGACAGGATGATCCTGGTTAGAAGGTCTATGCATCTCTAGGCCCTAACCATTGGCTAGAAAACGACTGGCAACTGGACTTGTGTTCCATTTGGCAGGTGTCACTCAGGTTCAAGGGATGGTTGCAAATGATGCTGTTTTTTCTTCTATCATGTATATGGTATACCCTAGAGATCCACGGTGATTGGAGACACTCTTAATGTAGGTTTGGAGGGTACCTTCTAAGAAGGTACTTGGATCCCTAGGATATATAGTTCATTTCAGAATTATGGTTTGCACCACTACTTGTTGTTGTTGTTGTTGTTGAAAGCTTTGGTCTTTTGCCCTGCGGCGCAATCCCACTGGAAGTGGTTCCAGTCGGTGTTCTTGATCTTCAGAACCTTCAAGCAGCAGAAGACTTGTTTGGTCGTAGGATGCTCAGTTTTGATCAGTGCAAATGTCAGACGGGGATGTCCACATAAATGCCCTGGCCATAGGAGGAGGCCAATTTGGGGTAGTAGGAACTTACTGCACATGCCACTTCATGCCACTTCCTGCTTAGATGTTGGACATTGGACGGTGGAACGTCTTAGACCTCCATCCATCCTGCTAGCGATCCACATTCCTCCCCATGTTTTGGACGATCTTTGGGACACCTCTGCAGGTCTTTGGGGTACCTCTTCAGGCTCCTTTTGGGCGATGTTGCTTCTTAGGTCTTCCTTTGAGAAGGGTCAGACCTTGGAAGTTTGGAGCGACTCCAAGAAGGCGCGAAGGGTCAGATCGGATCCGAAAAAGGGGTTTGGTCCAACAGTTTTCCAGAGAACTCACCAGGCTTCAAAGGACTAGCGCAATTAGACAAATTAGCACATATTATATTTGGACAAATGCTCTGTGAAACCATTCAAACACGCCCACGTTTGCAACCACATGCAGCTTTCATCGGGCTCATCCGTGGATGGGTTTGGGAAGGAGTCCAACGAAGCCCCCCCTTTGCGAGCACAAGGTCCAACGAAGATCATCTTCACATCGATGTTCAGTGGATGAGGAGCCGCAGAAGTAGGAGGAGTAGTAGTAGTAGCAGTAGTTGTTGTAGTAGTAGTAGCAGCAGGAGGAGGAGGAAGAGGAGTAGGAGCAAGCAGTTTATAGGATATGATGATATGACCCTCAAATTTGACTATTTGATACTACTTGTGTGTGGGTGCTGGCATAGTTGCTGTGCCAACCACCAACCTCCAACAGCCGCCCAGCAGTCAGCTTTGGATATGCGACCTTGAACCGCCTGAAATCCACTCACCTTGATGTGCCATCTCCGGCATGGGTCAAAGATGAAAGCGATCTACACTGGAATCATCCTGGAAGTGGCAAACTCCCCCCTTGGAGGTCAGAACAAATCACATCATCCACTTCCATCATGATGGGCCCTAGGGCTCCGTACTGTACCTCCTCACAAGGTGTTGGGGGTGGTGGGGTAAAAACATCGTGTCACTTCACTCCACATGTGGAGATGTTCGGCTAGGCGTGGCTGCCTGGCGTGGTCTTGGCCTCCTACGAGCCGCTGAGCCCAGTGACCAATGAAAGGCAAAAAACCATCATCCAATCATATCCAATCCAAACACCAATATAAAAGTATAGTATATTATGTTACTATTACTTTACTATATATTACTTAATATATGCAACCGATCTCTCTCTCTCTCTCTATATATATGTAGTGGTGTCTCAAAAGATAGACCTTCTTGAAACCTGTATGTATATAACTAAACAAAATATATATCAGGCTTGGCTTGGATGGATGGACCAATGTAAGCTTCATGATCCATTAAACCAATCTCATCTCAGCATCCATCTCGACCCCACGACAGCAACAGCCCAAGAACCGTGCGACCCCTCCATTTGTCCAGTTTCTTTTTTTTCAGTTTCCTGTGGCCTCAACACAATCACCAACCAAATTGGTGCGAAGGACCTGGGCCACCAATTCCATCAAATTGATCTACCCAGTGGATAGCCTTTTAACAATTTGAGCTTCACCTTCGAGACCAACAATGAGGGGATCGAAGCAGACTCTTCTTGTCTTGGTTTTCGCTTGATTTTAAAATGGCAGGGCCTCGAGCGAGCTTGATCTGCGCGCGCAGACCCGAGCACCCCCAAGGTCCGACACTTCAGCGGAGGGCTACGATGTTCCAGCTGGAACCGTGAAGGCCATTCTTGGTCGATCACGACCATTCAGAACTGAAGGGGTTCAAAAACATAGACACGACCAATGGGATTCAATGGGACTGGCACTTTTAACTGATTTGTTGGGGTGGTTTGTACGGGCCAATGCAGACATATTGCATGGAGTGCTTGAGTACGTGAAGAAAACCGGTTCCAGGTTCTGGCCATTGACGGAGTGGTGCCAAAACTCCAAAGGTCTTTCCCTATGAAGAATTTGAGGCTCACACAGCTGGACTGCTTTGATCCCGTGTGTGTAGGAAAAAAGCTGCTTGTTTCATTTTGTTTCTTCATGTCTTGGAGCTGGTTGGCGCAGGCACAAATACGTAGGAATAAGCACTGAATTTCAATCAGCAGCTTCAGTGCAACGTTTGCAGCGTACGTCGTCAAGTAAGATGTGTTTTGCATCGAGCTGACTCTTTTACAAGCTCGAAGGCAACGACCGCCCATGTGTTTTGCAGCCTTTTTGGAGCCTCAGACCCACGTGTACAATGGTGTAATTACATGCAACAGGTGTACAGGCCAGACGCTGAATCTATCCTGATCAGATCCGACAAGTCGACACGTTTGACACCTGAAATGCCCAGCCGGGCATTGGGGTTGTACCGAAGCCTCGAGCCCTTCGGCCGTCGTTTTTTCGTTCTCGGCACGCGGCGGGCGCCAGGTATCCTCAGGCAATGGCGTGAAGTGGGTATTGCCCAACCAGATTCAAAGCATGTCCAGACCTCAAATCACCTGTTGCAAGCTGGTGGTGTTTGTGGCGCGCTCCAGGTGGATGCCTGGGCACATCGCAACATCTTTTTAGCTAGCAGCAGCATTTGAGGTGATGCCTTGTTTTGAGAGGCCATTCTTGGTTTGCATTTTGGTGATGGGAATTGTTTTTGTTTCCTTTGGGGGTTGGTACAAAAGATGAGATACTGTAGGTGAGTGAAAAAATGTCCACATAGCACAAGCAGTTTTGGATGTGGAGATATTTGTCATTTGAAAGGTTTCTGCCAAAGGGCTTGGCTTTGATTTATCAGATTTCTTGGTGGCTTCCAGATTCCAATTTCAAGAACATATGCGATCCCAATATTGTTTCAACATGCTTCAATCACTTCTGCTTGCCACTCTCGATTCGAATGCAGGTGAAGGTCCAACAAAAACTCCGGCCGTTTCATGTCGTGTTCGACCGGGTTCGACCGACTTGGCCGTTTCACGTCGTGTTCGACCGACCGGCTGCTCAGCTCGAGTGCGGGGCGCAGCTCCCGACCGCGCGGCCGGCGCCCGCGAGCGAGCAGTCGCTCGCGATTCCCATGGAGCACCGGCTGTGAGGCACCTGGGAAAAGGGGAAAAAGGAGCGAAGCAGTGAAGGGCGAGCTGGTGAAAGAGGGAATAAGGGAGATAAAGATGGTGAAGGGAGTGGTGTGGTAGAAAGAACATGATTAAAGAATTGGCGGACATAAAAAGCAGGGTCAGAAGATCGATGGGGATGAACAGTTTTTGAAGCAATTCAGGACAAGAAAGCACCTGGGCATACATGGGCATTAGTCTAAATTAGTCTTGTCAATGTTTGGCTTGGGCAAGGTCTCAGTTCTGCATTTGCGTTCGCCAGATGGGGAGCAAAGGCCTTCAACCAAATCAATCCAAATCAGAAATGTGGGCTTGGGCCTCTTGGGCCGCATCGCCCCACTTAATCTATAGATATCCTGGAATCCTGGACAAATCCCAGTTTTCCCAGTTACCAGGTTCACACTGACACCCAACTGACACCATCTGGAAGATCCTGCTCAGGGCAGCCAGCGTTGCCACCAGCTGCATCGCCATGGCAACCCCTACGCCACAGCAAGAGCGCGTAGCGCTCCGAAGGAGCCTCTATGCCACTTGGAAACCACGCCTGAGAAAACCCGGCTCCACGGGGTCGGGCTCCGCGGGGAGTGTGGCTGTGGGTTCAAGACCAGCGAAAACCACAGGGTCACCCAGTCCTTTGATCTTGGCTGCGTGTGCGTGTGCGTGGCTTGGTTGGCTGAATTCTAGATGTCTAGCTAGGTGCCACATGCTGCTTCAGATCTGGCGGTGGCGTTATTTTCTTGCCAGCAGCTGAGGCGCCAGCCAATGCCAGGAGCGTGGGAAGAGAGATTGAACAATGTCGGCAAAGTTGTCGGCAGATTGGACCCGTGAAGTCACTGGAGGGTGCATATATGGAATACCTAGTTTTGCTCAAGGCTTAAGGTGATTCATGATTGTCTCTTTGGGTTTCGTTGTGGTGAACCCCGCCGGGGAATATGTGCCCAGTTCCTTCGGCGAGTCCAGGAATATCCATCCAACTTTGCGCGTCACGTGTTTCCTTTTGATATGCAGGGTGCAGCTGAGTTACCGAGATGATCAGCTCAATTGCATTCCCATGGTGATTACTGTATCCATGCGAGTGGGTGCTGTTGCATTTGTAACGGGGCAGTGCCAGCTGGCTCACTTAAAGTGCTCTGATTCCATGCGAGGCAAGAAGTCGTTTGGCTTACGCGTCATTCTGTCCTTGTTGCCGTGGAAGACACCAACATGGAACCTGAAACCAGAGGAAGATCGTCTCTCAAAGCTTAATGCCATCAGGTTCCATGTGGGTCTCTTCCCGGGTGCACCCCCTGTGGTCCAGCCCAAGCCTTCTGGGCCAGGAAGAACAAGCTGCCAACTCAGGTTGGGAGGGAGGATGATGTCGGAGGGAGGATCCCATGTGAGATGACAAGCTCAGGGGGCCACGTACATCCATTTGAAGACTGCCTCGCAGGATGCATCTCCCATCTCGAGCCTGCAAGCAGCCTTTCATCCTTTGCTCTCACGTTTTCTCCCTCACCGCGTTGTTGTCGGAACAAACGGTACTGCAATAGGAGATAGAAGGGGTGGACAGGCCTAAACACCTCCAACCCAGCAAGAACTCTAGCAGCTAGCACCTTCTCTTTCGAACACAGCAGCCACCCTGTCCGCTGCGACACCTGTGCTCGCTCCTCGCCCACCACGAGCCACGACGGGAACTCCGCCGCGAGGCCTTCTTGCGCGCGGCGGAGTTCGGGAACTTCGATGGAGTGAGGTCCATGGCCTTGGACACTTGGGATGCCAAGAAAGGACGCAGTGACAGGCCTTGTAGCAAGGTGTCAGTAGGTTAGAAAGTGTCTACGTAGGTTGAAGAGTCGGCCGAATCAAGGTCGAAGATGGGTTGGGGGCATCTTACAAGAAACAGGTGTTTCAGGCATGTTGAGGCCAATAGGCAGTACTATATAGGCTTATAGCATCTCAAAGTTTCACCAGTGAGATCCAATTCATTGGTTCTCCCTTGACTCGCTGCGGAAAGGAAACACCCGGGAAGTGTCCCCCCCTTTCAAGCAGTTGACTCGACCAGAAACCAGATTTGAAGATCGCGATCCACACAAGAAGAAGATGTCACCGTGACTACCTAGAACCTGATTGACCTCTATCTTGGACCACCAACCACTCAAAATAAGGTCTTTTCCTATAAAAACAGAGGTCACATGAGTTCTAGGTACCTTTTGGGATGACTTGGCCCACGCGCTACGACATCGGGACGCGCCACGCTCAGGACGCTAGTGCTGAGCTGAGTGGCATCCGCTGCAAGGACCGGGGGTGCTTGGACAGCCCCCCCTCTCTGGTCAGCCCCCCCTCCATGGACATCCCTCCAGATGAGACTTCCATAGACTTGCATGGATTCTTGGCAGACTTTTGAGAGCTGGAGGGCTTTCAAGCAGTTTGGTGAAAGCTGCGAGGACTTCCTGGGTTGCGACCCACATCACTTGGTGGACTCGGCCCACCACTTGAATAACACTGAGCGGAAGAAGTTGAAGCTCGGAAAAAGACCAAGGGAAGACAATTGATCGTTTTCTCCTCTCTGGCGGCTGAAGATGGGAAGGCTGAAGAACTGAGAAGAACTCACCTCAGGAACAACCGAAGGACAAGATCCAGGCATGACATGGCATGACACTTTTCTTTAATTGACTTGTTTGATTCCCTCCTTTTCTCTGTGTGTGTGTGTGTTCGAAGTATGTTCCTGTTATGCCGATATTTTTGCGCCACAAGCATTTGTCATGTCATGACGTTGCTCTTACAGGAACTAACTACTGTAACTACTGAGGATTCAGGCAAGCTGGAGTCCTTGTTTTCTGCACGAATGCGCTTTTTGTCGCCTTTTCGGGACTTGGATGGAAATGACCACCGTTGGTCAGTCGCTGCAGGACGTGAATTTCTCAGTTCCATGTCGCGGTGCTTTTGGACCCATCCAGTGGATACTGGGAGCCCCGATGCGGGAAAAGCATCGTCCTCATGGAACTGCTCGTCCTCAGATGTCCTCAGTGTGTTTTTTGTCAGACGATCCGATCGCTGGAGCTGTTTTTTGGTCTGAAGAACCCTCCTACGTTTTCGAATTTTTCCAGGAGTTGAACTGCTCGGAATACTCGTATAGATCATGTTTGGTCTTCGGCCAGAGCCACATGAGCAATAGATTTTAGGCGCCCAATTGTTGAATTCACCTTTCGAGAGAAATGGCTTAGTACAGTCGGAAAACTAACATGGACCCTGAAAACCACTGGTTGGTAGTCTTTCAGGGTGCCATTCCACCACCGGGGCGGGTTCGTGTTCGGGGGTGTAGTAAAAACGGATGCATTAAAACAAAAACCCGTAACGGTTTTCTTCCATGTGTGGTTTTTCCGACTGCACGGACGCCTGGAGCGACCCTCCACCGACCCACCGCCTTCCAGGAAGTATCAGTTCACCGAGCTTCCGGAACTGATCAACGCTGTAGGCGTCGTTTTATGGCTGGTTTCAGTATTGACAGCTGGCACTGGCACCGCTGGCACGATGTCTTTGACATATGGAGTTCCGTAGCCACCAAACTTGGGGGCCCTTCTACTCTCAATCCACTGTGGTTTGGTTGGCGCATCGTCATGATTTCTTTAAACATCCAGTGGTAAAAAAGGATGTCACAGCTTTGATGAGCCTTCCAGATTGCAGATCTTCACATGTTTTCCAACATGTTTCTCCAAACTAAGCTTTTTCAGCCACTGGAGGCCATGTCCAGACGTTGGAGCCCCAACCTGACCTGGACATCTTCGACACCCGCGCCATCTCCAAGAACAAGTCGAAGACGGCCCGTCCAGAGACGCCGCCCTTGGCGAGGACCAAAGGCCGTGGACGGGCCGGGTGCGAAGAGGATAGGGCGGTGTCCCCAGAGCAGTTAGTCCTTGAAGAGTCAGAGTCATACAAAACTGTTATCCAAAGCAGCATGCTCTATCATGATACCCTCCAATAAGTCCAATATCCTCCAAAAGTACTACGTTGCGATCCCCAGCCAATTGCTCCGCACCTGTCGCTGGCACTCCTGCGTGCCACTGCGTGCAGCAGGCATTACAGGTCGCTTGGCACGCTCGGAGAACAACCTGACGCGCTTGGCCTCCACACTGACGGTGCGGCACGAGGTTTGCGAGGCTGCCAAGAGCTGCTTGGCACAGCAAGAGGGCTAGAAGTCCAAGGAACTGGAGGAATGGCACAATAGAGGAGTTCGGGGGAGGTTTTCTTACTTGTGTTGAGGTGCGTGCGTCATGAGGCCCCACGGATTGTGATAGAAGTACGCTGCGCAGTTGGCCAATAACGATGTTAAAGACTAGGACACTTTGTTTACATATATGTTTTCCTTTTCGGACCCGTGCATGTAGCTTCGGTTTGACCATGTTGGCGACATGGCACTGTCCATGTTGGGCAGAGTAGCCTTCTCATCCACTGAACTACCTCGAAATACCCGGGCAAGCCATGCGCCACGGCCGTTTTGAGGTCAGCCGCGGCTGATTTGGGAGAAAGCTCGCTCGGGTGAGCAAGCCTTACCTGCTTTGGCGCGAGCTTTGAAGAACGAACGCCTGGCTGTGAGGGCGACACAGATGAATCCCAAGCTACTGAGAGTTGGAGTGCCTTGGCCCTGGCTGGGTGGGGTGGGTTTGATTCGTCGGAACGCCTGGCGGTCTCTCTCCATTTGGGCACACGCACGCATATAGACGACCAATCCTGAAACTGGACTAGACTAGACTTGACCAATCAATACGATAACTGGAAGTCACAAAGGAGTCGCACCTGGAGTCACTGAAGGGGTGCCGAACTCGGAGAATAGGGGTCCCCAGAACATCCACTCACTGGATGGGACTAGAAACCACCCCGACTTGTGACTCCTGGTGTATGTGTGTTTGGGACGATGCATTGTTGTGGTTGCAAAAGGGTTCCCAGGTTGCCTGGCACGGCAGTCCAGAACTGCAGAACGACCCACGAGTCTGCTGCGTCAACCCAAAAGGCCCCCCCCTTCAATGTCCATTAAAAAAACTGATGTCACATGATTTCACATGTCTGTTTCTTGATTCTTGCTTTTGAATCCTTGGACCATCCACCCACTTGGTTGACTCTATTTCTATTGACCTCGCTTGAAAAACCTTGCCACCTTGCCATGATTGTTTTAAAGCAACACCTTGCTCTTTGGCAAGGTGACAAGGTGGCAAGCCGAGGTGGCCATCCTTGGTTGACTCTATATACCTTGCCGCTGAGGAACCGCAGATCCGCAAGATCATGCCGACCTTGGTCTCCATCTGCGGCGGCGCCGAGCAGGCAGCCTACGCCATCGTGTGGCGCCCCGAGCTGCTGGAATTGGAAGCGGCCTCGGCGCTGAGAGACTCCTTGCAGGTGAGGTCGTGTGTTCTTTTTTTCCGGGTTCGCGAGTGGGTCTCCTTGCAGGTGAGACTTCACAATCCAACCCATGTGGTTTGTTTTTTATATTTGGCGCGAGTCGATGACCAGGGAAGGATTAAGATGGATTAAGTGATTAAGATGTTGAAATGGTATCTCACATTATGTGTTATACTGTATGTATACCGTGTATACTGTATATTCATTACTATATATATATGATGTGGGTTGGATGGTGAAGCATTGAAGTGTATTTCCTGAGATTCTCAGCTCAGAGCCGACATCGAATCACCTTGAATTGCCCATGTTTTGCCAGAATTGCTCTCCTTAAAACCAAAACCGAAGGTGAGCACCAGCTGGACTGAAAGGACGATTTGATTTTTACCAGTTGTTTATTGCCATCATCCTTTGTTGTATATTTAGAGGTCCCCACGCCTGACCATGGGGACAAGGCTGCATGTGGAAATTGGAAACAATACCGATGCAGGGGCGTTGAACGTCGATTCCATGGATTTTCTTTTGCCAACTAGCACGCCGCATGTTCAACACCTGCAGGCGGCCTCGGGCTTCTTCGGCAACCTGAAAGACGCCCTCTTCCTGCTGGGACAAACCACTGCTCCACCCTCTGTGCGGGTGATCGCACGACAGTTCTGCCGGGAGTACATGGTGGGAGAGTACTTCTTGGTGGATGGGGCGCAGGCCGGCTGTTGTTTCAAGAAAGGCGGGACCATCACCAACGGTGCCCGCGTCAGACCAGCCACCTGATCAAGCCAATACCCTTCCTCCCTCGGTTTGTTGGATTTCGATACCCAGACGCTCCATGTATAGAATATTTACATTAATCATTGACCACTTGAAACCACCCCAATGCATCTACCTAGAACCTGAATGACCTCTATTTTGGACCACAAAGGTCTTGTCCTATCAAAACAGAGGTCATGTTTGGGTTCTAGGTATGCCATACATGGAGTGTTTTGACATATTTTCCGATCCTTCCGGCAACAGGTGGATGACCGGCCGGTCTGGTGTAAGCCAGCAGCTGCCATGCAAAGCTTGGGCTCCAAAGCCAAGGACGTGTATTTGATTTACTGCCCCTTGGACAAGCATGATGAGCATTGTTTGAAGGTTTTGACGGTTTTTTTTTTCAGCTATGTGCAGTAGGGTCCAGACATGTCAAGACATGCCAGTTGCTTGGGTGGCACTGCCACCATTTGCCACCCTTCCGGGCGGCAGCGCCAAGGCCAGAAGGGCGTGGTGGGATCAGATAGCATGCTTCCCTGCTGGACCTTTACGACGAAGTACAGCGCTTCACTCAAGAAGTACGACGCTGGCTTTCATTTTGGCCTGCCTTTGGATGGTCAATATGTAGAACATACATGCAAATACAGTGCATTGCAAACAATTTGTAAACACAAAAATTGTCAGGATCATGCTTTGTTTGAACAGCGTTTTTGTTGATGCTCTTTCTTTTCAAGCTCTATTCTATATTACCTTTGCCAAATGGAACCTTTGGCCGTTGGCCTCCAGCAGATGTGGTGTGATTGACTTGATTCATGAAATCTTGCCCCACCGGTGTCCCAGTCTTGCCCATGATCAAAACTAATGGATCAAGTATTGGTGGAGTTACCAAGTGGTCAGCAGCAGTATGACCACCAAGTAGGCCTTCCTGGACCATGCCATTCGACCTCATAGGCCCCCAAAGCGGTAGACTGGCCACCGCCCATGGGACTGGGGGTTGGTTGAAAAGAGGTCAATGTAGGCAGGTATCCCATACCATGGAGTGTTTGGGTCGGCCTCGTAGTGCTTCGTGGTTAGCGCTGGCACTGTGAACGCAAGACCATGCACCTCATGTTTGAGCAGACCAAGTGAGGGACCCTGATGAAAACAACTGAAGAGGAGAATCCATGGTATAGTGCAGCTCACCAAGGACTACTGCGACCCCAGCATTTTGGGTTGGACGGAGGCGAAGGTCACTTGGCTTGGACAGCCCATGGATCAAAGTGGAAACGGGTTGCAAGGGTCAGGCTCATCCATGTTTCCACTCTGTGTCTTCTGGGTGCTGTTGGTCATTTCCCGAGCTCCCACCATGTAGAACACATAGAGGGAGGGAACAATCCCTGAATGGCTCCGCCACTAGTTTGTTCCAGGTTCCATCCCAACGAGCTGTGGCAGAAGGGGATACAATGGTTGCCATGGTTGCCCTGCGGGCTTGCTCTTATCCGAATAGTTGAATGGTCCACCATTAGTTCCACCATTGTGTCTCATTGAAACCAAGTCTGGAGATAGTGTTTGGGAGCTGGACCCATCTTCCAGCAAAATTGTGAATTGCCAAACAACATGATGATTCACGTGTTTTTTGCTAATGAGCCGTTGCAGCTAGTTGCAACCATGTTTCGCTTATAAGGGGAAGCTTGATCGAGCTAGTTGACCTGTTGCCAAGCTTACAACCAAATGCATTCATTGGCTTTGGCCAAATATAATTTGATACATTTAACTTTGTTGTGCCAGTGTCTCAGTCTCTCAATCATCGCCACTGGTGGCGGCCAGAAACAGGCTAGGGATAAGAATGACGCGGCCCTTAAGTGCTTTTCACCCTCCAGTACTGGCGGGGCATTGTTTGGGTGATCCAAATCATGCAGTTTTTGGATCGTTTTTGCCGTGTCGTCGATCCTGAGATCCTTCCACGTGTGTCGTAGCACGTCGCACGGAGTGAGTCGCACGTCGCCACGAGTCGCACGTGCGCCGTCTCAGGTGAAGTCGCCTGATCAAGTGGAACCAGGTCAGTGGCACTTCCCAGCTGAAGCCCATAAGACTCAGGTGCCAGGCCGCGACCACGGGCGGGGCGGCGACCACGGGCCGGTCGTGCCGGGGCGGCGACCAAGTCCATTTTTGGTTGGCATAGCTTCAGAGTCTACGACTCACCTCTTCTTGAGAGGAAAGGATTAGTCTTAGAAGTCTCCAAGAATGGCTTCATGCCGAAGAAGGTCGAATAAGATGAATCAGATTGAATAAGCATGATTATGATGTCTAAAAACATCTCAAATCCACCTTCGACTCTAGAGACTCTAGAGTCGACTTAATGGACCTTGAACTTTCCACTCTAGAGAGCTCACCTGTATTTCAGTGCAGCTCTTCACTTCTGAGGAGTGCAGCTCTCTTCTTTCAGTGCAGCAACAAAAAGACTGTCTGTGAGTCCCAAGAGTTCCTTCATTTCTCGAGGTCTTCGATCGGTCTCCGTCCTCCGACGTGTCTCCGTCCGAGGCCTTTGGCCGGCGGATCCGTACGTCCGATGTGACAGTGGCAGCCGGGCAAGGGGACCTTGGCTTTGCACACAGGCGCCACAAAAGCTGTCGGATGCCTGTGAGACTTGGATGCACACAGTGAGACGACTGGATTCCTGAAAGATCAAGAACCCACAAGTGGGATGGTGAACTGCATAGTAGGTGTAAAGTGACGAAGCTGTTCCCACTCACCTTCCTTACTGCAGGTGTCTCTAAAACGGTTAGAATAGTGAATTATAGTGAATTGTTGATTGATTCCATAACATTATTCCATATTATTCCATAACTAGATTCTCTGATTAGATGAGGGTGTTCCTACATTGCTTTTGGTGTTTTGTGGCCCGGAAAGATTCAGCTGGTTTGGCACTTGCACTTGCATGGAACTGCTTACTGCATGTATGAGATCGAGATCCTCACCCTCACGCATGCGCAGACGTCGACCGTGCTGAGGATGCCTTGAGGTTTGCAACTGGCTTAGTTTGGCTCACGGAATCGACTGGCACTGGGCCCACTCCGGGAGGCTCGTGGGACTCGTGGGGCCCGAACTTTCCCTAGGGCTCCAGTCGTACCTTCGTTTCGAAGGTGGGACTGGGGTGGGTGCCAGGAGGGTCCAGTCATACCGAACCTGAGGAGGTGCTTGGAGCCCTAGGGTTTACTGGATGGCATTCTGGGATCAACAGATGGTACGGGTTAAGCTCGCTCCTGGAGCTGCATTCAGCCGAATCCTCACATGACTATTGACCGATGGATCTTGGAATGAGGAGTAGGAGGCTTCCTTAAATATGGGGGGGGGGGTAGACCACTCCTTGTGTCGCAGGCACGCTTTTCAATGGGGAAACTGGATGAACCAGGAACTTCTACAGAAACCACCCTCAGACCATCACGGCATGAAAGCCCAGCATTGACCCTTGGCATATGGGAACGCACAAGCCTTTCAGGAGCATATGTTTCATTATGTTTCACTGTCATGATTGTTGAAGAGCGAGCGAGCGATTGCCAAATGAAACTGAATGACCAAGCGTTTCTGGAGTGTGTCACCTGTACTAGCTGCTGGGCACAAGCTTGGTGCTGCCTGTTCTATGGCATTTCCATGCATTTCCTGATGAAGTTACTATATCGTCTCAAAAAGCTTGGGTTCAGGCGCGCGTTTGCTGGGCCATTTCATCAAGAATGACCCTGCCTCTTGGCCCGCCGTCAGTTCCAACCACCATCATACTTTGGGCAACTGCCATGTTCGTTGCTCATTGGTGCTCTCCTTGCCACATTTGTCTACAAATGTCCATGCTTGTTGGTTCTCACCTTCAGGCTAGACATGGCTAGACCAACATCCTAAGAAGTGCAAAAAAGAGACTCACTTTTCAGGCAGCTCTAGGAAGTGCCAAAGGCTCATCTTCCAATCACAGTCCTGAAGTCCCCGATTGGAGTCCTTGAACACTTTTGCAAACACGTCGGGAAAACAGGGACCCTGGGGAGCACCCTAGGCTTTGGAAGAAAGGTAGCGCCTGGACGCACCCAAAGACCGTAAATGACCGGCAAATGAGCTGGTGCAGAAATGGCGCTAGCCATCCATGTAAGAGACTACTGTGTTGCATGTGCGTTTGCCCCGGGTGGGGTACCTGCGGTTTCACGTCGGTATGGTAGAAGGAGACAGTGACCAGAAACAAACCGACTCTATTGTGGATGCAGCATTTTGTGCATGCACCAATTGGTCCAAAACAAGCTTGTTGCTACTATTAGAGTCATATGCTGCTTAAAGCCGCCACGCTTAGCTCGTGGACCAGCCCAGGTCTACGCTGATAGTTCCAAGATCACTTTCCTCGATCTGGCTGACTTCGCGCACATCCGTCGCTGGAGCTACCTGCAGCTGCCTTTGGCGCCTGCCGGGCAGCCGGTGGAGAAATCGGTGAAGCTTTATGCCTGGGAACCGGTGGAGGTCTCCTGGTTCAAATTGTGGATTTGTGGACGAAAGTGTCAAAGCTCCACACTTGCAAAGGTGATGCCACGTGAGAAATTAACCGTCAGGCGAGCAAAACTGCGCACTGGATTCCAAATCTGGCGCCATGGGGGGTCAAAGACTGAATCATCTCCAAGGAAACCAAGGAAATGCATTATTAGGAACACTTTCCTGACCTGGAGGATTCTTTGGGATCAATTGGGCGTTCACTATGGTGAACTGATCCACGTTCAAGATCCACCAGTGGGCTGTTTTGGAATGGGATCTTCGAGGTTTGCATGGTCTTCAGCAAGCAGGAGGGTGAGGACTGAATGATTGGGGCGGATGATGGGGTTGAACTGAGATTTCCTCACAAGAGTCCACACAATACAGAACCAACCCAGGCTCCGCCTGGTCATGTGGTGATTCATGATAACTCGACGAATCGCGCAGCTCTGCCGGCAAATCGTCATTCAAGTTTTTGACCTATCTCAACACAAATTTGATTTTCACATGTTTGGTTTAACAGCCAATTGTAAGACCAAGATCCTGTTAGATGGGACTTCTGCAGTAGGATGCCTCAAGTCAAGCTACAATAGGTTTTGTGATGCTCACGGTCACATGGCGTTTGCGCGGGATTCTTCAGTTAGAAGATGGACATGAGATGGCAGAGCTCATTCCTTGGACGAAGGGTGAAGAGAAAGCGAGATGCCACATGGATTCGAGCCCGCACCATTCCTGGGGCCACAACTGTTGGATTTCGCATCATATGCACCCGTGACAAAATCCCGAAGACTGCCAGGGTTGGTCAAGAAACTTCATCACAGCGCGGGTGAAAGGCATCCAAATGAAAGCATAGAAACCAGACGACAAGCGGGAGGACCAGAGGCAGAAAAAGAGCTGAGTAGAGTACCAATCCGGCCTACCTCACCCTGTCCACTCATTATGTACGTCACTTCAGGTGTCCGCCATCGCTTCTACATCTCACCTCCTCAGTCAGTCCATTCAGTCGTATGATTGTTTGAGTCGCCCCATGAACCCCAAGAATCCCACCACCTCACCGCCCATCCCATCCCATCCCATCCCATCCACCACCTGGAGGACTTGGATCCCAACACTGCTGCCGAGCTGCGCCGGGCGGAGTTTCGGCCGACGCCCGAGCGCGCGGTGGCCAAGAGCTTTCCGAAGCTCCAGGGCGCACCGGCACCGGTCAGCGAGGAGGTGGCCGCACGCACCGGGGGTGAGCGTGGTTTGAGCCTAGAGGTGGAGGCCTTGGGCACCAAAAAAGATAAGGTGAGGGCATTGCATTGATCCTCCGCTTCAATTGGTGTTCACGTGCTTGATTCATTTTGAGGGATTGTTGTTTCAAGTTCTTGGTACGTGCGCTCACTTACCGCAGCACTAGGACCTTATAGTGACTATAGTCTATAGTGGTGAAATTTGTCAATATGGGTTAGGTGGTCGGACGGTCATGTTGACGGTGTCAAGGTGTCAATGCCAGCTTCAACGATTTGCCGAATGTTCCTACACCTTGTTCAACACAATCTTTAAAGAGGCATGCGGCATTCGTTAAGTGTGTAGGTTTGTGCCGAATGTCGCAAGTGGAGTTATCAAGTGAGTGATTTATCAAGGCATTCGTTGCGTTCAGGACATCCAAACAGATGTTGCCAATGATTTGCACTGCTTGTCAGTGTGAATCATACTAGTATATCAAACCAATTCAACGAATTCAAACCAATTTGTTTTTGGGAAGCCGATTGGAGGAGTTTGGACACGGAGTTTCGCACCTGATCCGACCTGGTGTGCCCCCCCTGCAGCAAAAAAGGAGCCGACCCCGGGGGAACTGCGAGCCCCCCTATACTAGTTATATCGAGTCATATCTATATAGTATCTTATATATATATATATATTAATTTGTCTTAATAGTATCTCAATAATATCTTAATAGATAGAAACGGTATCCAAGACTCATGTTGAAAGGGATTTTACATGATTTTACTTGTTTATCTATTTGTGGGTCTATACAGTAAGCCTTGGTAGCCATAGTATGTCATAGTCGCTGGGATCGAATCGTCGTGAAGAACCCCGAACTGCTTTGTTCTGACCTGCTTCGTTCGAACGGACGCAGTGGCTCCTGGCTTCAGCAATCGCCGGCAATTTGCCACGGTCGTCGCAGGTTTGGGCGCGGACCTATGCTAGTGGGCCTTTTGAAGTTCCAGAGCCTTGGCAGAGGTGACTGATGGGAATGTACAGTTCATCTCACATCCACGACGAAAATCGGTGACATGTCAAAGGCAAATCGTAGGATTTGTCGAGTTGTCTGCAGAGTCTACCGGAGAATTCGCCGGAAAAAAACACATAAAACCATTTGGGTAGGGGAGCCATATCATAAATATCGTGGTAGACCATTTTAGGGTAGTAAGGGCAACACTATTAGGGAAAGATAAGAAATATCATACATATCATGTTTAGGGCACATCAACTTTTCACAGTAGATTTTTTCCGGTGCAGAACTTCCTTTCCTGCTTTGTAGGTCCACAGCCTTGCGCAGGCATGCGCGTCTCAGGTGGTCATTGGACCCCACGGCTTGCCTCCGATGATTTTCATCCGTTCGCAGATTGCCGCGCACGTGCATGGCACTGGACCCTGTCACCAGGTGCGACTGGTGGCGGGAGAAGAGAGACTTGGTGCTGTTGAGACTTGGGAGATGGGCTGAGAAAATGGGCTAAGTAAAACGAAAGAACATAATTTGATACAATGTCATTGTTTTACATTTTGCATATGTCCTTTTACGACCATTGTGGGAGCTTTGTTGAACTGGAAGTGGAGATCCCACTATGCATGAAATACTTTCATATTCTGCCAACTTTATCATCTCACAAAACAGACTTGAAAGGTGTTTAAACTTAGGGTCTGCCCTATTATATAACTGTAACAGTCAGTAAAAATATCACTACTTTTGGACAAGCTAGTAAACAGCATCATCCGCTGTTACAGGTAATAGGACAGACCCAAATTAAACTGATTGTTGGTGTGTGTTTGATCGACTCCCATGTGCCGGATGCATTCTTTCAGTGGATCAATCCTCTAAATCACATACCCCAAGGGCCAAAGCTTTGGGGTATGGGAGCCTATGGATGCCTGGGAAGGCGTGTCGTTCATGATACAAGCAGCTTGCAGAAGCGCATGGGCTTTGGTGATGTTTGGTCAGTGGGCGTAGACGGAGTGCTGGTTGGGTAGGTTAACTTCCGGCCAGTTTGTAAGTATATATGGGTCATTGGGTTGGGTAATCCCTCAAATGAACTATATCCGAGCTGTTCCCACGCACCAAGGATCTATTTGCCTGCATCTTGGCGGGAAGTTTTTGCGTGTCAAATCACAGCCGCACCACCATAGCCCATCGCCGTGGACAAGTCCACAAAATGGAGGAACAGGTTAGTAGGGTCCATGAAACATCCAGAGGCCTTCTGAAAGTTGTTTGGCGTTGTCAACATACATATCTCCCCAAGAGTGCGTTTAAGAGTTGAACTGCCATCTCAGGGTGTGGCTGACCAGATCCAAAACCATTCCCAACGGGCTGTTTTGTTTTCCGTCCCCTCAAGGGAAGGGAGCAACACCTATCATTCCATGCGTTTACTGAATCTCTTTTGTACTGCCATTGGGCCGAATAGCTATCACTAGCTCATCCGCTGTTGTCCCGCCCAAAAGTTAAACCAACATGGTTCTCCAACATTCAACAGACTACCCACACATACATAGGAGCTTCAACCACGCCTTCAAGCCGCAAAAAAAACATATTTTTATATAACGCTCCAAAAGGACCATCACCCAACCACAAGATATATGACCTTCTTTTCCGAGGTCTTAGAGGATCCAACGCCGAATGATCCCGGTGCGACGCTTCTGCCCAAGCCGCCTCCGGTGATGTACCACTTCGTGTCGCCGGGTGAGCTGGGCTACACCGGATATGAACTCTTCAAAGGCGTGGATGGAAGAGCCAGGGTGAAAGATGATGAGAAGACATGAGAGCATGCTCAAGGGGAGATTCCAGAAGGTTTGCTTGATGTTTTTGCTTTATGAAGTTGAGCTAGGTGTGTGTTGAGGGGTCAACTCATCAGATCTTGCGAAGAGGAAGACGCAGCGAATCCCCTGCAACGGGACATCCGGACAGGACCATGTTCCTGGAGTCCAGACAGTCGGCTTGTCCAAACAGAAGAACACTCAGCTCAGTAAAAGACCTTTGGAGATCAGTTCAGCATCAAAGGCTGCCAGTGTTGCTGGTGTTATGTCTTTGATGACATGAGGGCCCCGAGTGGTTGCAGCCTCGCCAGGGCCAGCATCTTCCCAGAACTGCACTCCCTCAGAGATTCAGATGCGAGTGGAGTCTCTGGATGCTTGGCTAAGATTGGTGGCCCCCTCGTCTGCCAAAACGTTCCAGAAGCGCGATCGGACATGATGGACATGCACAGGTCTCCTTGGAGGACCTTTACTTTTGTCCATGTTTTGTTGCACTTTTGGGTGAATTGGGCTCAGAAGGACTTTCTTTGTGGAGTGCTTTCCTGTCGCTATGGAGGGTATTCCTCCATAGGTTCAGGTTTCTGAAGTGTCAGGATGTTTTTAGGGCAACTGTGTTTCTTTTTGGGGCAGCCTCGATGTTGGTGGCTTGAGCAACCTACCCAGCAAGTGGTTAGGGACTTCGCCCGCATGAAAAGACCGCCGCTGCAGCCTCGAAAGTGCCCATGGTGTGGTGTTGCAAACCATATGTCTGAAGAGAAGTAGATATTCAAGTGCCTTCTCAGAAGGTACTCGGACCCTCCAAACCTACATTGACAGCGTGCCCAATCACCTGAGAAGGTAGGTGGGTCCCTAAAGAACAGCGTCATTTGCAAAAATCCCTAACCTGAGTGACACCTGCCAAATGGAACACAAATCCAGTCGCCAGTCGTTTTCATTGGCTAGGGCGTAGAGATGCATAGACCTTCTAACCAGGATCATCCAATGGGTGTCCAATGGAGGTCCGTAAGCAGTGAAGGGTAGTGTAGGGCAGTCTATTGGACACCCAGACAGGATGACCCAGGGAAGAAGGTGTTTGAGACGGTACATTTTTTGGGGGGGATACCACCATCCCATCCCAGCTGCCGCTTGCGGATCACGCGCCACGCTCGTACCAGCCATCCCCGGTTTGGGCGCATCAATGTGACACCCTGCACAAAACCAACAGTTCGCTCATGTTGACAAGCAGATTTCGCAAGTGTTGGTGGCAGTTGCCCTTTCGAAATGCTGCTTCACCCTGTGCCCAAGGGTAGACCTGGTAAACCTCTAACATCTATTGTTTGATTGTTGCGATTCATCTCACTCCAGAACTGCCAGCTCTTGCTTCTGCAAGTGTGGAAAAACTCCCCTGTAAAGCATTGTGCCAATTGCAAAAAAAACTATCAACGACCTTAAGATTTGAAACCCAGCCCTTCGCTGATCAAAATGTGTTTGCCCAGCGTGTTCCACCGCAAGGAAGTATTGTCAGTGGCGATGCTTCTTTTTCCGAAGCCGAAGGTGGAAGTGTCGACGCTGCTTCCGGAGGAACCGGCGAAGCTTGGAGGGATAACTTGTCAAACAGTCAAGACATGCCGAAAAGTCATCACAATAGAACAATACCTTTTCTTTTTTCTCGAGAGTCCCCTACACAAACCCCAACACGGCTTGGGGACTGAAACGGGTTCATTGAAGAGACCTGGCACAACGTTGTGCAGTAAGCTTATGGAAGATGTAGCTCTAAACCATTCTAAGCCACTCCAGTCTCAACAAGCAGGAGGATGGAAGGGTTGTTTGTTCATCGTTGTTTCTTGGGGCATTTCCTTTGCGGCCTCTTCTGACCTTCGTTGGAAGCCAAGCGGCACGGTCTTGCTCACAGCTCCCTGGCTCGGTTGTGGAGTGAGAGGCCTGGGACTGTCCGAAGTGAGTTGCCCAGCTTCGAGTTGTTGGTGCCGGAAGGTCAGCAATTGCTTGCCGGCTTCATATGTTCAAATTGCCTTCTAACCTGTTTCCTTAAACGGACCCCATGCCCCATACTTCTTGTTTTGTTGGTGTGTGGAGTGCAAGGACTCGACCTCCAATTTTGTGGACGTTGGTTGGATCAAATGTTGTGTCAAATCCTGCCATGTGTTGAGCCATGTTGAGCCTGCCTGCTTCGTCAACATCCCCTTGAAGCTTTACATCCTTGACATAACAATGCAACTTGTCGGCATTGGCCCAGGGTATCCCCTGACGGATGCTGTGACAGCCAAGCTCTATACCAGAAAAGTAGCAGGTCAGTAGGCAGTTTAAGATTTACTGTAAATATGGAAGCGGAGCGCATGTTCTTTCTTGCTCGCTCCTTAAAGACTCAAAAGTGAAGAACCATCCAATGTCATTGAGGAGTGCGGATGTGGTTGGCAGTTGTGAGTCAGTCGATGGAAGACACGCCTTCCGTTCTGCAAAGGAGCATAAAAAGAGTAGTCTAGTAGTAGGCATTGTAGGCATGGTTGAGGCACAGGATGCAACCGCAGTTTTTGAGCTCATGCTGGCCAGAAGCTAGGAGCCGCACCAATGGGAAACCAGTTGGGAAACCGTTTTGGCCAGATTGATGATGGAGAAGAATCGCAGACATCATCTGATGGAGAAGAATCGCAGACGTCATCTGATCCTGAACAAGACGAGCGGGAACTAGGTCAACCAACGGATCCCGGTTTCGACCCAATTCCAAATGAGCATGAAGAGCTGCCGGAGCAACCTCATCCAACTCTGCCACCTGATCAAACTCCGACGGGGGGTTATAGATATGCTGTCATCAGGATGGATTTTGACGATGATGTTTCAGGCGACGAACAGCCAGGCGACGAGGACAAGACATACGACCTGGACTGGTGCGTGGACAACACCACTGTCAAAATTAAGGAGGTCAATGAAGACGAAGCCGTCCAGGTCCCGAAGGACCATTGGTCGAAGTTTCAGCGGAAAGGTGGTTGATCTTGTGTGCTTCGTGTTTTCGGTTTGATGCAAGAGTGTGCTTTTTGCTTCCCCATGCTACTAATTGAGCTGCTGATTGCTAGAATCTGATCTGTGAGGTTGGGCTGCTAATGCAAAATAAAATGATTGTAGCATGGGTTTTGCGTACTGGGATGTGTGCAGTACGTGTAGGACCTGTCTAAGCCTGCGCATCCACCGTGGCATTGCACGTTAAGCGCCCTTGGGTTGACTGGTCAGCAGCTGCACAGCTTTGAAAGAAACATCCTTAATTATCCTGCCTTCCACACTGAAAAGCAAAGGGTCCCGACATGTCCCTACCATACTGGAGGAAAACATAGGAACACAACATCAAGCCCGTGACAAATGTGCAGGATTTTAGCTTCCTGTGCTCGAAGGTATAGTCGTAGCCAAATCACACTATCTTAATTGGCAAAATGCTGGAACATCGACTGCACATGTGATCCTACCGCAAGGATTCAAATCAAACGAATCAATCATGCAATGAGAGGAAACTATTAAACTGCCTACAGAACCCAAAAACCAATCAAAAAGGTACAGAAAACATACGCACCTGGCTCCATAAGCACTGGATTCCAGCAGCCTGCACGACCTGTACCGCCACCTTATCCCCGGGCCCTAAATTCTCACCCTCAGAGATGCTCAGCGCCCAAGGCTCTGTCATCATTGAGCAACCCTCGCACCTGCTGCTCACCACCTGCAAATTTCGCACATCCAGCAAGCATCATACTTACGGGTCACAGGTAAGGTGCTTGCAGAAGATGCCAGCCAGGACGTGGGCAACTGCTTGAAAGACAACTGGAGGGGTGAAGTTGAAGACATCAAGGCTGGAAGTTGTGGCATCATGCTGGCCAAAAAAACACATCCTGCACCAGCAGCAGGACGATTGGCTGAAGAAACAGAAGTCTCTTCGGACTAGGTGACTAGCTGTTGAATTTGTGTTTTTTGATGCGAAAGGTAGCTGCCGTTCTATCAAAGGGTTCCCGATATATTGTTGAAAAGTGCGGTTTAGCACGGACCAGTAGGTTATGGGCCAGGCTAGGGAGGGAGAACAGTCACAGACTCACACCAGTTCGCAATGCCACATTGCGGCGATCAATGACATACACCGATCAGTCCTCACTCACGCACGAGTACACTCGGTCATCCATCACTGCGTTCTACGCACCGCTCCCACCGTCGGCAACGCGGTGCCAGCGATCGGCCGGTGTTCGCTTCATCGTTGCGATCGAATTCTCAGTTCGCATGAATTCATCGTTGCGAACTCATTGGGTTTGAGCTATTGCGTATAGTAGATTGGTGGCAGACGTTGCAATGCACACGGAGCTATAATTGACATACCAATACAGTCATGCATGGCTGCGGCGATGTATCCAGCATGCGCATTTCACCAGACACTTGACTGATCACTTCGCTCACTTCACTGGCAAGCACTGGCAACCTGTGAGCGCACATTAATGTGTTCCCTGGATTTATAAGCCCCCCTAGAATAATGACTTTTTTTCCCTGCACAGATTTATAAAGGCCCCCAGAATAATGTATTTTTTTTGTGGAGGGGTAGTTGTAGTGGAATATTTTTTATTGTTCTAGTTTACTTTTTTCCCTTTTGAGTTTGCTGAGATTTGCTTATCTTACAGGCCTTTGGATGGAGATTTCTATTAAACATTTGGAGATGTCCATTGAGATTTGATGCTTTTGGAGGCTTTTGGATGGAGATTTCTAATTAACAATTGGAGATGTCCATTGAGATTTGATGCTTTTGGAGGCTTTTGGATGGAGATTTCTATTAAACATTTGAAGATGTCCCTTTCTTTTCCTTTTGGTTTGCTTTACTTACCTAAGCTCTTTAGTCTTTAAGCTTTCCAACAGTGTCCAACAGTCAGTGCACACTTTCTTTACAAAATCCCTTATTCAAAAGCATTGAAAAAAACAAGAAATTCATTCAAGCAAAGGGGGTAGTCCAGCAAGCAGCTTTCTGACATTATTTAGGGGGGCCCCTAGAATAATGTCTAGAGATTTCAGGCTTAAAAACCATTTTGCTTGAAGTAAACGTGTATTCATTCCCTTTCTTTTCCTTTTGGTTTGCTTTACTTACCTAAGCTCTTTAGTCTTTAAACTTTCCAAAAGTTTCCAAAAGTCAGTGCACACTTTCTTTACAAAATCCCTTATTCAAAAGTATTGAAAAAAACATTCAAGCAAAGGGGGTAGTCCAGCAAGCAGCTTTCTGACATTATTTAGGGGGGG